GGGAGGCTAACAGGCCATGCATCTTGACGTTTTTCTAGAAGACAGCGTAATGCGATTAGAGTTCGACGGAGGGCGCGCAGGAGCTTACTTGCAACAGTAAATCGTGCGAACAGACATCTTGGCGCAAGCCTGCTAGTTGAGCACCCGCAGCGTTGGTAAAGTCGAGTGGCGTGGCTGTGGAATCCGAAGGAAGACAAACAAACCAACAAATCTCGCGAGCCAAAGAGCGCGTGGGAGACGGACGGCACGGGTGCATCCGCCCCCAAAGACGTTGGAGGTGGGATTCGACATGACGTGAGATGTTGGCAGACAGGAGTGGAAGGCAATGAGCATATGGTGGCCCTGTGCTCAATGACAAAGAGCAAAGAGCAATATCAGCAGTGTTACCTGCTCAGTAGGTCCACCGGGCGAAACCAATGAAATCACATTTGGCATGCTGAGTGATCAAATCTCGCCACAATCTTTCCTTTTGATGGGTCGATGGTATTGAGCCGATAGCAAACCAATCCTGCCGGATGGTGCTCCGCTGAAGTCAAAAGAAACTTGATATTGAGTTGTCCTTGCGATGCGTCGAATTTCGAATAATGTTGAAAACCTATTAAGCTACATGGCCAAGTCGGAAACAATGCGACAACCGGGCAATCGGGCAGGTCAAGAACCCGTGAAATACAAATACTATGTAAACCGTAGCAAACCTTGGACATACCCTGAGAGGCCCACTGCCACAGGCACGGTTCACGGTATCGCTTCCGATTGACATTATCCTGGCTTTGCTAGGATGCAGCTGTCCGTGTCATCGCTGCCAATATCTCGGGGATAATAACGGTAGGGTATCAAAGTTTTCTTGAGCTGGTACACGTTTCACGGGTCTGGGATGGCTATCGTGAGGGTTTCGAAGCAACACCGGCAATCGGCCTCCCATACCAGCCTCCGATATCCTTTCCCATGGGCTTTTGGCAGAATACATGTTATTGCGCACTCTACAGTAAGAAGTGCGACGACCATGCAATGCATCATGCTGCTTATCTGCGGAGGTATCTATACGTTTGCCTAAGCCGTTGGGGTTTAGCGGCTTTTCAAGGACTTGTCGGAAGAGGAAAGCAGATCTCTGGCTGATCGCCATTTTGGCAGTCGGTAGGCGATCAATTTCCACTTGCGAACATGTGGCCCTAGCGTCGTGAATGATAGATAGCCCCCCGTCTTTTGATCTTGTCATTTATGACTTAAATTCTGATGGCGCAGGTCGGGACTCTTCTTTGGCCTGGGCGTCGACGTGGCATACGAGTGCAGGGAAGCCAAAGACGGAAGGAAAGGCGACCCGAGTAACTCGTAAGTTAAATATTCATATGCTCTTGCATCACCACATGAAAGTAGCAAGATATAACCAGGCGCAAGGCGAGAATATTGCGAACCCACGAACCCTCTCTCGACTGCTCACATCGACAAAATAGAAGTAAGTGGGTCAGGCTCAGTGTACGTAGTATGTACTGCCGCTTTGACGTCAAGCAAGCTTTTGCATCCTCGATTTACCTGCTGCTGAGGTCACATCATCTGAAGCTTGAATAGGTACATTTGGGACAAAATCAAAGATTGAGATGATGGAGCTGATGATTGTGGCTGTGAGGTACAAATCACCGTGGCTGTAACTAAGGAAAGTCCTTGAATGTAAATTGAACCGAAAGCTCAGGAGTCAAGAGTCGATGTCCTGTCCTCAAGCTGTCTCAATTCTTGAGACACTAAACGCCTCTGCTTGCTCAAATGGAGCTTGGGATGTGCATCCGATTAGTCCATATGCACCCAGTTCTTGTCTTGGTGGTGGGCCGGTTTGGGACTATCGCGGAGCCGAGTTTAGTGTAGTGTGAAGTCTTGACAGGCAAACCTTGCTGTAAGTTGCGTGATAGCCATCGCACGACTTTGACTTGAGCTTTCAAGTCGGCAGTTATATTGCCATCGCGGACTCCCTTGTCGGCGCTGTGGTCGCCGACGTGAAGCGCCCAAACCATCCATACACACTTTTCTTTATTTCTATCTTATTTTTTCTTTGATTAATGTCTACCAGGTCTGTTGTGTCATGAAGCGATAGTGATGGATGCACTGCTGGCGGGCGACCCTGAACTAAGAGGGCCGAGGCGGACTGGGCTAGCCGAGAGCCATGTGCTTTGACGCTACCGCCGCCAATCTGTAGATTATCTGGTCACCTGCTGCGTTGTCATCTCGCAAGATGCCTACCTCGATCTTGGGGAAAGCCTGCCACGTCGCTTGCTCCCGTGAGACCGCGTTGGACAGGCTAATTGATAGGCATAATGCGTGGTATCAAGATTCGGCATCAAGCATAGAGTCTGAGCGCCATTGCTGCAGCCAGCCAGCACCCTTCGCCCAATGGCTGACTTATGCCATCATCTACTTCAAGGCAGAGAGCTAGCCGACGCCAGAGAGTCAGGACACACAGACTTTCTGGGGAACGGGCCACGCATTCTCTGAGTATGACGCTTCAATGCAGATGGCGTCCATACTTTGACTTCCTCTAGACGACTACTGGCCCTACGAGCATGCAGGGCAGTCAAAGCGCAGCTGCATTCCGCCCTAGGGATGCAGAGACGCAGAGAACTTGGCCTTGTGATGATTGGAGTGCGGCAGGGGCGGTGTCAACGCGAAAAAAAGGAAGAATAATTCCAGAAATGAATTAATTGATCTGATATATCAGTTCTTCTTTCCCCTTTCTCCCATGACAGGCGAGGGAGAGAGAGGGAAAGACTGGACGGAACATTGCCGATTCCAACTATGCAGTACTTTGCAGTCGGAAGCGAGACCATCGCGGGGTACCTATTGGCAAGAAGACTCTGCTCAGGCGTCCGCTTGCCTGGGTCCAGTCACGCAAGGGATGCCTCACGAACAGCGAATTCACCAACGACTAGTAGTTGGATTCACTGCCATCCAATACTCTTGGTTGGTCCCCTTTCCTCAGTAGTGCCCGTGTACCCCCGTAGCTTTCGCTAGGCTTTTCCTCATCCCGTGGCAATGCGTCCCGGAACACGCTATCCGCCACGTGCACTGAGAAGCTGGTGTGTCTTATTTCTCCTCTAGCGGGTGGCACTAGAACCTGTGGTGCAAGATGGTCGAAGGTTCTGACTGTGCCCATAGTAGGGGGGCAATAGGGCAATAGGGTACCGGAAGGGGACACAAACCCCGACCACCATAGCTGCATCGATGGGTGCTCCCCTAGGCTTACGTCCACCACTAGTAGCTAATTAGATGCTGCAACTAAGAACAACTAAGAATCTGCCCGAGCAGGCTACAGTACTTGGTCGACCTGCGGAACACTACGGTTCTCCTGCGAGCACAGGGTCCACGGCTTTCTCTCTCGCTGATGTTAGGGATGCGCAAACTGCCAAACTCCCCCATCCGGACCCCTTCGCTCTAAAGAGATCGTCGCTAATTTCCTAGCACTGGTACCATAATGGCAAAGGGCCGCACGACATCCCCCCGCAAAGTATCCGTTTGGGCATTCTCTTTGGTAATGTCTGGTAGACACTACCGGCAGTATCCACCAAACAATGAGCGACTCCGCCGTGCTGCCGTACCAGGAGGGCCCAACTGAGCCTTCAGTATACAGTACCTACGATGGCCTTGATGCCCCCCTCCCTATGGTCCCTGACTTTCCCTAGGCTGTGCTTATTTGCTACCACGTGTAGACTAGGACGGATCTGTTCGGGTTACGCCTGTTCTTTGCGAAAGGGCCCCCTCCCTCAACACCAATGTCTCGCGGTACCGCACCTGCAATGCGGTATGTACCCGACGAAGTGCTTCGATAGCGTCCCCTGCGACCCCCCCTTCTCGCCATTTCTGCATGAGGAGCCCAGGTTGCCTGGAGCCGTGGCCCCCTGGTATTCTGCCAGGGCTTGATCGCTGGGAAGTGGTCGTGACCAGGGCATTGAGCATGACTCCATCCCGGACCCCTGAAGATACATGGCGACCCCCCCGGCCGCTCCCAAGTACCATAGTACCTACCCACCGCCTAGCGTCCCTCCACTTGCACTGGACCGTTGCAAGCGGCGCCGGCGCTGGATGATTGCCATTGGGGACAGGGGCACGGGCATGGCCACGATGGAAGAAGGAGAATGGCGAGGGTCCAGATGCACCCACCGGGGCAGGTTGGGATGCGTTCCCCCCCAGGCCTAGGAGCAGGGTCGTCCTAAATGAAATAATATCCCAATGGTCCCAGTTTTCGCCGCTGCTCCTGCCTCTTAATTGCCCTCCTTCTGCCTGTTTCTACAGCTTATACGGCAGTATCGCGAACGTCTATTTTCGCGTGCGTCCTGCCCTCGCCCGAACACGGCCTGATTCACCAACTCGGGTTCCCACGACTCGGACAGCCATTGCAGCGGGGAAGCACTTGCTTGGCAGCGCCACGGAAACAGAGTTGCGGAAGACGGGATCATCTGGGGGACAGAGAGTTGCCTCGTTACGACGGTAGCCTTTGGGGACAAGGAATCGAGCAACGGGGAATTCGTCAATTCGCCAATTGCTGTTACAGCGACTCTAGTAGTTCGGAGGAACCAGCTCAGTGATTGGCTTTTCCTGACGGCAACCCAATCGGACGGATTGATTGGACCTTGCTGACCCCGAACGGCCGATCGAACAGCCGCAGCAGCTACGGAGAGAGTCACGATCGCTCGTCACAACTACACATCTCCAGGATTGCACATAAGCCCGCGCCGACCTGGACCGGACCGCGCCACTGGAGCAATCTCGTACGACCCCGCGGTAGTTATATAAATATCTCGCTCTGTACGGCCACGCGATGCGCCACCGTCTGTCGCCGCATTGAGCATCCAAACTTTTGAAACGGCGTCCCAGGGCATGCAGGCAACCTGTGACACAGCCACCCGAGAAGAAGCAAACCCATAGACGACGACCAGTACGATTCTCGCACGCCACTGGGTCTTCGCAGCACCACCAACTCTCGTCGCATTCCTTGCGTCGCTCAGGGTGCCCTCCCTATGTTCAGTCGCTCGTCGTCCAAGAACAACGGTTTTCCTGGAGCTGCAGTTGGGAAGGAGCACAGGGACCGCGCCAGGGAGCAACTATCCAGCCTGCGCGAAACGGGCATATTGGGGAGCTTCTCGTCCTCCGACAGCCGGTCTCTGCGCTCGTTGAATTCATTCAAGCGCAAGAAGGACAAGAAGAAGCACCAGCAGCAGCAGCAGCAGCAGCAGCCACCGCCACAGCCGCCGGTGGACTGGGATAGCGGTTTCGACCAGCCTTCGTTTCCTGGAAAGAGTAAGTGAAGTCTTGCTTTTTTCTTCTTCCCAGTCATTCTTTTGCTTTCCTCCAAGGTTGTTTTTGGGTTTAATCTTGCACCGGCGGCTAGCGAGGCGCCATCTGGGCTGCATATCAACAACCCGCCGTCTGGCTGCCTCGTGGCCGCCATCGCAGGACCCCCCGCAAATCTCACCAACGGCGCTGTCGCAAAATACCTTTCTCTAGCTGTGTACTGACTCGAGCCCTGCGCTAGACCACTCGATCGCCGCGGGGACTCTTCGTTCATTTCCCCAGCGCACCCCGTCGCATCGCTCGGCGGCCTCCTCGATTGCTTCGAGAGACACTGTACGCCCGCTCAACTCGCCCGCTCGATCATCATCCGCCATGTCGGGCGCAATGGGCGTAGACCGGAGGGGCAACCGGCGAGAGCGCACTTTCGTCGGCAGCGAATGCGCCGTGTGCGAGGAGCCGCTGGAGCACACGCTCCGAGGAGAGCGCATTCTGCAGTTCTCGTGCTCCCACGTCTCGCACGAAGCCTGTTTCTACGAGTTCATTCGCGAGTTTGAGTCGCAGTACTGCCCGTCATGTAATGCGCCGCTGCATCTGGACACCAGCCGAGGGGGCAATGTCCTAGATATCGGTAAGCGCAGATCGCCGACTTCTGCCTATGTCCCTACTGACGTGGTCCCCGATGCTACAGAGAAGATCACGAGCATGGTGCGGTCTGCTTCCTCAGCAGACTCTAGATCGCAGCAGACCCCCACGCCCGGTGCCGGCCCGTGGGATGAGCAACCCTCCGGCAGGGGCACGTCGGCCCACGGCCGAGACAGTGCGCGCGGCAGCCAGCGCGACAGCCGCGACGCACCCTCGTCATTCGCGGCAACTTCGCGCCATGCGCGTAGTGATAGTGAGGCCACCGGTGTGGCTTCATCCACAGGCTACCCAGAGACGACGCAGAGCGGCCCGGCTCGAAGGCACGATTACGATCTCCAGGCGATGGAGACTACGCCGGCCAGCCCTCAGAGGATCGCCCGCAACCCCATCCCGGCCCCCACGGTAACTGTGCGTTCCGAGTTCCCGACCATCAATAAGTCACGGCAACAACAGACCTTGACCTGCCTTATAACTGTGGAGGTTCCGGACAACAAGTGGAAGCCGGACCCGGAGGATTTGGGCAGTGTCGCACCTGTGCAGCCGATGCGGGTAGAGGAGGCATTCCAACAACGACCGCCATCGCCAGCCAAGAGCAACAAGCCCCGCTTCTACCCTTACGAATCCCCTGAAGTGTTGCAAGAAATGACCGAAACCTTGCGGGTCCGTGTTGACAACTGGCATGGCTTGGACTTCAACCGGTGAGTACCCCCTGTTTATGACTAGTTTTGAGGCGATTGTCTGACGAGATTCAGATTCGGGAAACTTCGCCTTTACGGCACCCTTCGCGTTGGCAAGGACAAGGTGTCTTGGCAGGAATTGGAGTGCTTCTTGTTTGCTGAGATGCTTATCTGCGTCAAAGAGAAGAAGAATCCTGCAGCGGCTCAGCAGTGGGACGAGAACGGCAATCCCCGCAAAGGTTCAAGATGTACGCTGAAGGGCTCTATCCTCATAAAGAAGCATCTGAACGAGGTTGCTGAGACGGGATCTGTTGATGAGAACATCCTCACTCTCAGTCTCTCGGTCAATGAGCTGCCTTCGTTCCACCTGCGATTCGACAACCGGAACCAGCTGAAGCTGTGGCAGCAGGCTTTACTCGACTTGAATGCTACGGAAGGATCACCAGTTCGCAGCCCAGATTATGAGCGTGCCGAGATGTCAGAAACTGACGAGGACGACTGGGGACGTTCACAACGCGGGGGCCAGAGAGTCTCGGCTTCTTCATCCGGTTGGGGCGGCCCGAAATCAACCACAACGGCCCCGACAGAGTACACCAACTTTGCCAGGAGTCCGCTCTTCTCCTCGTTCCACGTGCCAATTGACGTGGTCGTGGTCGTTCCCATCTCATCGTCTATGCAGGGCGTGAAGATCAATCTCGTCCGAGATGCTCTGAAGTTCATGGTGGGCAGCCTCGGAGAGAGGGACCGCATGGGCTTGGTTACATTTGGCTCTGGCGGAGGTGGCGTGCCAATCGTGGGCATGACCACGAAGGCGTGGCATGGCTGGAACAACGTCCTGGGCTCCATCAAACCCGTTGGCCAGAAGAGCCACCGGGCCGATGTGGTGGAGGGCGCGAACGTTGCCATGGATCTCCTGATGCAACGCAAGCACAATAACCCCATCGCGAGCATCATGCTCATTAGCGACGCATCCACTTCAGACGCCGACAGCGTCGACTTTGTCGTGTCACGAGCGGAGGCGGCTAAAATCAGCATCCACTCTTTCGGCCTCGGAATGACCCACAAACCCGACACCATGATCGAGCTCTCCACCAGGACGAAGGCCTCTTACACGTATGTGAAAGATTGGATGATGCTCCGAGAGTGCCTTGGTGGGTGCTTGGGATCTATGCAGTCTCTGTCGCACCAAAACGTCAAGCTCAAACTGAAGCTTCCTGAGGGGTCACCTGCGAGGTTTCACAAGATTAGCGGCGCTCTGCAAGTTACGAAGCGTGCCACCGGGCGAGATGCTGAGGCTTCCCTCGGCGACCTTAGATTCGGCGACAAGCGTGACGTATTGGTGCAACTGGTGATTGTACCGGACACTTCATCGCAGGAACAGCTACCCCAGGACCCGTGGGAGACTATTGTGTCTGGCCTGGAGGCTCTCGGTGGACCCATGGACTCTGATGACCAGAGAACACTCTCGGTTGAAGAGGTACCCCTGATACAAGCAGACCTTGTATGGGGAGATATTCTACGTGAGGGCACCATGATGCATCTGCCCAGGCCATCGCTCCTGGCAATCACCATGCTACCCCCAACTGCGAGCTCAAGAAAGTCATCTTGGCAAAACAATCCACCAATTCCCCCACATCAAAGCATTGTCCAGCGACGCATGGAGCTGCTTACTTCAGACATGCTTACCAGGGCGCTCACCCTTGTGTCTCGAGGGCAACACGACCGTGCTCATACATTACTGAACGAAACACGTTCTATTCTTAAGGGCCTAGGAAAGGGTGGCTTGCCGCCGGTACCTCCCCCGGCGGGTGGCAGCAAGTCGAATCCTTCTACTCCTCATCCTGGCCTAGATACACTGGACCCATCCGCCACCCCTGACAGGAAGAACACACCTTCTCCAACTGCGTCAGCCAACTCGTCGGGTGGTAATGGATTCCCCCAACCGCTGCCTCGCACTAGATCCAACGATGGCCTGTCCCTTGGCAACACTCCCGGCATCGACGCGAGCACTGTATCTGCTCTAGATGCTGAGCTTGAGGCCAGTTTGGAATGGATTAGCCACCCAGCAGTGTTCGGGCGAGACAGCCGTAAGCAAGTTCTACAGGCCATTGGAGTCATCAGCAGCCAGCGCGCGTACACTTTCCGCACTCCGATCGAGAGCCTGTGGGCATCGAGGGTGGGTGGTGTCAAGAAGCTCACAGAGAAGAGCCGCGAATGGAGAGACGACGCCGGTGGTGAGGGTATCATCGAGGAGCCCTAAATCTACCCCTCTAATTCATCCATACTTTCGGACTTGGCTTTTCAGGCACAGCCATCCAAGTAATTTTAGACCGACGACCTCTACGGGACCATGTTTTCTTACCAGCAACTGATATCCCCTGACCATGTTCTTTTTGTCGATGGCATTTGCAGGTGGCTTCGTCTTACTTCATTCAGTCGTTCATCGCCCTGCAGCTATACCTCTCGGCTATTCTACTTTTCACCTTCTATGATACCACTTGACGATTTTCTTCCTGAAGTTTACCCTGGTGGGCACATACAGCACATCACCTTCGAGCGCTTCCGAAGAGGCCAAGGTTTTTATGCCATGTCACACTATTCTTCAAAATCTAGGGAAATGCTTTGGATAGGCAACGATATAAAAAGTGTTGGGTTTGCGACATACACGGAAGGAGTCTAGGACTTCTGAAAACTTCTCGATGGATTTAGTGTTGTGTATTCGTGATGACGTATGTCCCAAGTATACAGGAAGGGTGGAATTTCAATTCATGATATTTTCAAGATGATTATTGCAATGACCGTGGACTGTGTTGTGATGCTTTGACGGAGTGGCTCGGGAGGATGTCTCCTGCTCTAGACCCAACAGTTACATGGAAGGCAGCTTACCATGTGTGACTAAGCGGCGGAGAGCACGCAGCTCGGCGCGTTTCCTGGGCTCGATTTTACTCCCGGAGTATACCGTTCAATCAAGCTGCAAAACCTCATTGGGTCGACGGGAGAGTCTAAGCACCAATGGGAGCTCTATTGATACCGTGCAAGGAGTGGCACGTCCCTGCCACGCGCCCACGACCAATGGTTCCTCTGAGTATTCTGTGGAGAACGCAACAGGTGTGTAAGTTTGGCATTACGGCCACTTCGGGACTTCTCCGCATGCAAGAGCTTCTGAAAATGCCGATGCAGCGACAGTGACGTTAGACCGGGAACTTGGGGAAAGGCGGCCTTCCCCGCATTCCGATGCTATACAAAGGGGCCACCACGGGGAGGAGGAGTTGATCGGGGTCCGAGCTGCGATCCGTCGTACAAGTTTTCTTATATTCTACGTGATGCTCCGGACAGCCAACGTTTCTCTATCTCGAACCTTATACTCGCTCTCACAATCCAGCTCGCCCATACGAGTTGCACAGCGTTCGACCAAGATCACGGCCCGTGTTCTCTCTCACAGCTCCCGCGTACCACGTTCAAGTTCTATATCTGCCTCTGCCAGGATCACCCCGGCTCTCCAGGAAAGGGTATCGCTCGCCTTCGACATGACTAAGGACAGGTATACCGAGTTCACACCCGACCAATATCCCCCTTTTCCCGATGGCCTGGCGACGGTTGAACTCCAAACAATCTCTTTAGACAAGCTCCTGAGGGGCAATGCGGTAGAGCAGACGCGGGTCTTCGAAGCCTGCAAGGGTCGAGGCTTCTTCTACCTTGACCTCCGCGGCTCGGACATCGGCCAGAGAATCCTGCAGGGGGCCGAGCACATCGCACGTGTGGGCGAGGAGACGTTCGAGCTTCCTGTTGAGGAAAAGGTCAAGTACTCGCAGGGGCGCGGCGGCAAGACCCTCTTTGGCTACAAGAGCGTCGGCGCAACCGTGACGGACAAGGCGGGCACCAAGGACACGGCCGAGTTCTTCAACGTCGCCAAGAACGACATGATCGTGGACGATGCCAAGATGCAGCACGCCTGGCCAGCCCCTATCTTGGAGGCCAAGCCCATCTTTAGGGACTATGTCCAGAGTGCGCATTCTGTGGGCATGTTGCTCCTGGGTATACTGGCCGAGCGGCTAGGCGTGGCCCCCTCTGCGATCACAAGCCAGCATAGAATAGAAGAGCCCGCTGGCGACCACGTTCGTATTACTCGGGGGCCTCCGAGGGAGACAGAAGAGCTGCCCGAGATCCAGACACCGTCGCATACGGACTTTGGCACGTAAGTCGTTGATTCAGATGGCTTGACATGTTGTAATCACTGATGGACATCCAGAATCACGATACTCTTGAACTGGCTGGGTGGCCTTCAGGTGTGGTCAGAGTCCGCGCGCAAGGCCCAGCTGAACGACGGTCAGCCAGACAGCCCCGGGGAATGGCTCTGGGTCAAGCCGCAGCGGGGCTGTGCCATCATCAACCTTGGCGACGCTGCGGTCAAGTTCACCAACGGCGTACTGTGCTCCGGCCGGCACCGGGTGATCCCCGCGCCGGGTGCCCAGGGCAAGTGGCCGCGGTACAGCATCGTATACTTCGTCCGGCCCGAGGACAAGGCTGTCCTGAAGCAGCTCAGAGGCGAGGGCATTCCCAACGGCCCCGAGGAGGAGGGGCTGACGGCGCAGGAGTGGATTTACCGACAGGCTCAGGGACTGGGTACCCAGTTTGGGAAATGAACAAACGAGTATCGCGAGTGTGACTTTTGAATTCGGGTATCATGAGAGCTTGTTTGCTTGATTCTGATACAGTTCCTGAATGCCAATTCAAACTTGTTATCTTGTTGTGATGAAGCTGCATGCCCACCAGCCAATGAGAGACCCTATTCTGCAGCCTCAAGTAGCAATGGAGCGGACGTATCAGCACTCTTAATTAAGCAAAGATGTCACGGCCTCTCATTACGAATCAGTACTGTGATCCACAGGCAGTCTGAATCTCTAGCATTTGAGCTGGAGATACTTGGCTATTCATCAGGGTGAGCATCCCTGCCAGTGGCCACTGAACTGACGAATATGTGCTCAAAGGCTTTGAAGGATTTTCAGATTGGCATACAGTTGGGGAAAGACTCAAGGGTGCGAAGATACCAGTGCAGTTCCAAGTGTCTCTACGCACGTCAAAGATATCATGACCGTTGTGTGCTTTGTGAAAATCCCTCTACAGCGGTCTATTTTTACCATGTCTCGTTAATCAACAGTACATGAACTTTTTTTTATCGGACCCCGTATCAATTAATCTACGTCATCTTCTATTTGATTCGGCAACTCCAGTATCTAATTGCTGTATTGATGCCCACCATCAGCTTCGATATACGATGCGGCTCCAACTTCGTAGTTGAGGGTGGAGTTGATTGCGACGGAGATCCAGGAGAAGACACCATCACTGATGTCATCACCGATCATGATGTACTCAGCAATGGGGTCGATGCCATCGACGGCAGTCTCCTCCATGATCAGCCCATCCTGGGCATTGGTGGACCAGTCCTGGGTGTTGGTAGTGTACGGGTATGTGGCTTCAACCTGGTTGAGCAGGTCTTGATCGAGGAAGAACTGGCCAACGTGAGCAGCTTCGGTGCCGTTGGTTATGGTTCCATTTGAGAGGATAGTGTAGTCGGTGTGGGCAATAATGTGGATGTGGTTGGCTGCATCTTGCATTAGTAAACGAGTTCTTTCCAAACGCAGCGGCATAATTCAGTTTCACTTACTGCGGCCAGTATAGTGACCAGGGACGATAGACTGGAACTGGACAGCGCCGACGTTATCCGTAATCTGGACGCCACGCAGGAAAGTGGTATTGATGTTGTCAGGGTCCGACTCCCCATTGCCGTTAGCCGGAGCAATGACTCCCGAGTACACACCGGTCGCATTGGCATGCCTGAGCCAAATTAGATCGCCTTTTTCTCAAGCATGAACATATCTTTACGGGGCTTACCAATAGTCGATAGCAACATCTGTCATGGGCTCACAAGTAGAGCTATCGATGACTTGAATATCCATATAGAGGGGCACGCCAACCTGATCTTCGGTCAGGTTCGTGCGGATGTACTCGCCGGTGACCAGGTACGGGCCTTCGGTGACCTCGGGAGCGAGAACACAGGTGCTAGTACCAGCGAAGACCTCTTCCGTCGTAGAAGAGGGCGTTATGTCTGAGCCGTTATACAAGTGAGAGGTGGCGAGAACGGTGGCTGCATCACGCTTTCTCCTTTTTGCATCTAGGCGTAGGCTCTCGTACATGGCAGATCGGCGGGCGTGGACCGATCTAGACACGCCGCGCTTCTTCATCTTCTCGGTACAGCTGCCGAGGCTGCGGGTGTCCAGGTGGGAGAGAAAGGAGCGGCGTGCCAGTGCCTCGACGTTGTGGCCGCCTGCCGTCGGGTGAGCGACGGTAGAGCTAGCTAGTCCAGCAGCAGCAATGAAGGAGGTGAACTTGACCATTTTCGAGGAGTGGCTGTGTTGATATAGTGATCGTTTTACGTTTTGTGCTGCGAATCCAGTTGCTGTTTTGGTCGACTTTTTTGTTCCAGTGCAGATCTCATCTTGGGAAACGCCAGCAACCTGTTCTTATATTGAGTCAACGCCATGGTTGGCCTGCTTTCGATTGTTGGTTTGTGCTTTGATGTCGTGTAAGTCCAATTAAAGGGCACTCCGTTAAGGGGGCAGTCGACGTACTTGCTGACGACCATAATGCGAATCTAAGGCATTGTGAGTGGGCAATCGCAGTGCATAGTGGACAGAGCCCCAATGCCAAGGCCGATAGCGCATCCACTCTTCGGTAGGGGATAGCAAGAAGAAACTGAACGTTACGAATGCAGGTCTCCACTTAAGGGAGGCTAAGCTTCACTGCCGGCGGAGGTCTCCATTCACAAGAACCGTAGTCAGGCTTGTTTGGTCAATCAAGCATGGCAGCCAAGGGCTCTCAATATCTTAAGTGCGTCCATGCCTCATAGCAATAAAAGTGCGTAAGCTGTAGTGGCACGGGTGGATACAGCCAAGTGGGAGAGCAGGAACTTCAGTGTATTCAGTGTGAGGTTAGCCGAGTGCAATGAACTGCGATTCAAAACTTGAAGGCGGAGTCTCCTGATGTAACTTTTGGCGACGCTCTTTAATAAACTCGAGTGGAGCAAACTCGATGGATATGATCTCTCCTGCCACATCAGGCTTACTGTTTGAGAAGTTTGTAATACTCATATGCTATAACAATGAATAACGCTGACGTAAGGCCTCGTTCGTTATTGAACAATTTTCATAGCATCGATAACGACATTGTAACTCATCAATTTGCAATCGAATGTCCAATAGGTACATCGAGTAAGCCAATTCCCTACAGGACATTCAACTACGTCTGGAAACGCAGTTACGCTTACGAATGATTTCCCCGCACCTCTTTTGGGTAATCAACATTTTGCCGCTCATCACTTCGCCGTTAATTCTCAACGTACTATGATCCCGTAGCTGATACTGGTGTCACAAAACGCTAGACAATACCAATATCAGGACTGCCACTAGGTGCACGCCCATCAATAGCTACTGCCCGCCGTACCACAGTCCTGGTTTCACGTGGGGACGGGGCGAACAGCAGTCACTAACAATATTCTGACATTTTCTTATAGCTACTACTTACAGCACGAATATATCGCTCGAGTCAGAGGCTGCGGACCGTAACGCTCTGGAGGTGTCGAAATGCGTTGAATACGCGAGGGGAAACGCGCGTTGTCCCAACTTTCCTACCTGTTCCCAATCAGGAACCCAAGATGGCAAATCAGGCACGGTCTTGGGGAAAACGCAGTAATAGAGTTTGTAGTCTTGGCCCTATAGAATCATCGCTGCGGTTGCTTCAGTAAAGATCTGCGCTACACTCTTCTGATAGTTCGCACGAATCCCCAATTGGCTTCTATCCGTAATAATACCTAGGACCCCATAAACCAGATCCCGAGGATCCGAGGATACAAGGAATGATCTCCCATAGATAATACCAAATTGTTGCAATAGAGAGCAAAGCGTTACGGGACGTGATAAGCGGAGCTTGGTTCGAGTTTCTAGAGCGACCAATTGAAAATAGCTGTAGGCAATAGATTTCGTATGGTTTTTTTTTTATCGCACCGAGAGCCAGCTGGAACAGAGAAAGCGGAATGGTTCTTTCGCGACACATGACAATCCCAGCCTGGGCTAGGCAAACCTCCTGGATAATCCAAACCTGATAAGAGTATGTTCGACACAGCAAGGCGCGGAAAAATTCCCGAACTCGATTGTCATGTAGCTCTTTGACATGTACTATTTTGCTCCAGATTTCAGGCCATCCGTATTCTGAATTCTGGAGTGGTACATAGGGCAATGTGAGTAGCTGAAGTTCGCTAAGGTCTGACATATTCTCCACGGTCAGTTGCCCTATTTTCTCCAATGCCTGTATAGCTAGATCGCTGTCATTCTGCTCGGGACCTAGCGACATACACCAAGTCGGCACCTGCAAATATCTGACGCATGAGATCAACTTGCCAACTGCGTTCATTGCCGTCGTTCTGATTAATGAAAAGAGCGTCAATCCATAGCCAGGACTGTACATCTTTCAGGTACAGTTGTTTGAGCGCGATCAGGAGATTGGGTCATATTGAGATGCTCATTTCATTGAGGCGGATGAAAGTCGCATCGTCTGCATCGCCCCAAACATACGACAACGCAGAGTAATTTGGCGAATTCTCCACAGGAGTAGTTAGTGACTGCAAATTCAAGAGGCCGTCTCGGATGATGTTGTTTGGTGGCAAGGGATGGAATCGCACGAGGCGAATCTCGTGGACCTCGCGCTTGAGTGGTGCGTAGACAGCCATACATCAGTGGAAAAGGGGTGGACTTGTGAAATAAATCCACAGACCGTACTACCTTGCACCGTTAGGTATATGAATCGAAGAGTGAGAAAACTAAAGCATGGATGAGCGTTTGCTATCTTTGGGAATGAGAGAACAAACAAGGCACTGACTGTTGCCGACTGCTACGGACAGTAAATGGGTTGTCAACGTGAACCGCCAAAGCTGTACCAACCAAAACTCCAAACTTGTGTAAGGTATCTCGAAGGAGAGTCGTTGTTATTAAGACGAATGTTCACACCATTTCTGGGCTGTGCTCGTTTGCGTATTCTTATTTAGACTCCATGTGTCATGGTTTGGGAACCGTGTCGGGCGAACAGACCCGCCATTGTGGCACCCGCGAACACCTCTGGCAAGCATGATTCTAGGCGGGGCTAGTTACCAGAAGCCATCCTTAGCGCGCGGCAATTGGCTATCCAATGTGCATTTTACAACCTTGGAACCGTGTCGGCTTGCCTTTCGGAACAAACTGACCCTCATGGAAATAATTTCCACTCCTCACAACACGGTGTCTTAGAAAATTCGAAACTCTGCTCAAAGTCAAAGAAGTACTTTATACCTTGCCAGTATAGAACGGTTTTCCGTGGCCGACGATTCTTGTTAAATCACTTTCCACACGCAATGTCAGACACAGCGTCAATGACATCCTTACCATACACCGATGGGGAGGCCGAAGGCAACGGCTTGCTCGTTGACGGATCACCTTCTGGGCTTGAGAGAATACACGACTATGAGCCAGGTGGGCACCACCCCGTACACCTCGGCAGCATGTTGCATGATCGTTACAAAGTCATCCACAAGCTAGGGAGTGGAGGCTATGCCAATGTTTGGCTCTGTCAAGACACCTTAAGCAAGATGCCCAAGTACTGTGCTTTGAAAATCATAATGGCCGAAGGGTCTACGGGGGAGTGCTCAGAGCTGCGCATTAACCAGTTGCAAGACTTCGGTCTGGACCCAGACTCGTTAAGCGGGCACTTCTATCGCACCAAAATATACCCAATTAGGCGCTAGGCCAAGTGGAGTTTCATGGATCTTCATTTTGGCACTGCTAACGTAGTGGTTATTTTGTGACAGTTATAAACCCGGTAGCGTTCCTGCGCCTTTATCGGTAAAGGTACTGTTTTCGCGGCTCACCAAAAAGATCTGGGTTCGAATCCCAAAAGAGAACCTAGCGTGAACCTACCCGCCGAGGAGGCATGGCGTCCTATATGTAGGAGTAAAGGTCCTTCAGCCCTAAATTGGCATTTTGAGGAAGGTTCGCACGAACAAGTCGGTGTATTTAAAACCTCTATTAGTGTCTCTATTCAGACCGTAACGGGTCCTTACGGTCTGGGGGGTGTGTCGCACCAAAATATACCCAATTAGGCGCTAGGCCAAATGGAGTTTCATGGATCTTCATTTTGGCACTACTAGCGTAGTGGTTATTTTGTGACAACTTCTGCTTGCCATTGGACCAGTTCGAGATCAACGGGCCTAATGGCCTGCATTATGCGTTTTCTTATCCCGTGTTGGGACCCCGTGTATCAAGATTGATCAACATTGCCAACTCTGAAGACCCCGGGGCTCCACTGCGAAAGATGTGCTTGCAGGTCACTCAAGCCATGTCCACTCTCCATGAGCAAGGAATCTGTCATGGTGGTACGTGATTCTGCCCTCTACAGCCATAATATCGTCTAACATCTATTATAAGACTTTCGGCCAGCCAACATTCTCGCCCACATATCGAGACTAGACCATCTTTCTGAAGATGACTTGCTCACTTTGATCGGGAGGCCAGAAACCGTAAAGGTTCTGACAGCTTCTGGTGACGAGCACTCTCTTCCTGGTGCCCCTCACTATCTCGTGTATCCAATTGATTGGCACAAAGTGGCCGAGAGCATCGCTGGGAAAGACTTGATCCTCGCAAAAGCCTGTGTAACAGACTTCGGCGAAAGCTTTAATATAACAGAGCCCACGGAAGATCTTGGGATACCACAGATATACTGTTCACCTGAATACGTTTTGGACAGAAAAGTCGGCCTAGGCTGCGATTTGTGGGCTCTCGGATGTACTCTGTTCGAGATTCGTACAGGAAGAAGGCTGTTCGATACATTTGATGACGACCCAGACGAATACCTCTGCAAGGTAGCAATGATTCTTGGCAAGATGCCGGAGCCATGGTGGTCAGAAGTCTGGGAAGCGAGGAAACAATTCTTCAAGGACGATGCAGATGAGGCTGGCAAGGTTGTCGAAGTACAACGAGATGTCAATACGGGCGCCTCGAACTCTGGCAATGAGCATAATCGTGCAGGCTGGCCGCAACCGGTCGCCGTCCAACAAGAGCCAAGGTCACTACAAGATTCGTTGAGCTCCGCTCTCTTCATTGGGAGTAGATACTGTCCTGACGGTATACACAGAGCGATGCCGAAAGAGGAGATTGATATTTTCTCGGATCTCCTCTCCAAATTATTGGTGTTCTGTCCCGAGGACCGCCTCACAGCGAGCCAAGCACTGGAACATCAATTCTTCAAGGTCTGATGTTAGGCCTTATACTCGACCTTGTCGTCACCCCGGGGGTGATTGCGAGTCATATAGAGATCAAGCCATAGTTCATCTCCCCTGAGCCCTTAACTGCAATAAACATAAACGTGAGTTCCTTCAAACTTCAGAGGGCCACCTACACCGCGCGGAATGCCACCCTTGTGCTCTCATCTTCGCGGCTGACTTCCATTTCATGAAGTGGATTCTTATCCATCATATGAGTGGCTCAGAAGGCAGATTCGCGTTGTATAATCCAGCGTGGCAGATTGTCTCTTTGCAGGTATAGGGACTCGAAGCTAATGCTGAAAGACTACAGCGTGCATATTTTTGTGGACTCGATCCCTCTTATGGCGTACTAGTACGTAGAACGCCCCCCGATCTATTTCCGTTTGAAGAATCCCTTGACCTTGGTGGCAGGAACGCCGACTCGCCTCCGCTGCATGAGCATCTCTTTCACGGCTTTGGAGTTGTGGTTGGCTCTGGGCGGTAGCTTCTGATCATCCTGATCTGCCATGACTCTGTAAGCCGTCGTGCCAACGATCTCATCCCGAGGCCCCCGTCCCTCCACCTTCAGTGTCTGCACCGCATCCTCAAAGTTGATCTTCTTGGGCTTCTTGGCTACCCTCAAGGCTCGTTCATCCTCACTCCCACTCTCGGAATCTGTCAGGAACTCTGCCGGCAGAACGCTAGGCAGGTTGAACTTCTCGGCTCTCCTACGACCAGAAGTGGTTGCCCTCTCAGCCTCTGCCGCCTCAGCTTCAGTGCCGCCTGGCTTCTCTGCGCGTTTCCGCTTCTGTGCTTGCTGCTTGAGCTTGTTGTCCCGCTGCTGGCGCTTTCTCTTCTGTGTAGCAGCATGTCTAGAGGGTAATTAGCCTTGAGTACGAATCTCAGACCTTTGGGTCAGATCTTACTGTTCTGCCGCGTCTGCGACTGCCTGTGCTGCCTGCTGTGTCTCCTTGGCTGCCGCGGAAGCGGATACAGCCTCTGGTGCCTCGTCGTCGCTGTCATCCTCGAGTTCGTCGTCGTCGGCGGCGGCGGCGGCGGCGGACTTCGGATTTTCTGCCGCCACTGCTGCTGCAGCCTTGACGTATTTGTCGACGTCGTCGTCATCGCCGAAGACGATGCGACTCCCCGTTTTCGTCGTGGCTGCCGATGAGGGCTTTTGCGAGGCCTCAGCCGCCTTGAACTCCTGATCCAGTTGCTGGCTGGCCTCCAACTCTAGCTGCTTCGCGACCTGGTGGGGTGTGGGCTCGCCGTCGTCGCCGTCGTCTTCGGTGTCGGCTATCGAGAGCGACCGGCTGCGCTTCTTCTTGTCGGTGCTGGGTCTGCGCTTGTCTGTCGACGGGTGCTCGTCATCTCGCACGCGCACGGCGAGCTTCTGGCGCTTGGGTGTGACCTTGTCGGGGCTCTCTGGGATTTCGAGCTCGTCCTCGCCTGAAGACTTGCGCTTCCCGCGGGAAAGGTCCTTGGGTGCTACGAGTTGCTCGGCGTCCGGCTCATTTTCCTGCGCTGCCTTGCGCCTCCTGGTGAGAGGTGCCATGACGAACAATTCCTGCCTGCGGCTATCGAGTGCGGAGTGAGAAGGCGTCGAGTGGGCTGCTCGAGGTGGGATTGGGGGTTGTGATGCGGCGGCAGTGATAGTCGATTGTCCCTCTGAACTTTTTTCTGGGGCGGAGCCGTCGATAAGATAAGCCAAGTCCAACTCCTGCAAGCTGAGTCGGGTGTTGGCCCTGCGCCTATCCGGGAATCTTGACTAGCGGATTTTGGGATAATTGCATACTCGAACCTCACTCACTTTGGCACCTTCATCTCCAGTTCAATCGTTGGCCAATTGAGCAGGCGCCAGCTGGATCAGCGTTGGCGTTCACGGACGTCTGCGAGGCTCGAGATTGGACGCCGGACCATTTTCCATCTCCAGAGGCCTCGGCCGGGGCACATTGAGAAGAGATGTTCTCCGCGCGTCGCACCGTCCGGCCGGCCAGGAGCCTGTGCCGATGGGAACCGGTTCAGAATGGGAAACGGCTTACAGATCTCGCCAATCGCACTTCCAGGGCACCCTTCTCGACGAGTCACCGGTGCGGCGTTCCTTTGCCAGTGCGCAAGGCTCCACCTTCTTTCGCCAAAGCCAGATTCTCCCGCATGGAAGTTCCTCAACTCGCGTTCTTCGAGGATGCAGCAAAACCATCACTTGCGTCGGGTCTAGACCCACAGGAGTGCTTTCGGTCCGCACATGCCTATGTCGACCTCGCTGTCGCCGACAACCCCGGATGGCGCGACAGCCTGAGGGATCCTCCTCATTCGCTCTCCTACGCCACCCTGCATTACATAGCCGTCATGATCATGAATGGCCCCCCCGGGCCGGCATTTAACATTGCTACCCACATATACCACACGTTGACCATGGCCAATTATGCGCCTTCGATTCTGACAGTGGTCCGACTCGCTCTGATGAGAAAGATGCTTGGTCAGCCGCAGTTCAGCCAAGCGCAGGACAAGTTCACGTTGATGGCACTGCGAAAGGATGACCCCAACGCATGCACTCTTCAAGGCCTCATATTGTCGGCCAAAACGACACCAGAGACGGACAGGGAGGCGCTGCAGTGGTTTCGCACAGCTGCTTCCCTCGCAGGAGAGGAGCCTGGAGCGTGGGAGTGGCAGGCAAGCTGTGCATTGGAAATGGGTAAAATATACCTCAGATTAAAACAGAACGATCGAGCGAAGGCTATCTGGAGGTACTGTGCTCAAGATTTGGATATTGCGGAAGGATGCTGGCTGTATTCCACTTTGCTTGAGCCTTCGGACCCGGAGAAATACGTCATGGTCCGCAAAGCAGCGGTTTCTGGCATCCCACAGGCAGCTCAAGAGATGGCCATACTCGATGATCCCTCCGTAGAGGGATCAGAAGGAGGAGGATCAAGTTCGTGGGATATAAAAGCGTCTAACGTGTTTAAGAAAGAATGGCAGGCGATTGCTGGGGCCTGAGGATGGCTTCAGAGCTTGAGTCAATTCCGAATCGTCATTCGCTTTAACGATTGTGAGTGTCACTGTATAATAGAATAAAGAAGACAATATCTGTTTATGATTGTAATACCTCACTTTGAGACTGTTCAAGCACACATGGTCGTTTCTTCCAATGAGAATTACACACTAGCTTGCCCGATGAAAACCATGAACCCGAGCAAGAAGCCCCGCCAATGTCAAACTCATGTTCTTGACTATTTCACTCCCGCTGCAAAAGCAGAGGAAATATTTATAACCGACTGCTGAACAATTGAGTTGTTGTACACTGCATAGCCTACAAGAAGTCAGCATCGTGGCTTTCTGGAGTTATAGCTCAAACACACACATTTGAGATCTCTACCGACCAGTCGCAAGTACAGGTGATAGTCGACATCGTAATGCTTTCGCCCCCACCGTTGGCCTTCATCCGTCATGATTCCTTTGACGGGTTGAATCAGGCCATTGTCGCGGAGAAAAGTAAAGTCCGTGACGATTTCGCCAACCGGTTTAGCGCCTATTGCCCTGTCAATCAGACAACCATGAATGTACTTCTCTGAACAAGTCGTCGCCTTACCTTCGTTCTTTTGGTGGTTACGCTGATAATGAGACTCAGTTGCCGTGTCTGATACATACAGCCTATCGATTGCTATGAGGCGGCGGCGTTTTGTTTTCCGAGAATCGAAGCTTTGTGTACATGGTAGCGGTTCTGAAGTCCAAACAGGACCTAGAGGCTCTTCATTTCCCTAGTCGGAAATCAGCCGATTGTGGCGCAGTCTGCGTAGGATAGGGTACTCACAAGTTTCAAGGCCCAGAAAATAGTATCACGAACCCACAATGCCCCATCTAGGCTGTCCCGACCGGGCCGCACTACTCCCGCGATGAGATGTTCTTCATGTAATCTGTAAGGTTCGTCTCTCAGGATGCCGTAACTCGATCTAGCAAACCTTCCAGGTCCGCCCTCTTTGTTCAGTGCGCGAAGGATGCCGCCAGATGCCACAGCAGAAGCGCTACCATTAGTTGAGAATCAAAAACTACAATATAATTAAAAAGAAGGACCGACTCACTCATACTCGGGTGGGATGATCAGCCTGATTTGATTCTTGTACGAGGCGTCAAGGTTCTTGGTTAGGTACTTTCTCAACGCCACTGAGCGGGAGAATCCTCCCACAAGCACAATCTTCTGCATTTTGAATCAGCACTGTCACTTTCGGTCTCCGGTTCATCCTCACGTTTGGTATCTGTCCTTGTAATTCAGACTGTTTTATCTGATCCTGGACCAACGAAAACACTTCTTTCAGAACAGGTTTGAAAACAGCTTTCATGTCCTTACTAGAAGCTCGAAAGTCAGTAAACAGCGCTGGTAACAAGGGCACACATCCGATACTTACGCCGGCACCCAGATGCGGCTGTGCCAAAAGCCCATTGCTCTGTTCTCCCGAAGACCAGGACAGTAAAAGGATATCTTTTGGTGCTCATAGTATGTAAACGTCCTTTTCTGATACTGTTCGAATTCATTGATAGTGATGGTATTAGCAATGCCATCCAATGTGACACCATCCCTTTCAAGATAGGTCTCCCCTGCCAGCACGCGACGGATGTACGTGAAAAATTTCTCATTCAGGTAGCTAGATCCGCATAGTCGACCTTGAAACGTGTTATGAAATGCGACTACGCTGGATTAACGGATCTGCTTACCGGCTGGGAGGGCAGTCTCTGCTTCAAGTCGAAGTGGTGTCTTCTGACTCACTCTGTACGTGTTGGTATCCACTGTGCCGCCGCCTTCATAGAAACATAAGAGTGTTAGTACACGCCAAAGAATGTAGAGAATGATCATACCGGCATCGAGCAAGATGAACCTGTCCTCCGGCTGGGAACTTCTATCAGTCCTCGAAAGTGGCACTGCAAGATTTTGGTGCTCTGATCCTTACCACAATATCATAGTTGCTGTGAAGAACCCAGGCGGCCGCCGCTTCAGGTTCAGATACCATGAATAGATCTTTCACAGAGTTCTGGATGATTTCGACCTGGTCGAAGTTCGATTGCTTGAAGGCCTTTGCTAGCGCAATTTGCATATCCCGGCAGGCCTTTTGGTCCCATATTGCTGGAACGCACAGCACGACTTCATACTTGTAGCCCTGATAGAGCCCCAAGTCTATGAGTTCCGACTTAACATGCCGGAGCAAGAATGTAAGATAGTCTGCTATAACATCGACATGATCTTTATGATCTCTGATGAGTTCGTCATCTATGAGCCGTTGAATTAGAGGCGATAGGTATTCGCGAACTTCAGCTGTGCGGGGATCGTTTTGCAACATCAACTTCACCCTAGAAAGCTTGATATCTGTACCAAGTGGCCATGATTGAGCCTCAAAGCCGCATCTCAAAAGATTGAAGTTGTGGTAACGGTGGAACTCTTCCGCATCATGAGTTTCAATCGACTGTTCATCGTCTTCACTAGATTCGCTGGTCGCCTCCTCGTCTTGACGGAAGCAGTCTTCTGCAGATAGAGAACGATCCACCGCCAAGACTCTTTGCCGCGTTCGGCTCGTTGGTAGACCACCAGAAATAGGTGAATTTCGAGCATCAGTTGAAGCATTCAGAGGCGTAGGAGATATGGCCGTAGCTCCAGAGTGTGGGTAGATGATCTCTGACGGAACAGCTGCTGATCGCTCTGATCCCGATCTATCCGCCACGGCAGGGTCGTATGGGAAGTTCCGTATAGGCTTGATCCTGTCCCGGCCGATCAACTTGCTGTCTTCCAAGGCACGAATTACAGTCTGAGAGACCGAGGAATAGGTAGTTCCAAAGTCTATGCCTATGATGACCCTATCTACTTCTGTTGTCGTCTCGGCTTCCCGGAATTTGGCCAATAGCTCTGGATCGGCTTCTCTTGGTGCCGGTTCAGGAATTGAGGGGCCCGCTTCATCCTGGACCGGCAAATTTGGACTTCTTCTAAGTGACGAGAGCTGAGGGCTCATAAAGTTGAATTCTGCTTGGGCCATTGTACCAGGATGGAGCAGGCCGCCGTGGTTGGTCAGGTGTTGCAAGTGCAAAAGACGAGAAACGGGGTAGAAATACTCTTTTGAGAGCCCAACGACACGGATGCAAGGTTGCTACCGATTGCAAAAGTACCGCCCAGAAGCAACATGCAAAAGCAAAAAAGTTCGTGGGAGGTGGCCCATCACTATTTATCATAACCCTGTCGACTGACCCATTCTTAGGCAAACAACGCTGCCCGCTCGTTTGATTGGCTAGGCCTCCCACACCTATATACGGTTGCCACCATCCCGATGCAAAGCTGAGTTAAAAGCAAGCAAGAGCCCAATATGCGGAGTTCGCCTTGAACATGACACTTCCGTCCCATGAAGTTCTTCCAAGCTGGAGCCTGCGCCACGCCATCTTCCCATTCATTCTGTAGATGCGTTATGCTCTCGAATATCCGACCCGCCTTCATATCACCCGCAAGAGATCTTGACTATGACGCCAAAACCAGGGCCAGACAGATCATATTCCCAACTTCTGGCTTGGTTGGACCTCTGCATAGAGTTTCAAAAGGATCTGCCGGTTCCTGTGCAAGTTGGTTTTCAACAAACCGTTACAAAATACCTAGAGGACTCTTTGCATGTCGCCTACAGTTGGTTCAGTGTGCGCAACAGGATTTCAAACTTCGTGCGATATGGCAAAATCATTGGCCCTGCGGTAGACCGTTCCTCTGAAAGGATCTACCAGAAGGGGACGTTATGCCTCGAACTTTCGGAAGAGGACAGACTGGAGGTTGAGCGGACGAAGTCACTCCTTCGGCCAACGTTTTTGAACCTGGCTAGAAGGTATAGAGAGACAGACAATAGTTTGCCGGCTGCATCATCCCCAACCATTCATGAGCAGGGAGAAGGATCCCAGCAACACATGCAAAACTCCAGCATCACTATGGGGCCCTCCAGCATCACTATGGGGCCAAATTCTGGCCACCAAAGCTCATTTCTGGTATGACATCAATGAAATAGCCAAGCTCTAACGCAATATTTCTGACCGACATTCACAGGAGTCCCAAGCCCTCAGCGGCGACGTTGATGCGCGGGAAGAAAACCAGAGGACGCAGCATGGAATTGTTGATGCCTCCATGATGAACACCGTAAATGACGAGCAACAATCAGACGACTCGGTTTCAGTGTATTCCATCGCTCCTTCTTCTCATTTGCAACGCGATTCAGGTACAATTCTCGCTGTGAAGGGGGCCGATACATCTGAGACTGGGTTACAAATCAGTCGTCTCATGGATGAGCTATCATCTTTGCAGGACCAAGTCTCCATGTTAGAGAAGCAAGCCAAAGACGAAGCAAAAGAAGCTGAGAAGAAGTTCCATATAATCCGAAGCTGTTTACGATCATCAGCAGATCCTCTACGCCTACAGTCTGAGAACAATCTGCTCTCCGAATACAAGTCACACTTTGAGTCAATGAAAATGGACTTGGATGCTATTACACAGAAGCAGGCCCTTGGTATTCCAAACAAGGAAATCGAATTCAAGATGAACGTGATCGAAAACGAAATCAGTCAAATGAGTTTGCAGGTGTTTATGTCGACATCAGAGCCCAGGGCAGTATCAATAGACCCGCAACATTGGCACTCCCACACCCAAATTGCGCGTCTCATGGAGCGTATAGCTCCTTCGAGTACCTGGAGCTTGCTTTCACGCAGCACTTGCCTTCCATCTTCAGATTTCCTCCGGTCGCTGATTGCCGCGAGCGTCTGCGTTCACGTTTTCGACGCTCCCGTATTCAGCTCTCTTATGGACTCCACGTTACTTCATAACTTCTACAAGATCATTTTCAGAATGACGAAAGGCAAGTTCTTCATTAGGACCTGGTGACACAATTCTCCTTGTTTTATGTCTGACTAATGCATTCATGCAGATGGTCCGCGGTTACTGAGTTCGTTTGATCTACTGGCGCATAAAATGACTATGGGTGACACTAGCTTTGACAAACAAATCAGTAAAGAAGCAAAAGGTCTTGCAACAAGGATGTACTCTCTCTTATTTCCGCTGATCATTATGGCATACAGCGGCAGCAAAACTGTCCACTCGTCTACAAGTCACGGCTTAAGCTTCTCTCAGTTGGAAAGCGTTTTTACTCATGCGCTGCGACTCAAGGCTGATCTTCTATTGACCAGAAAAAGATACAAAGCAGAATTTGTAAAGATCGATACAAACTTTGACCCAGGTACCATGAAGCAGGATGGTTGGAGCTACGAAGGACTCACACAAGAGGGATCGACGGGCACGACTGCTACGCCACCCACTCCACAGCAAAGAGTGAGGATGTGCCTGTTTCCGGCTATCTACTCTGTTCCTCTAGAGGGCGTTGAGAAGGAGTGGTCGACTGGTGTGGCTTTGCACAACTGTGTGGTCGACTACCGGAACTTCATTACCACGGGTGACTCTTGGACAGCCTGGGAGCGCTCCCAAGCTACACTAATCACCAAAGCCCTCGTTATACCTTTCTGAAATGGGACGTATTGGAACAATTCATATGTGTAATAGTCTGGAACTCTCATATCACAAAAAAAGCCAATCGAGAAACAGATTGAACCCCATTTTCAAGAGGCATTTGGGTGGTAGGGTGGCTAGGCTATTGTACAACCTTTTCGTTTGCCAGCAGTGACGCAGTGTGCAGAGTAGCACTGTTGAACGGCTATTTGGCTATGATATTCGCCTACTAACTTGTGTTTGCTTGCGATTCCAGTCCAGACAATCAGTTCTAGCCAAATTTCATACACAAGATTAAGTAGGATAGCAGTAGCAAGTGCCACTTTGGTGATAGATTTCCTAGCCATGCGTGGGTGGCGGCGTCCCAACGACAGAGAAATTGAAGTTCGGGTTGTCTGAACCGCCACCAGGCTGCCAGATGGATGCGTAAGGAGCGTAAAAGTCCCAATTGGAGCTCTTTCCCGGACACATTCATTAGCCAATGCCTCGCAGGAGATAGGGAGGATAGACGTACGGTGTTGAGGCCAAGCTCGGCCCAAGCAAACAGTCCCGAAGATACATCGCTCCCTAAAACGATGTAGTTAACGAACGGATCATACTCCTCAGTTGCACCGTAGCCGGCAAACGCGTCCTCCAGGTTCTTTGTCTGCGCAATTTGGTTGGTGTTGTAAGGAGCCAACTGTTCAATCAGATCAATGAGCTTCTGGTCGAAGAACAACTGCGACAGGTGCGCTACGACGCCGCCAGTGTACGTTCCATTGTCAAGGACTATATGAATTTTAGTTATGATCTGCCTCTAGAACACAATCTTATAGAGGAGATGGCGCACTCTTTGATCCAACGTGCACAATAATATGCTGATGCGATGCGCGACCTGAGTAGTGCCCTGGGAACAAGGTATCAAAGCTCACAACACCCTCAGCATCTGTAGGCTGGACACCCCGAAGATAGGTCGAGTCAAGGCCGCCTTGACCCTTGGCGCTAACACCACTATACTGGCCGGTGCTGTTGCACGACCAGATGTCGATCAAGACATCGGCCGGCTCGCATGTGTTCACATCGATGAACTGAAACTCAAGGTGCAAAGGAATTCCCTCGAGATCTTCCGCCACATCCTGTCGGATGAGCTCCTGATAGACGAAGTACGGGCCATTGGCGTTGTCTGGGGCAAGGACGCAGCTAGTGTTAGATCCGAAGAGCTCCTCTGCCGGTGTGTTCTCGTTGAAATCGAGAAGACCGGTTTTGTTGTGGTCTACAGCCGCCCATTTAGAAAACGCAGCATCGTCTCGTCGGTGGATGAACGATTCTGGGGACTTTTAATGCTGCTCTGCGTATATAACACAGCAAGCGGCTCAATGGTGACATACCATCCTTGAGGCCCCGTTTCTGACGCAGACGGTCGAAAGTGCCCTCCCTGCGAGCAATGGCTCGCTGTTTCCTGGCTTTTACTTCGGGCCGGGCGTTGCAAGCCTCAAGAGCTCGAGCATTGACTGCTGCAACCATGCGAGCATTCGCTGCCTCCTGCATACGTTTCTCATGGCCCTCGCCAGGATGAGCTGCTCCGATTGAAGCGATGGAGAGCAAAACGCCAGTTGCGGCCAAGACCTTCGGAGAGAAGAGCATTTTCGATGTACAATTGCTAGATTGTTTCAATACTGATTCCACTATGCCCACAGCCTCTGCTCTTTATGACGAAGAATGGCATTTTATAAGTGGAAATAACGACATACTGACCTTCCTAAACTGTCTTTAAACTTTGGGGAATGTGCTTCCGGACCGTACACACCAAGTAACGATGCAGCCAAGTGATTTATGGTGTGCAGGTTCGAGCCCGGTCGACGATCGTGTCCTGCCCCCGTTTTGGAGTATAATACTACGCTGGCAAGGTACTCATGAGGAAACCCTGCACGCATCGCCGGTGTTCGTGGCTGGGAGAGTCGCATCCCCGCGCCATGATCCAATGCGGACAAAGAATTTGGTCAGCAAGCTCCCGGGCGATAGAGCACGCTTTAGACATTCTTGGCTCCGTGGAATTTCCTTGTAAGCGCCATACAACAGTGTTCGGGCGCCCCTCCGTGGATTATACCGCAAACAACTCCAAATAGGAACGCCGCTCGGTATACGGAGTACGGTGGGTGGGGTGGGTCTGTTATGTATGCTTCTCACTATACACCCTGGAACATACACCACACTTCCAACACGCACACACACACACACACACACATACATACATACATACATACACTATTCCACACTCGCAACATACAAAAATAACCAGTTCAATGTCTAACAAGCCGTAGTTTCGTAGGTAGTCCATGGTTTCCCCGCACCGTGGCAAGTGCACTTGCAATGTGTTTAGATGTACGTCTAACGGAAGCCCCAGTGATAGGATGTCCTGTCCCCGGTTGTATAGTATACCACTGTTTTTTATGTCATCTTGCCCCGAGGCGATATCTGGTATTATCAATCCGGGTCATAAAGCATACGGGAACGCATGAGCGTCATTTTCCTCCTACATTTATAAGCGCACATCGCCATTCCCTATCCCAAGTTTCACACTTGAGCATTTCTCATTAGATGTATTTCAAAGGTTGCTGATGACGGAACCCGCTGAAATCGTCGCGGAAGGCAAGGAAAGTCAAATCCTTGGGCTAGGGACTCCGTTACTTAGTGTCAGAACTGTAACCCATGGCTGATGGGTTTCTAGAGAATCCACCTCACTAGTCGAATTTTCTGCCTTGATCGCATTGATTAATAAGGCATTTCGACTAAGCAGAATGTTTTCGCCACTTGCGTTGCCAGTCTTCCAATTCCTCAATATAATGCGTTCAGAATTCATCTTTGTTTGGAGACCATGCAACTCGCATCTCATTGAATCTTCTACCTGCTCATTGAAAGTCCCAGCCAAAGTTCATTTATCCTAATTGCTGAGATGCCAATGCTAGATAAGGCAGATCTGGTTCTGCCCAGAGGCTCGGTGATACTCGTGACCGGCGCCACGGGGTTTATCGCCAGTAATTTCATTGTGGAGGCTCTTAAGGCTGGATACAAGGTTCGTGGTACAGCAAGATCCACGGGGAAAGCCCAGAAGACCAAGGACGTGTTCAAGTCGCCAAATTACGATGCCATTGTAGTACCAGACATGGAGGCAGAGGGTGGCTTCAACGAAGCCGTCAAGGGTGTCGATGCCATCGTACACATGTCCTCGCCCGTTTCATTCAGTCCCAACCCGAAGGAGGTGGTTCCACTTGCAGTGCAGGGCGCAACCTCGATACTCCGATCGGCAGCCAAAGAACCCCGGGTGCATCGTTTCGTCTTTACCAGCTCTAGCACGGCCACTTCGTTACCCACCCCGGGCAAACACTTCAAGATTGACTCGAATACATGGAACACCGAGATTGACGGGTTTGTGGATTTCCCTCCACCGTACAAGCCGGAATACGCGTTTAATGTGTATGCGGCCAGCAAGACCAAGGCGGAGGAAGCGATATGGGACTTCCGAAAGGAGCACAACCCAAAGTTTGTGATTAATAGCGTAAGCACTACCACTACCAATATTTACAGCTCTCAAAACGGGTATACTGACAGACTCTAGATCCTGCCAAGTTTCAACATGGGTCGCGTGGTGGATTCGCCTGGCGGGACAGGCGGGATGGTCGTCTCTGCGTTTAAGGGGGATGTGAAGTGGGACTTCCCACCACAGTACATGATTAATGTCGTAGACTGTGCGCGGTTGCATCTCATCGCGTTGATTGACGGATCACTGGAGAGCCAGAGGATCCTCGCCTTTGATACGCCTTTCAACTGGAACGTGGTGCTCGCGCAGTTCAGAGAGATGTTCCCGGAGAAGCAGTTCCCCGACGACCAACCACAGGGGTCGGATCTGAGTGAAGTCGACAACAGGCTCGGGGCCGAGCTGTTGGAGAAGTGGTATGGCCAGAAAAGCTACACGGGTCTGCGGGAGAGCTTGAAGCAGAACGTTGAAGGACTGCTGTGAGCCGCGCACTCGAGCAATATCAAGCTCCAAGCCAGCATGAGAAACAGTTTGTTATATCTGCCTAGGTACTCATTTAGTTACGTTTCAGATGGGATCATTCACTTGGGCAATTGGGTGTCGTGGGAACCCTTCAGACTTCATAGTACAGCAATTATGTTGCCCCTTGTCTGGAGGAGGCAATTACCCCCCAATGCCCCGCGCCGCCCCTCGAGCAAACCACCCAGTAATCTGAAAGACGATCAAGACGAGATTGCCGACTGGCATTTCAGCGTAGAAACCACCCTTGATTACCAATTCTTGGGCGCTGGGTGCATCACAAGAAAAGGGGGCTCTACATGGAATGGGCCCGGGGCCCTTTGGGGTTCCTTCCTACAGTGGATCGCGGCCCCGGGGCGGGAAGGCGGCGCACGGACCAGGGGCCGAGCTTGGGCCCATTCAAATTTATCAGAACTTCCATCCAGCAACGGAAGACGTGCAGACGACGACGGAGATCCCGGAGCTCGATTGCAGCACAAACCACCACGATGCCCCCCAGGATACCGGCGCGCTTGACGGCGCAGTGCTGCCGTGCTACTCTCGAGTCCTCGAATGTCTCGGCCTTGACCAGCGTCTTCGGCGCCCTCTCGATCCAGTCCCGCAGCGCCTCCATCCTCTCCGATCTCAGGGACAACCGCGGCGCGTACCAGAAGCGCATCCGTGTCGGTCGTGGTCCGTCTTCCGGCAAGGGCAAGACATCTGGACGAGGTCACAAGGGTCAGAAGCAGCATGGAAAGGTGAACGCCTGGTTCCAGGGTGGTCAGACGCCGCTGCTGTTCCAGAGAGGCCGCATGGGATTTGACAACATGTACGTACCTGGCTTTTGGATCTGTCCAAGCAAGGAGAGGCCGACTAATGTGTCTGCAGCCGGGCCCCCGTTCTGTCAGAGGTCAACCTCGACAAGCTGCAGGACTGGATAGACCAAGGCCGAATCGACCCCACGCAGCCCATCACCCCCAAGGAGCTCATCCAGTCGAACCTGATCGGCTCCATCAAGGACGGCGTCAAGCTCCTCGCCCGCGGCGCCAACGCGCTGAAGCAACCCGTCGACATCATGGTGTCGCGCGCCTCGGCCTCCGCCATCGACGCCGTCGAGCAGGCAGGCGGCAAGATCGTCACGAGGTACTACACAAAACAGTCCATCAAGAGGCTGGTGGAGGGGAAGAGTGTCAACACCGACCTGCCCCTGCCCGTCGGCGCCGAGCACGTGGAGCCGGTGCTGGAGCAGGTGCGCCAGAAGGGCTTCTTCTACCGGCTGCCCGACCCCACCAGCCGTTGGGACATCGAGTACTACAGAGATCCGGCGCACAGGGGCTACCTCAGCCACACGCTGAAGCCTGGCGAGTCGCCCAGTTTGTTCTTCCGCGTGCCGCCGAGCAAGCTGATCAAGCAGAAGAAGCTGAAGGCCGAGAAGAAGGAGGACACCAAGCTTTGGGAGAAGTTGTAGAATATAGACACGGCTGCACTGTACAAAACCTGTATATCAAGAGATCACTATGTGGACATCTATCTGTACTAAAATGGATGCCAGGCCTTGAGGGCGGCGGCCTGTAAGAATCATGCCTCGAAAAAGAGGAACCGTAGGGTGACTTTCTCCGGTAAATACTGCTAGCCCAAGCGACTCTGTCACGCCGGCTCAGTTCTCTTACCCAACCCCGTATTCTTGATGCTAAAATGTCATCCCAACCCTTTGTGCACTCAGAAACCGTAGTGGCGTTTTAAGGACTAGAAGGCTGTTGATCCCATTTTCACACTTGCATGGAAAACAATGCAAGGGGTACGTACGAACTGGCTATACCTGCGGAGCGACACCTTCGACGGACGACTTACATGATTCAGGCGGCGGTCTGCCTTCATGCGGAGGCAGATCCCTTGGTAAATCAGGCATCGTGGGCTTCATTTGTGGATTTACTTTTAATCAGATAGTCTTGGTCTTGGTCTTGACCTTGGCCTTGGTACAATCGGCAAGTAATCGATCCATCTCGTTGGCCAGATCGTGTAGAGCTTCAGCTTGGTGCCCCTGACTGCTTATATCGGGTGCTTGCCATCGCCTGTAGAATTTTCTGTGTGACTCTTGTGTCGTAAACGTACACGGCAGAAGAACACCCGAAGATTCTGCATCATGTTCGCGGTCTATACACTCTTTGGTGAATCGGAGAACACACCAGCACGCCCAACATGGTAACTTGCTGGTACCCATGTAATCGAAAAGGCCGTCCCGTTTTTCTGAGTCTCTTCCATTGAAGTACTCATAAAGCTGCATCTCACAATGCTTGCTGAGGCTTATTTTCTTCTCTTTACTCCGCCTCCACTTCTTTATCATGTCCCTCAATTCCCGACAATCAGAGATCTGAGGACCAAATGCTTTTCCAGCTACTACACTGAGGTCTGCAAGTTTGACCCACGTGAGCTTGTTTGGAACATCGGTGAGCAGATCAAGCTCGATCAGACCACTATGTGGCAGCCGGCTGAAGTTAACGAAGTCGTAGAAGGACCTCTCCAACTTGGAGAGGTGTTGGATTGCATCGATCACGAGTCCAGAGTTTCGCACGTTGCCAAAATCCGTCTCCCAGGATGCAACATGATCATTCGTGTGCAAAGACAGCTTGTAAGCTTTGAGGATGATGTTGCTCATGTCGCTCATGCGCCGGCCCCAGTTACCAGGTCGCGAGCGATTCTCTGGAAGTTGGTACCGCTTAACACTGAGGATAAACCTTCTAAGTAAGGAAAGAAATTCCGAATACTTGTCGTCGTCAAATCTCTTTGATACCGTACCTTTCTGACTTGAAACTTCCAAGAATGCCGTACATTTATTGGGTTTGAGTGACGTAACATATAATTCTAGACGGCCGATGTTAAAGGATATCATCTGGGATCACACATCCAGCTCCAGAGAGGGGCGTACCAAAGACGTATTCTTGGTAACTATATCCCGGCAATTCTGCAAGAATTCCCCAATGGTAGCTATAGTCTTCTCGCATTCTTTGTCGAATTCGCCATTTTTGGCGATGAATACGGCTGTCTTGCCAGGGGTCTCTTGAAGAGCTGTTGCAGTTACATGCTCCCAAGCCGCATTATTGCCCTTGGTCGGCGCGAGGGTCCTCGCTAGAGAGTCAAGGAATGCAGTCCTCCAGATCCTCTCTTTGTCTTCTGTTGTATGCTCCTCGGGAGCCCGAAGTTGGGGACAAACACTCAAATTGCCTACCCAAGTTCGAAAGGGCCAACCAAATACATGTAAACTTCTCGTTATCATGATTTGTCCAATTTCGTGGAATTCCCGATTGAGAGCCGGGCTGAGGTTGTTTGAGGTTTTGCTTGAACTTTTTGACTCTCGGCGCATCGTTCCAGGGGGTTTGTTTCCAGAGTCTTTACAGCATCCTTCTTGATCTCCATGGTGATTTTCTTTGGTGATTTGGAATTTGGAATACTAAAGGTCGTAGATTCGTTGCGTCCATGCTGGCCATGTGCCGTTTTAAGTAGATGTGCAGATGGCTTCCTTAAACATGGAGACTTCCATGCAATCTTTCATTTGAATCGTGTCTGCCACGAAACAACAGTTCGCATGAGTGGGAGACTTCGTGGCAGTGCTGAGAATTCTTACACATCGGAGGTTTCATAGAGACATCTTATTCTATGGATCACATATCGTGACTTCCCCTTAAGCTTTGAGCACTTCACATGACCAGTCATGTACCGTTGAGTCAGATTGACGCCCAAAACATACATTTATCGTAAACCCCCTGGAACGTCTTTGTTGGCACGCGTTATTCAATCCTCTGTGACTATCGCAGTCGTGAACTTAGCCAAGAATACGAAAACATCTGCAATAACTAGCACTTTGAATTGCCTGGCATATGCTTGTAGTATGCGTATAGCCCAAGACATTGCCTAGCTTCAAATCAATCGCATCGACAGAGCCATACCTAACCTGTGTGTTCATAGCTGCGATACACATTGAACAGTTGGCGAAGTTGTAGCGTCACCCATAGTCAAGTGAAATCCCATGACAGTAAACTGCGGTGTTTCAGGGGACGTCTAATGTCTTCCTGGATATTTGATATTCATTTATAAAATCGGGTGGCATACGTAAGCGCACTACGCTACGGGGAGTCAAACGTGAGTTCCAATGGAATGTTTCGATGGCACGCTAGGGTCCACCCAGGCACTCTTTGTGCAGTAATCAATACAATAACACAGACTGATTGTGTCTGTTTCAGGACCATTATCGACCGTACCAAGCCAAGCTTCCAGGTGAACCCATTCTGAAGCAAGCAACCTTACGGAGTGCTATTGCTGGTCGCCCTTGCCTGATAATTCCCATACGAAGACCTATCCGGGATTGCACCTCGTGACTCTATCTTCCAGGTTGTTTCAACTTTGACAGCAATATCACGCGCAGGATCGACTGGCTGTAATTGGATTTCGGACCCGTCATCTTCCAGTTCGTTGAACCCCTGACTCCGATGGTTCTTTGTTCCTTTGTTCGAGTAGCTGTAGCTAGATGTGTCGGCTTGGTACTTGGAGCGATTCTCGGAGCCGAAGGTGCTTTTGAAAAAAGGTCGTAGGAATGGTACGCATGCTAAGGAGACAGCTACCGCGATCTCCACGGTGGAGAATAGAAACGCGAGGAGACCGGTTCCTGTAGGGTTTGCTGCATCCAAGTGTGGCAAGAGAGTTTGTCGAAAAATAGTAACAGCGCAAGTCCTGAGGCGAAAATGTAAGCTATCTGTCAATCCCGAAACTCCATTGCGTTGTACTCACATGAAACCAACACTAAACATGCCAAAGAGAACGACCTTCTTCTTCAATGCCAGCTGTAGACTGTAGACAAAGGGCAGGGGCAGTAGAAGAATAACGACGTCGCTGACCACGTTGATAGCGCTCAGCCACTCGTAGTAGACTTTGACATCGCCACATTCACCTTCAACTTTGTTCTCCCAGTCGTAGTTCTTCGCGTATGGTCGGCAAATGACAAGCCCAGTGATGAAACCGCTGACATTGTACAGAATGACGAAAGCACCCACAACTCTGACAGAAAGTATCATGCGTCGTACGGGCATCAGTGTCATGTACATTGCGAGAACGGAGAGTTTACTAGTCAGAACGCAGCAGTTCCACAAAAGTGGCCATGCCGCCATACACTAGTAAGCAGAAATTAGCCATCAGAACTGCCTGAGAACAAGCTCGAATAGCAAAGGAGTTCATTGGGGCTTACCTTGAAGAAAGTGGAGAGCGCGTCCGGACCGAACCGCTCTTGGACTTCGAGAAGATCGAACGTGAAGCCACCCTTGAACACCATGAAGAAATCGACAATGCAAAGAGCGAGTACGAACACCTAGCCACCAGTTAGAGATAACCCGAGGGCGGCAGTTCTGGTATAGACCAACCAATGCAGCGCCGATGCAGTAATCACTTGCGTCCAACGCCAACCTTGAGAATCTGTGTCTGGCAATGAAGCGCAATATGACGAGTGTGGTAGGCAAAACCATAGATATCACGCACGTCGCTATCATGCCAATCTGTCCGCCATTTTGAATTGGAATTGACTCGTAGGTCTTCTCTTGCGTCGCCATGACTGATGTAGTGTTATGTACCGCAATACACAGAATTCGAAAGTATAGCGAAAGAGAAACCAAGAAAATCCGTCGACATCGTAAGATTTGTCAGAGCTGCTACAGTCACCTTATGGCCATAGAAAACCAGGGCCCCTATTGCCATGTTCTCCTACAAATCCAAGCGCGGACGAAAGGATTCCCATCCCACGGTCAGAAAATGTTGATCGCCACGACATGGGACAGCCTGGAAACTCCTTGAGCAGTTGAAACGGAACTGTGGTTAACTGGCAAGCGATGTATAGCCAAGAACAAGGTGCGTTTCGCTGTGCCAGGGACAAGCTTCGCCGTTGTTTTCCTCAGTATGCCAGGGAGTGAGTTTGGTAGTCACAGCTTCGTGTGGTAGCGACCCTGGCCTAACGCTGTCCCTTGCAGAGTACTGAGAAAGCTGCCTAACTAGTATGTAGAGCATGCGAACCACACATTGATCTTCGCATACCTGTACTGTAATGGTAAATGTGAACGCAGCCTTCTGAGGGTAATTTACATGGATGATCACGGTGGCGCCAGGGTTACAATACATTAAGTTTTGCCAGCCTGCCAGCCTCTTGCAGAGATCAACCGGTCTGAAAATTAGATCACTTCAGGAAGGCCAAGAGTTGATGCAGCATGGGATCAGGTAAGGGGCCTTAATATATCACCTAATACAAGGACCGGGCATGAATCTCGAAATCGTATTGTTTTGATGTCTTCAAACAGGCTAACTTCCAAGGGGATCCAGCACATTGATTACATAAACTCCTACAGTTTTCTCGAACCAGACGCTGACCAGCCGTCGTGTAACAGGTCTGTTTGCAAAGGCAGGCTCTCTGGTAAAAGCATTTGCAGTGCCTGTATCAGCCGACCTCGTATAATCCATCCATATGTAAGGGTTTCGCATCTCCAGGCCTGGGGCATGCGAGAGCCGAACCAGCCTGCCGGGGTAGGATGTTATGGAGGCAAAACTGGTGTAGATCTGCAATCGCTGATTGGCCAGGGATTAATACACACAAAGATATCCGAGCCCTTGCTGGCATTGGCAAAAGGGATGACCCTCAGGCACATCCCCGATTGGCTGCCACCGTTACGGCCCGGTGAACATCTCGTCAACCGAGATGATAAGACAGACTAGACAAGGCTCGATGGAGTCGGGAGGGGACCTCCCGCGCGCAGTCAGCGTGCCACTCATCAGACCGCCAAACTGTGCCGCTCGCATGTGTTTCGCGCCTCGTCCTTTTGGGTGAGGATCTGCCGGCGAAGTACATATATGCAAAGCAGAGTAAAGTGCATGCACAAGTTTTCAGTCAACCTGTGGATGTGCGCAGACACAATGTGCAAAGGTATGGCCTTGGGTTACCGTTGGCGATATGCAAGAGCGCTTAGGGCCGTACCTAAGAAGTAAAAGGCAGGTTCCACGTTCGCACTTATATAAAGAGCGATAGTTTGCGCGGAAACAAGGTGCTGACTGTACTCAAGTGATCGGTCTGGCTAAACGAGAGTCTGGAATCACTGTGCCTGCCAAAGATACTCGTCTTCTCTCGCACTGTTTATCCATCCTCAACGGCCAAGTGTAAAGACTTTTCAAAATGGGCTCGCTCGCACCCACAGACCAGAGAAAAGTAGTGATCATCACTGGCGCGACTGTATGATTTACTGCAATGTCCCAAACCTTGTATATTTTGTTGACAAGTCCCAACAGAGTGGCATCGGGCGCGACCTCGCTCATCGGCTACACGCCCGGGGATATAACGTTGCGATCACTGGCCGACGCATCAAAGAAGGCGAGGCCATCGCCGCGGAGTTAGACGCCTCGGGCAAGACTGTCCTCTTCGCCGAGTGCCATGTGGAGTCATACGCATCCCAACTTCAGCTTTTCAAGGCCGTCTGGGCTAAATGGTCTCGCATCGACGCGTTCATAGCCAACGCCGGCATGGTCGATAGCGGATCGCGCTATAATCTGGCAAGACGTGGCGCCAGTGTTAATGAACCGCCGCCTGAACCCGATGTCAGCTGTACCGACGTTGACTTCAAAGCTGTCGTGTACACCACTGAGCTGTTCGTGCACTACATGCGGCATAATCCCCCGGGCGTGAAGGGCAAGATCATCGTCACAGGCAGCATCATAGCCATCTATCCATGTCCCACATTCCCCGAGTATTCTGCTGTCAAAGCGGCTGCGCTGCAATGGGTGAGAGTTATGGCGCCGATGCTGCTGAAGCACGAGGGTGTCACGATTAACACCGTTCTGCCCAATGCTTATGACACTGGCATTATGCCTGATTTCAAGGAGGCATATTTAGATGAGCAGTAAGTGACTATTTGGGGCCCTATTGGTCTAATACTTACCCGCTGCTAGTATGACTCAGAAGGAATGCCTTATGTCTGCGTATGATGTCTTCCTAGAAGACGAAACCAACCTAAAGACAGGACAGGCTATTGAGACTGCGTACGAGTCTCACTATGGCCACGAAGTCCCAGCATATAAGAGCGGTAATGTGATTGAGAGGACAGATAAGGTCTACGAGCCTTGGTTTCAGTATCTGCACCATGGCAGGAGTGGACTAGATGGTGCGTATCTAGAGCCGTTGAGAAAATCGTCGTAGACAGTATCGTTCAGCTATGAGGCTCGATGAAGTCCATTTTCTGCATTTGCTTTTGGTGTAAGTAGAAGCATACTATTTATCGATGCTCCTTACCTTGGCCAATTGTCCTGTTACTACTATAAGCACCGGTATCAAGCTATAATGCGGAAGGTCAATCACACTAGCTATGGCCCGTGTTCTTGCTGGTGAAAGCCGAATTCCTACTTTGTACACTTCGCGCCCTTGGCACAGCGTATCTACCAACCAAATCGCGCCATGGCCGCTGAGCCCACAAGCTGAAAACATCCCCTGGGCGCTGCGGCTGAGAGGTGCCTTATCAAAGTGGAACCCCACATCGCGAGATCTGGGGTAAGTTCTACCCTCCGTCTACGACGAAAGGCTAGAAGGACATAACACGTAGACTCCAAAGAAAATCGTATTCCTCAGGAAAGACTACCTCCATAAACTGAGACAGTAGTCATATTTCTCTAAGTACAAGCAGAAAAGCGCGCCACTGGACTAGACCCAGCCAGCACTCGTGATATTGATAGTCATGGAGTATCACGGCATTCCCTTCGAAGGTACAGTATGGCAAGCCTCTGCACGATACAACAATGCAGTGATGTCTCGGGCCGACGTGGACGCGTTCTTCGAGAAGGCCAGACTGGGCGCCGCACAATATCCAGAGAGCGTGCCAGATGACGAACCTGACACATTGCCTGCACCTACACCGGCGACGAAGACCAATGCCACCGTTTACACGCCACACGAGCACCCATTGCCAAGTGGGAACCAGATTGGCTCCCCCAGTAGGGGAGAACGAGGTTTAGTTACCGCACACAGTGAACAATCGACTATCCAGAGAGCTCAGCGCGGTTCAAACCAGGCTGATCTGTTCGTCTTTGGAGTCACTTCCTCGAGGCAGCAGCGCCAGCAGAATCGGCAGGCCGAATTCACGTTTAGTTCCAACCGTGCCTCAGTTCGAGCTAATATCTTCTGCGAGCTCTGTAAATTTATCATCGCAAATGCCAGAGCACTCCGATTTCAGCCCAGCGAGGTGGGACACGACGCGACCTCTATTCACATCGAAGGGGGAGGCAGTGGGAACCGATCTCACAAGTCCCGATGTTCCGAAGTCTTCGCCGGCTACAAAACTTTCGCGGAGCTCTATAAATCCGCATCTGACGGGTGCCATCTATGTTCCCTTCTGACGGCTCCTGATGCGGAGGGCAGTTTGGACGCTCCCCCGAACTCCGCGAGCCAGGTCTTTATTGGCGTGTACGGCGACAAGAGCTTCGACGGGCCCGGCCGCATAGAGATCCAAGACGTGCATGAGCGATACGGGAGAAAGGTCATCAACCTCTACTTCGACTCGCCCAGCGCCAAGATTCAAGGCTCGCTGCAGTACAAGAACACCAATACCGATGAGTTATTCGAACTGGCCAAAGGGTGGCTAGAACATTGCCGTAAACACCATGACCAATGTCGTCGGGAATCTACCTCAGCATTCATGCCGACTAGGGTCTTGAAAGTCTCTTGCGCGAACGGTGAGCTGAGTTCTGTACAGCTTTGCCCAACAGCAGAATTGAACTTCCCCAGAGCACCATACCTTGCATTGAGCCACTGCTGGGGCACCCAGAACATCATACAGCTGGTCTCGGGAACTCTGGCCCCCTTCCAGCGAGATGTACCCATTACCAAATTATCTCAGAACTTCCGAGACGCGGCCCTTATAACGGCACATCTTGGCTACCAGTACCTGTGGATCGACTCGCTCTGCATCATCCAAGACTCACCCGAGGATAAGGCCCGCGAAATCCCCAAAATGGCCGAGATATACGGCAATGCCATACTCACTATCGCAGCACTGGGTGCCAAGGATAGTAGCGGCGGCTGCTTTGTAACGCGCAACCCACTGGCCCTCGTACCCGCCCTACTGCGTGATGGTGACGCCGACGTGAGGGACCAGGTCTGGGCTTGGAATCACGCACTCCCGGGCCCTGATGCTGACGGTCTGATCCGACCGCCACTACACCGGAGGGGCTGGGTCGTACAGGAGCGCGCCCTGGCGAGGCGGACGTTGCATTTCGGTTCTGCCATGGTGTACTGGGAGTGTCTCGAGGCCTCGGCTTCGGAGGCCCAGCCCGAGATGCAGGAGCGGGCTTTCTCCACAGACACAAGCGACCCGGTGTTTGCACACCAGGTCGGTATCAAGACGGCGCTGCAGGCTCTCCGGAGGAGTGCGGAGAGTGGCGGCGCCTGGGAGCAGTGGGAGGGCCTCTGGTGGAAGCTGGTCAAGGAGTACACGGCGAGCCAGCTCACCCGCGTGAACGACAAGTGGAACGCCATCTCTGCCCTGGCGATGGAAGCCGAGCAATGTACGAAGATGAGGCTCTACCATGGCCTCTGGGAATGTAACCTGTTTGATGAGATCTTGTGGCAATGCCTCGAGCCAGGTAAAAGGAATGCGTTCGCGCCGTCGTGGTCCTGGCTCTCATACGAAGGCCAAATTCAAGCGAAGCGTTTCAATTACGATGGGGGCTTCCGTCGTCTTGCCACTGTAAATAAGCCTGGGTCTTTTCGAGTGGCCGCGGATGGCCTGGGGCGGTCCCGAGAGCTCTTGATAAGGGGATACGTGTTTCAAGTTTACTCAGAACAGATACAAAGCTCCGACAACGGTGTTCAGCGTTATGCGTTACACTTATGCGAGGACAATTCCGGAGCAGAGCTAGTATGGCGGTGGAGTCCCGACGTCAACCCGAAGGGAGAATGGGATCTCGCAGCCTTACCCTTGGTCAAGAGCTGCGCAGGGGACGGAGAAATCTGGGGGATGGTGGTGCGACCTACCGACGCATCCAAGCTCAGCTGGGCCCGGGTTGGGATTTTTCGGCTATATTGGCTTAACCAGGAGGCAGATGAATTATTGTTTGGAGAGGGAGAGAAACAAGATATCGTACTAGTTTGAGATTACGCAATTAGCTCAGAGGTGATGTGTGCAATTCTTTGCTGAGATTAATATACCCAAGGCACTCTTAACCATAATAGTAATCTTGAATTCTACCGTCATCATCTCATGCTTACAGGCATTTAAAGTCGTCGTCGTCCCACGCCGCGTCGCCATAATCACTCTCCTGCGATGCACTGGGTATGAGTTGAGCCTTTTTTGACTTCTCAAGCATTTCGAGCATCTTTTCAAACGAGCTCTGGGGCTGACTGCGGCCCCGGCTCTTCTGACTGGCAGTCTTGCTCTTCTGGACCTGACTTGGACGGCTGGGCTCGGTGTTCCTGTTAGAGCTGCCGCAAGTCTGATTCTCGGTGGCCTCAACCATTTGTCTTGGCGATTGGTCTGCTTGCGCGGCGGCCTTATCTTCCGCTTCCAGCATTCTCTCGACGAGAAGTCTCTCAGCCTTCTCGTCTTCCTGCCTCAACAAGAAGTCCAGATGTTCCTGAGCTTTCCGACGAGCGTGATCGTCCACCCACGCTGTTGTCTTAGTTTTCTCGATAGCCAAGTATACCCTCTCTTTAGTACCGCTGGACGTAAAAAAGGGTTTGGGGGACGGCCGTGGAGCCACTGGCGTCCGATCAGCAATCTTGTCGCGGCTTTCTCGGACCATGCTTTCGGGCTGGTCGTTCGGAGCACTGAAGTCCTCGCTAATGAGCTCGGCGATGTCTTCATTCGACAGCGGAAACTCATCACGAATATCGTCGAACTGGTGGGGCAAAGCCACGCAGGACGAATCAACTCTAGGGCACGGCTCTTGGGCCGGTCGATTTCTAGGCACTGTCGGTGTTTCCGGTAGGCTACTGGACTGCTGAGAGTTTGGGTGTGTTTTGAGTATTCTCTCATTCGTACCAAGAGCTCTCGGTTTCCCAAGTTTCCCCTTATTACAAGGCGTCTTCGTGCTCCAGCTGCCATCCATTGAACGGCTGTACGAATGAGGATGATCATGAAGTGGACCTTTCCATTTATTACTTGACGTTAAGTTCGAGATTGGTTGCGCCACAGCAGATGTGCATTGAAATCCACTCAAAGACTTTGTGGGTGAACTTGAACCTTCTTCTAGCTCTTTGATGTCTTGAGATGAAAGGAGCAAATCCTGTGTGGACAGAAATGGCATGTAGTCAACAGCTGGTGTCTCGAGGGTTTTTTGTGAAGTAGATAACCCCCCACAGTTCGAGTTACTCTTGATGAAAGGCTCCTTGTGGGGATTCTTTGCCGTGGGATGAGAGTTGCAGGCCAGAGATTGTGGCGTAACCGAGTCGCGCTTGCCTCCACGGTGGCTGCTTGCCCGGTCCCGAAGTTGTGGCCTGGAGGTAAAGCGAGTAGGCAGTGGTGCTGTCTTGGGCCGTGTTTGAAGGGGTCCTCGGCGTACTATTGGTTTCTCAAATATTTCTTCGGCCTCTTGGGAAGGACTTGGAAAGAGATCATCCACGTTGCTCAGAAGGAAGAGCTGCGTACTCGACGGCGGCATCGAGTCTTTAGAGCCAGGAGTACCAAGATGATTACCCTGATCTACTGGCAAGGCGACCGAAGGAGATTTGGCAGGTAAAAACTTGGGTGCTCCCGCCTTGTGCACTGAGGTCGCAGGACCGTGGGGTTTGAACTTTGGGGGCAAGGGTGGCGGTCCCATAGGAGTCTTTGGGGAGCGAAACGAATTCGCACCGGACAGAGCTGTTTGCGGCTTTCGAAACGGGGGCTTAGAGGTTGACACAGATGGTACTTGCCTCGTTGGCGGCTTCCTATCGGACCACCGAGGGTTGTGACCAATATCCTGATTCAGGGGCAGATCCCGCAAGGGGGGTCGAGCTGCGCCATCGGCAGTGTTGGATGTTGGGGATCTCTGCTTGGGTTTTGCGTTTGGCTCAGGATTTTGCTGGGTATCGCTTGATGCAATACTTTTGCCCGAGGAAGCAGTTGTAGGGGAAAGAATCGGAGCCGCATCGACCACCATGGGCGTAACCGTTTCGCTGCTGGGGCTGTCGCAAGACGAGACGGGCCTCCGTACCATGGTGTCGGGAGGAACCGTCTTGTTTTCAACCAGTGCCTCATCACCAGGCACTCGGTTCTCAAGTTCGCAACCTGCTAGAGCTATACTATCGGCGGCAAGAGGGCCTTGATCTGGAGGCTCTGGTGGAGGCAAAGTCTGTTTCACACAAGTATCTTTCTGATCCGTAGCAGCAGCTGCTACGTCGAAGGCTTCGATGTCGATATCATCGAACAAGCCGTCGTCTGCAGAGAAGGACTCGCTCAGGATCTGCTGGTTCGCCAAGTCCTCCGTAACGGGATCATCGGGGTCCAAACTGGCCAGTCTTGACCGCTCCTGCGTCCCCGCGGGTCCTTGCTTGAGTGGGGATGCATCTGCCGGCCGTGAAACTGCATCAATAAGCTTAGGCTCCTTGGATATGCCCTCTGGTACAGGCTCATCTCGTGGCGAAAGCAGCGGCGACGGCCCGGCACGCTGTCGCTTCGCAGGTCTGTCGGTCCCGTCCTCCGGAGAAGAGGCTACGTCCCAATCGTTTTCTTGAGAAGCTGGCGGTTGATCTGACATCTTACTGCGCTCTGTGATGCGCATCAACATGCTGCTGCTGTCCCGCGCCGTCGGTTTCAGATCTTCATGGCCGCCTTCTTCCTGCTTCGGGGCCGGCTTCTTTATGAACCGGGCGATTGTGTCCTGGCTGGGCCGGACTTGGACGAGGGGCAACCCTTTCTTCTTCTTCTCGGCCTTCTCCCTCTCCTCCTTGTCTCGCTTCCTGTCCCTGGCGGTGCGGGCGCGGGCCTGATTGCGCTCCTTCTCCAGCTCGCGGCGTATGCGGTCCTGCTCCATGAGGTCCTGGCGACGCTGCTCAGCCTTGGTCAGCTTGGGGCCCTTGGTGCGGGCCTTGTATGCCTTCTTGGCCTCCTTGGTGGTCATGGGTCGCTCCGAGGGCCGACGCGGGGCGGAATCGGTGCCGGTGGTGCCATTGAGGGCAGAGGGCAGCTCGGGGATCAGGGAGAACGTCTGCTGGATAGGGGCCATGCTGGGGGCATGTACCCGACTGTCTGCATAGCGACAGTTGCAGTGAACGCGCCCGAGATTGGGGGAGTTATTGCTTTTTCTTTGTGAGTGCACCAAATGCACCTCGGATCGTGCTACACGCGTTCGAATGGTCGATGGGATGTAATTGCTTCGTCTGATGTGGGATGGATATTGACAAGGACAAGGGAGACGCGATGCCGTCGCGTGGTGGGGGGGCAGTCGCTGCTGCATGGGGGAGCGAAAGCACATGACAGTCGCACAGTGCGCAATCCATTGTAACGCAGCCCTACGCACCCGAAATCATACAGTGTGCATATAGTACGACACCGGCCTCTGTCCGTGCAGGTAACCCACCATTATGATTACCTAGGTGATTCTTGAAGTGAATGTCAAGACGAGCTTGTGATCTTACTAGATCGGAGCACTTCTACCAGCATAATGAGGTCGGGTTTGCTACGTAAAACACTGACGCGACCCAAAGGGTCTGGTTTCCCAGTCAGTCTAGTTGGAGTAATACTGCCCCACCCTCTAGAGAAGGAGAACGGACGACATTACGAGATCCCCCTCACGCGTATACTGCAAATGGAAGAAATTCACCTCCTCCCGAGGTCATGGTTAATATCAGGAGACACGCAAATGGTAATTCTTCCCAATTGTTGTTACTCCTCTTCATCTCCCAGCCCCATTTGATTGCTTCAATGTGGCCCGGTACCACGGTAACAAAAAAAAAGGATCGGGTGTCCTCCCTTGGACCAACGGATAGCCTCCCTTCTTCCGGCGTACATATTCTAGCCGAACGAGACTCTCGCTCTAGGCCTGCATTAAGCGACAAGTCACACAATAGACAAACACACAAACACTAGAAGATTTAATGAGCGTTAACAAACTCTGATTATAAAATTATATGCCATGTTCAACTACACAACAATGCCTTTGGGGGTATATCACTACTATAACATGTCATCCATCGTCTAATCGTCTCCTTGCCTAAACATCATGCATCATCTTAGAAGCGTAGCTTATGGGCAGGACGGCTCGCCGAAGGGAGCGGGGCATCCGATTTGGGTACCCAGCACATCACCGGAAACACCACCAAGCTGCAGTGCGGCACCAACGACACCACCAAGACCCTCACCGGCAATCAGGCCGGCAGCCGTGGCGTATCCGTAGATGTCGAATGACTTGAGGTTCCACTTGCGCCAGCAGTGAGCGACAATGGCACCAAAGAGCGAGGCCGTGGTGAACACCGGGTTGGGCAGGACGAATGCCAGGGCAATTGCACCCCAGTTGGGCAGGTACTCTCGGATCCACTCACGCTCGCCAACCAGGTAGTAGTGGCGGACGACAACCTGGAGAATCGAGACCACACCCATGACGATGGAGAAGATACCTGATGTGAGCGGGATGCTGACATTCGGGTCCGTGACGGCCTGGGCGACGGCCTTCCATGCCGAGACCGAGGGGATACCAAAGGCACACTTGTCGGCATCGGGGTCCAGGATACAAGGGTAAGCCGAGGTGAAGAGTACGAACAATCCAGGGGCCAGGAAGACGGCAACGAACGTGCCAATCGCCTGGGCCGTCCACTGCTTGACGGGCGGGGTGCCGAGGAGGAAGCCAGTGCGGAAGTCACCTGTCAAACTCGTCGCCACATCGGCAGCACCCGAGGCCAGACCACCCGCGACCAAGTTGACACGCTGGGCATCCTTGATCGTCAAGCCGCTGTTCTTGGTGGCAGCACCGAAGACGAGCTGCGAGGCCTTGGAAGCGGCTGTAAGAGGTGTCTGATCCGTCACAGCACCAATCTGGATGGCCAGGAAGGAGAACAGGAAACCGAGAACACAGGCAAGAACCGTCAATCCAGGGTGCATGCCCCACAGCAGGGCGAAGACAACCATGGCAACGACGATGGTAACAAGGAGACCGACAATCCACACCCAGGTCTTGACCTGGTCCTCCGGGCGGGCGGTGTCCTGGACAAAGTTTGCATCGTCGGAGCCGGCCCTGGCTGCGCGCTTCTCGAAGAAGGCAACGTGCTTGCCGCGCTTCACGAGGAAGCTGTTGATGCCACCGCACATATCCCGTCCGACGGTGCTAAGGCCATACCACACAATCTTGTACTGGACGAAGAGCTCGGCCATGGAACAGCAGACCATGATCATGACACCGGGCCAGAGTAGCCAGTAACGGGGCGACGGCGTCTGCTTGCCCAGGTTCTTGAGGGAGGCAAAGGTGTAATAACCATCCCAGTTGGGGTCGAAAATCTTCTCCCCAGTCACTTCGTCGACCATGGAGTTCTGCGCCAGTCCAATGCACTCGCCGTAGTGGACAAGGGTCGGGCCGATGACACCCCACGCCAGAACGGCACCGCCGAACATGGAGATGGCCGAGTTCATTCCGATCAGCATTCCACTGCCAATGAAGGCAGGAGTCCATTCAAAGTACCATCCCCACGACTCAATGTTCATGGCCCAGGAAGTGTAGCCACTCCAGATGTGGATCCAGGTGAAGAAGTGCCAGTCGTACAGGATACCAATGGCGTAGTAGGAGGACACACGCTGCACCAGGGCGGCTCCGAACGAGACGCCCAAGGCCTTCAACTTGCTCATGGCCTCCTTGCTACCGGCGGCACCGGCGTGCATGGAGCGAATGGTCAGGGCAACGGCAGTCGGGGTAGGGAAGAGCATCTTCAGCTCGCGCGCCACCTGGATGACGAAGAACTTTCGCAGCGGCGTGACGAAGAACAGACCGAAGAAGGAGCAGACGAGCGTGATGGTCAAAATCTTGCCATACTCGTCCTTGGGGTTGCCGGTCTCAGCCTTTAGCTGGTACATGGCGGGGATACCGGCCACAAAGATACCGGCGATACCACCGGCACCAGTTGCAGCAGCCTGGACGATACTGTTCTCCTGGGGTCCAAAGGAGCCGCCAAGAATGGGGATGTTGCCGCAAGTTTGCGACATGATCTTCAGGATACCGTATCCGAAGATGGCACCGAACATGGATGCCGAGAAGGTGAATCCCGTTTTCAAACCTGCCAGGGGGGTCAGCACGCGCGCCGTATACTCGTGACGGTATTCAGATGGTCTTACCAAGGTACAGGTTGGAGGCGTTCACCAGGGAACCCAGCAAGATACCGACCACAACGGCACGGATGGTCAGAGGGTTCGGCTCGTGGGGGATGTCGGCTTCCATCTTCAGGGGCACGTAGAGATCGAGGTCCTCCTCGATCTCCGTGACCTTGATGGCCTCATCCTGCTTCTCCATGAGCTCCTTCACAGTCTTCTCCTCGCTGTTCTCAACGCCAAACTCGGTCTTTGGTTCAGCCATGGTTGCGGGGTCTGGGGGCCGTCGACGAGACAAACCGATGGGAATGGTCGAGAAGCACGAAGAGACGTCCCGAGAAGGGGGGACACGGCTGGCATTAATATGTGGCTGCGGGGTAGGCCGTCCGACCTCACGTTCCTCAATTTCCCTGGTGGCTGTCGGAGTTGAAGCGTGAATTGGGAGGGTAGCATATTTGCTGATAGAGCTAGCGGACGGAGGGCAGCGCGGATCCACACCCTACCCCATGCCCGGCATCCCCTGTCCTGCACGTCGGCCAGGGCCCAGGGGTGCTGTATGGGTCGCCCGCCGCCGGCGCAGGATGCAGACGCAACCACTCGCTCTGGACCGAGAGATTGCCACTTGGGACTCGCCCATTCGGACGCAGATAGACGCGGACATCGCAGGGTCGCAGGGTCAGCGCCAGCCAGACCTGGAAGACCCCTCGCAACAGTCGCCCAGGCCGTGGACCGCGGGCACTACGGGGCAAGGACTTGTGAGCCGCGAGGCCTGAACAGGCAGGTGAAGCGCTAGCCAGACCCGACCGTCAGGAAAGTTCGCCCGCAGCCCGCAAGGCGATCCTGCGCGTCCATGCCCGCCATACCTACCAGGCCGACCTAGGGGAGGGATGGATGTCGATTCGAGGTTTCGACTCGCTACAGCGGTAGTCGAGTCGTGCAGCCCGCCGCCATCCATTCCACCAACGAGCTGCGAGATGTGCGCATCTGCCCGAGGATCAGCATGGCGATTTGTTCCAGAAGGATGTCCAGAAGCAAGACCGAGGGGCCGCGTGAACACCAATCAAGGCCGATAGATTTACATGTCCTAGATAACGAGGATTCCTGCACCCCATGTCTCTCTCAGCCGTTCAGAGTCAGCCGTTCACCGTGTGTTCAGGCTGCAGTCGTTTTTCCACTCCATTGAGCCACACGTTTCCAAGGGTTTCAAGCCGTGCCGCTCTCGTGCATTATCTCCTGAACGCCGGGACGCCCTAACTCAAAGCATTGTCAATATATTAGCGGCTAACCAGATCCTTCTCGCTGAGCTCGACGACGGCCAGTCACTCAGCATTACCAGCTCGCATCTCGTTTGGAGATTCGCACATGTTGCGCCAGGGATCTGGGCGTGCTACCCTACCAACAAGCCTGGTAAGTAGAGCGCCTCAGCGCCTCTTTGTGCAGTAGTCCATGTCTATTCCTGTCAACCCCAGCAGAGCCCAATCACAGCACACATTTCATGCTTCTCGCGAGCTTGCTTTCTGATCCTTCGGCCATGCTTCGGCCATGGGGCCATGTCTGGCGCGCGACTGTTAAGTTACCGGTAGTGCATTGGAAGGCAGCAAGGTCACACCGCAGCTGGGCTGCATTCACAAGTTAGTTATGTCCGACCTCGAAATGCCGGTGAAGCCACACAATGCGGGCGAGGTGGACGGCCGGCGCCAATGGGTCTTTGCGACGCCTCTTGGCGATTCGAATGAGTCGATGGCAGCCGAAAATGTCAAGTCGCTTTCAAACTGTTACATAGGACGAAATAGTAAAAGGAGACGGCAGCCTTGGATCCAACCAATGGTACACCGGGTGTCCCTCGCTGCTCTTAGCCTATCCCGCCTATCCCGCCAGCCTGTGCCCGCCGGTGTAAGTATGTACATAGTAGCTACCTAGGTACGTCTGACAGGGTCGTTTAGGCGGCTCTGGGGCGCAGAGATGCTGCAGCACTTGGCTCGGGGCAGCTCCGCGTTTTGGGGTAGTCTCCCCGTTAGCACTCTTCTAGAAGGCTATCCCGACCTCCTTCTTCCCCTGGCGCCCTCTCCTTCTCGTAAAGGCTGTCGCCCCAAGCTTCTCAAGCTTTCTTCACCAAGAAAACGTGCAGGCGGATGCGGTTTCCTGCAGTCGCCAAGGCTCTTGTCCACGGCTTAACTTCCACACGCCCAGACGGGAAGGTCGCTCAATATAGATGTGTCACCACTATGGTCTGCTATGTCAGGCGGCTGCCTACTAAGGCAGCCTCGAGTCATTCCAGCATTACAGCTCGTGAGGTTCCGTCGCTGAACAATGACCCAACTAACTCAAGCCTTGGTGTCAAGTGTCATATCATTCTGTGTTGGTTTCCATAAACCCGGCGGCTTGCGACGCAATTAGCGACAGGACCTCGGGACACGACGCGAGAAAGCAGTCCAGTCGTCTCGAGTGGCTCTGGTCTAGATGGGCGCTGGACCGTTAGGAGCGGGTTCTCCTGGTGGCGCCGCGCTTCCTAGCGGCGGTTAACGCCCTTTGGCTGATAGACGCCAAGGCCGAGACCAGGGCCAGTGCTGAACCTGTCAAGATTCAACTGGTCATCATCAAACCTGGAGGCCCACCACCCCGGAGCAATATCCTATTCCATCCATCTGATTATTTGATGCTGGATCCTACGGTCGTAGCAGCGCACTCTCGTCAGCCTCGCAGTCCGAAAGACTACCAGCACGCTTTAGAGTTTCCCGAATGCTGACAGAGTGCCCAGGTGTGGCCTAGTATGCTCTGGTGTGAACAAGGACACATCGAGATGGCGATGAACCTCCATTGAGTAGGTATTACTGAGTCACCTTAACCCCCGGGTGCATCCGTCGCACGCGGAGAGCATCCGCTTGGATATGGTCCGCCATTCACGCACGCATCAGGGTTCAGGGCTTGTCCATCCGGAGGCTCTTATCACAGGCTGACAGGTCAGGGCCGAACCCAACCAAACGTTAGCCGGTAACGCTTCTCGATGCTCGGTGAGGCAGACTATAGCCCTCGCTATGAGTCAACCCGAACCATGTCGACTACTGATGCGAGTTCGGAAATGGCAGTTCAAATACATGACTGTATGAAATTGCCTAGACTACCGTCAGCGGATCTAGATCGGGCTCTTCCGGGCAACCTTATACACATCCTCGGCTCTGACTCAGCCCATCATGGTCTCACAGATTGAATTAATGGGTCGACTCGTATCACCTGCCACCCACGATGCGAGAATGCTGACTGCAGACTGTGCACACGGGGTTTCTGGTTATGTCAGATCTTGCCGTCATAATTCCACTTCGTGAGCCTACATGGTCACGCTTCACGAGAGACAAGCGATGATCTTCTCTGATCTTAACATCACACGTGGATTCTGCCCAAACCGTAACATCAGCACCCCATGCACTCACAAATAGGAAGAGAGAGAGAGAGAGAGAGAGAGCTCTCAAAGGTTAGCCTGGGCGCCCAGCAGCCCAGCAGCCCGGCCTCCCAGGTGGCTCAAAGCTATGGTCCAAAGCTATGGTAACGATCCACACAAACTAATGCAGTAACTACACCAAGCTCAATCCATCGCCACTGCCTCGGGTCGCCTTGCCGATCTATGATCCTAAAAACATCTGAAAGTCCGGGGAGGTGGGGAACCCCTCAAGGCTGGAAGACTCGATAGATAACGTTGCATGACACCCTGGCTCGTCTAGGATCCTGGCTGCCAATAATGGGATCGAGAGGCTGTCTCGGACTTCACGTCGTGACAAGACAAGCCTCGCGGTGGCGGTATACAAGCTCTTTGAGTGAAGCTTGACCTGAGGTTCATGCAACGTTTGCGGTCGAGCCAAGAGGATCAAACTAGCCCATTTCCTGGACCAGGCCAAGGGGCACTCGAACCGTCACCGCTGGCTCGACTTGCTTAGAAGATTTGCTCGATAGGAAGAAATCAGCAATGCATCAATTTTTATCATGAGATTGTCTAGCAACATACGCCACCCTCCAGGTTGAGTCCATTCCCCTCTACAGCAACGCAATTCCGCTCTAAGTCCTACTACGCCTTTGACAATTTTCTCTAGCAATCCGATCCCAACGCATTCGTAATATTACACACAACACTCTAGAACTCGGTGTTTTGCAACCCATAGTCCCCCGCTCAGAACCCTTCCTCCAGCTCAAAGAAGCCGGTCGCGTGGAGCTCGTATCGAACTTGGCTGAGGGCCACTCCGTTGGTGGTCAGGTAGTTCGAGATGTCCAGCATGAACTGCTGAGGTCCACAGATGAAGTACTCGGCCGATTTGTTGTTGAAGAACATGTCATCTGCCTTGAGCCATTCTAGGTAGTATCCAAACCCAAGGCTGTCCGTCGACTCCGCGAGGTCCTTGTTGCCCATACCCGTGTTGAAGAATGTGGTCTTGATGTTTGGGTGTGCCTTGGCTAGGTCAGTCACATACTCCTCGAAGGGAATGCTATGCTTTGATCCCTGAACCCACGAGATCGGCCGGTTCGGGTCTTTCTCGATGATAGTGTTCAACATGGACAGCATGGGCGATACACCAACGCTGGCAGATATGAAGACCAAGGGCGTCGAGCTCGAGTCATTCTTAGTATCAAGGTACACATCGCCGGTGGGATGGGTCAGCTCCAAGGTATCCCCCTCGAGGATTTCGTCGACCAACAGTCCCGACACAACACCCTGTTTCTTAACCCCGTAATCCATAAGCCCGAGGAAGCTGTCGCCAGTCGTGCTCTCCACCGCAGTTGAAAAGGAAGACGAGCGGCTGTGAGATCGGAGCGTCGGTGACCTTCTGGACGGGGGCGTATGGCCATTCTCGCAAGAGCAGCCTTCATGCCTCTCCGGAACCTTCCGCACAGTGATCCTGTACCGGTCTGGGCGCGGCCTGTCGCTGAGAGAATACTGCCTGATCTGCAGGTAACCCGATCCGGGAACGCGGACGCGGAGCGATATGTACTGTCCTGGCATGAACGAGGGCAACGGGCTGCCATCCACCGGCTTGAGCTCAAAGGACACCATGTCGCCCTCTCTAGTTTCCCGAGTCTTCTTGTCGACGATGAAGCGCCGCCAGCCCTCCCAGCCCTTGAACTCCCGGTATATCTGTTGCTCCCGGTTGGACAGCATGTTGGCCATGATCCAGTAGGCTTTGGTCCAAGCGACGCGGACCTCGCTGGTCATGTCTTTGCCCAAGACCGCCGCGAACGCACGCATGAGGTACTTGCAGACGATCTCATAGTGCTCGGGCTGAATGCCCAGACTGGTGTGCTTGTTGGCCACGCGCTCCAGCTTTGGCGTGAGCTCGCTGGTGTGACTAATGTTAGAAGCAAACGCCAGGATGAGCTTGGTGAGGGCACGTGGCTGCGTCCCGTTCTTCATGTTCACAGCGTTGAAGTAATTGTTGAGCTCTGGATGCTCCTTGAGCATGGTCTTATAGAAGACGGTGGATATGTGCTCTCCATGTTCTCGCAGGGCCGGAATGGTCCCCTTGACCAGGTTCATCTGCTCGTAGGTGAGTGACATGATGGACAGCTTGAGTGGGGTTTACCCATCAAGATGCCAGAGGTAAAGGTAGAGGAAGAGGAAGAAGGTAAAAAGAGATGATGATGACAACGAGACGAGGTGGGAACCACTGGCCGTCTATTGCAATCGATGTGTGAGAAGGGGGGAGGGTCGTATGATGTCAGGCTGTCCAGGGCGAAGATGATTGGGATATATAGGTGGATGATGGACGATGGGCGATGGACGGCGGACGGCTGGAGGCTGCGAGTGTATCTGCGGGATGGCGACAAACTGAGGTCAAGATAACGTGGTCAAAAAGAAAGTTCTCCAAGGGAAAGAACGGCCGTTGAAACTTTTCAACTAATGGCTTGGAAGATAGGAAAAGATAGATTAGACAATTTCACGGCGTATCGCAGTCCTAGGAAACCCGAGATCTGATCACTACTCAACTTTTTTTGTTTTTTTTTTTTGTTTTTTTAGTATATCACTTTTCAGTTCTGCGCCGGCCGCGACAGATCCAAGTCGCAGGATGCCTGATCCCGGCACCCATGTGTACCCGCCTCGCATGGCAACATGGAGAGAAACGAACCAAACATCGGCCAGGAAGACCTGAGGTCGAGGTGGGCAAAGTCTGACCTGTGACGCAAAGGCGCTGCCGCAGGCTGCACGGTGGACTACCGGCTGGTCACGCGAGGGGAAGAAGATTGAGGTATCAGAGTTTTTCATCGCCAATCGGGTCTTTCAGGCACGAACTGCAGCTGCGATGTGGAAGACGTGCTGTATGTTAAATTGGACTGAGGTTGTCGAGCCCGTCACGATCAGCCCACTTTGGGCTCAGATGGCACGATAATCGACCGAGCCAGTGGAACCGCCACACCCAAACACCCACGGGCCGCTGCAGCAGCTCAACGCTCGTGGGGTTCGCAGGGACAGCCCGGGCTGCCAAGGTTACCTTAGGGCGCCCCCAAGGGCTATCGAGGACCCTGAAAATCATCCAGGTCGGCCAATCGAGATTGCTTCTAGTGCTTCACGAGCCCTCAGGTCCTCAGGGCCGCCCGAAGGGTCCGGGCCCCTTAGCCGGCAGGGTGCCTCGGGTGTGAGCTTCTGATGGTTCTGATGAAACCTAGCTAACGTACTGTCGAGGCTCGTCTACAGAGCCCGGAGGCGCCCGTCCGGCCTGTACGTAGTATGCCACCTACATTGGATGCGGTCTCTACTCGCGCACCTTGTGTGAAGTGCTCGCTGCGCTGTGTCACTTCTAGTAACATGTAAGGTACAGGCCCCCAAGCCTCCCAAGCCGAACGTCCGAGAAAAGTGACTTGGTGGCTTCGGTGCCTCTGCTTTGGGAAATCATCTCGCCCGAGAACGGCTGTTCCTTTGCTTTTCTCCATGTTTGGTATGGGTGCAAAAGAAACGCCGTGCTCGGCAATTTCTTTTGAGGTGTTGCAGGTTGATCGGATCATCGCCCTCCACGTTGGGGCCTGTTCGGAAGGGAACGGCGCGGAGGCAGCGTGGCTGAACCATCCGCCGCTCAGCGACCGCCTATCCACGGTCTAATGTTAGTTGCTGACCGTCTCAGCGAGCCGAACCGCAACCTTGGAAGTTGATAAGGCAACCTGTGTTTGATCGAGGACCGCAGGATCCACTATACTACCTGCTGTACCTGCCAGATCGGAGGATCACGCTTCAGCCTATGTAGAATGTGGGCTTTTATTGGGTCATTTCCCACGCCAATGAACATTGTATAGCCCCGCTGCATATTATATCATCATCATGGCAATCCGGAACGTGGCTCTCGTCGGCGCCAATGGCAACCTTGGCGGTCCCATTCTGGATGCCCTGATCGCCTCAAAGGCCTTTATCATTACCGTCCTCCAGCGGGCATCATCCGGGTCAAACCCCACCTCGGACCCTAGCGTGCGCGTCGTCTCCGTGGACAATGACATGACATACGAGAGTCTCGTCGACGGCCTGCAGGGCCAAGATGCCTGCATAGCCAGCTTTCCACTCAGGGACACTAGCCAGCACCTCCGGCTAGCTGACGCTGCAGCGGCTGCTGGCGTGAAGCGCTTCATCCCCGCGGACTACGGCAGTTGCGACTCGAGCAGTAAGCGAGCTCAGGAACTCGTGCCTCTTTTTCTAAACAAAGTACGGGTGCGGGAGCGTTTACAGGAGCATGCGGCCAGAACCCCCAGCTTCACTTGGACGAGTCTGGTGGCCGGCCACTTCTTCGACTGGGGCTTGAAAGAGAACTTTCTGCATTTTGACCTGAAGGCCAAGACTGTCGACATCCTGGACGACGGGACTCGCAGGAGCTCCACCTCGACTCTTGTGCGGATCGCCCATGCTGTGGCCAAAGTGCTCACAGATGAGCAGGTAGGTCGCAACAAGACGCTCTTCATACAGAGCTTCTGCGTCTCGCAGCTCGACGTGCTCGCGTCACTCGAAAAGACCACCGGCGAGAAGTGGAGAGTCAACTGGCTCAAGTCGGATGACTTCATCCGGGAGAACAAGGCCAAGGCCGACGCTGGGGAGAGGGCGGCGATTGAGCACCTCGTCTGGGCACTCGGGGTCGTGGACGGCGACTGGGAGAAGAAGGATGGGTTTGCCATGGAAGCGCTCGGGCTTCAGAATGAGGACCTGGATGAGGCAGTCAAAAGTGTCGTTTCCAAGATCCCTTAAGTTCTTAGAGATACTTTACGCGGCCCATGCCTATACACAAGAACAGCTCTGGGACTTATCGAACACGTTATGTACGAAGTATCATGCAATTTAGATAATAACTGCCGATAGCAGTCCGGATCTCGTGCCATTTGCAGGCATCTCGTGCCAAAAGGAATCATCTTCTTCTGTTTAATCGCTGGGATACTGGCGAGTATAGGTCGAGTTTGAAGATCTGCACGGAATCCTTATCCGGCTGATCATGCGAGATCCCACCAGATGTTCAGCCCATGGTGCATGATCGGCTCGGAACCTGAAGCATCCATGGGGAGGATGTGGGAAGCGGCTCGGCACAGACCGAGCCAATAGTTTTTCAGGGGTTGGCAATTGTCCCGTTTCGTAGTTGAACAAGGGCTTCGGTGTGCTGTGGAGGAGAATTCACTCTTCATCCCCATGATCTCGATCCATCCTAGGACTGGCTCAGGGCAAAGGCGTCTCACAACAGAGATGTTATCTTATTTGTTCATGAGACATCGTATTATGAGCTATTCTATCTCTATGCCGTATGTACAGCCTCGTCAAACTGTCTGAGGACATAGTCTCTATATAGACCAGATGCCAGTGTAGAAGGCCGTTAAAATCAAATTACGTTGACGCCATTTTGATGCAGAGCCCAGTTTGCGACTTGGGATTAAAGTATTCCAGCCAATCCTATCGCAAAGAATGCACCAACCCAGACGGGAATCCAAACAGTTGAGGCAGTGTATAGCGAGGGCGCCGCATTGCCGGTGCCAGTACTGCCAGCGGCTGCTCCAGTGCCCGTGGCGGTGCCTGTAGGCAGCGTGCCTGATCCCGTAGACGAGGCCGAGTTTCTAAAGTTGGGCGGATCGCACTGTCCAGTTATCTGGCTCATGTTCATGGACGTGGTGATCTCCACTTCGTTGGTTCCGCAGTTGACATACTGCGCAAGGTGGATGGCGTCGTTGGTCTGGTCGAAGACGGCGTACGCAGACCGCAGCATCGTGTCGCCGAGCAGGACGAAATCCGAGTTCGGGGTAATGCCGAGGTAGCACTGCGTTCCAAAGCTGGTGCGGAGCTCCCGGATCATCTCGTTATACGGCACCTGAATTGTGATGCCGGGAAACGCGAAGTCCACGGTACCCGGAAGATTGTTCAGTGAGCAATCAACCAAGTAGAATCCATTGGAATCGGTGCCATCAGAGCCGAAGTCTGCAGCTACCGCATCGGCGAGGGCCTGAGGAAGTAGCGTCAGAGTTGCGCCACTGTCGAGGAAGACAGCCATGGTTGAGTTGTCGTACTTCTTCACGTTTCCACTGGGCGGCGTGAGGCTCATGTGGTCCATCGCGATCCAATAACGGGGCACGCCATCTGGAGATTTCGCTGCGGGTATAATGGGCTGCGACTGTAGTGTACCAGCAAACTTGCCCGTGTCGATACCTCCAAAAATAACCACGCCCTCCTGTTCGCTCTTACTACCAAGAGCGAGGCTGAATGCCTTGGTGTCAGTGACTCCCTGGTCCTGCAATTCGTCCACAAAGTTCTTGTAACGAATTGTAACATTTTCACCATGTCCAATTCCTAGAATCCCCGAGAATTCATCTACTGTAGTAGTAGCTGCACCAAACTGCACACTTTTGAGTTGCGAATCTATCCCAAGTGTTAGAGCAGTAAATATCACATTGCATATGAAGCTGGTACTTACTTGAGCCGGCAAATGTGATATCGTCAGTGACGTACTGAATGTTGGCACTGCCGATACCATATCTCAAGGTTTTCGTCGACGTTGAGACAACAGAAGACGATGAGGAGGATGGGTTGTAGGACCCAACCGCTTGACAGAACCGAATATCGGATGTCGCCTCCAAAGTTGAACAGTCAGGATTCACCCATAATTCAAAGGAGCCCGTATCCAGTTGAACATAATTCGGCTGCGGTGGGTTGCCGATATCCACTGTGGAAGGTTAGTCACGGATCGAAGTCAAATGTCCAGTTGAAGAGCATACATCTCGCATAGTAAGCCACATCGGAACGATTGGCTAACGGCAACGTCTGGATACCTCGCTTCGACGACCAGACATCACGTTTGGCCCACACATCGGCGAAAACGTCCTGGTTTGTAGAATGGATTACTGGAAACTTGACATATTTCCCTGAGGAGTCCGTGCTGTCAGCCCGTGGCGCAACGTCCACGGCGTGACAACTGGCGACTGAGACCAAGGCGAAGAGTGAGAGAAGGCGGGACGCCATCTCTGGCGTAGAGCGGACCTGCTGCTACCTCGCTGGCCGCATGGATTGAGCAAGAAAGAACTTCGAATAGTCCCGAATTGCAGCAAAGTATCCGATACTTGACTCCGTCCCTCGTGAAACAGCACTCAACGTCTAACTCGATAATCGACGGCAGCCTCTGGCTCCCTGTGCTACAGGTAACAAAGGGTTCCTCCAGCGAACCAAGGCGGGAAAAGAACGACGGAAGCAAACGAAGGCGAAGGACGGGAAACGCAATAATATCAACGAATGAGATGCCAAGAACCCCGTGTAATGCCAGCACCGAGAGACTTACAAAAGCAAGAGAAATAGTCAATTACCAAGAGAAGCCGCAGAAATGCCCAGAAAGGCTGAACGGTGGGAAACACGACGCACTGAACCACTCAGCTCGTCTCCTACGGTTCTACGGCATCGGCTAGTCCCATGCCCAGAGCAGAGCGCAGCAGGCCCAGGTGGGAGGGCAACTTGGCGGTCCAGCGCAGTACCGCATGGGATTAGAGCGGGCACTAGAAACCCCCCGTATTACGCCTGCCGCGCCAGGCTAGTTTCCAGCTGTGAGCGCTGGGCGTGCGTGAATGCGGTCTTGAATCCGTCGAGCTGTGACAAACTTGGCTGGGCAGATCAAACACAGGCGTTGTATTCCCTGTCTGTCTGGCTGTCTGCAGGGATCCTCAGGGGGTTCATTTGCCCCGCCAGCCTCATGTGATGGGGCGCCAAGGGCTTGAATCGCTGGGCGATACCTCCGGTTCTCTGGGCTGCTTGCTGGGCAGTGGCTCAGAAGTGGTTCTGCTCCCTCGCAAGAATTTCTATAGCCTGTGCATGTTCGGCAGCTTCGCGAAGAGACGACAAGACCTGTCATTGTAGCACGACCGACTGGGTTGTATGTCGACCCATGGAGCTATGCGATGAGGACGATTGCCTACCCAGGTACATAACTACAGTGGCATTCGCGTCCTTGCCCGGCACCCCAGATGGGTTATAGTACGATCGGCACTGCAGGTCTTGATGGGGCCCATTGGCTGGTACCGAGCGAGCCGACTTCACAGCCTACAGCGTCGGGGCCCACAGAAGCTGAGCCCTACGACACCGCAGCTTCTTGACCCGTGCTTGACCATTGGCCGCGTCAGGCCGCGTTGAAGGCGTTGTTGTCGTGGAAAAACCACAGGGCAAGCGAGAGGATCCATCTCATCTTCAGTGTGCCACAGGTCCCTGGCCCGAAAACCTGATGCAGCTCTTGCGTTCGTTCTGTCTTGCACCGGAAGGGCAATGCCGCAGCATGTGCTGATGTGTGTTCCACTGCAAATGCGCGCAATGAAGTCGAAGGCGTTTCAAGTCATGCTGCAGGCGCCGGAAACACCAGTGCACGCTACTAGCCCCCTCAACGGTTCAATGAGTGAAACACACCTAGCATACTATTTTTAAAGCGAGCTGTGCCAGAACTGGTCCTCACCTTCACGGGCCTAGCAGTCCATCGGTCTGAGGAGTAGAACCACTCTTCCAGTACTCCCACCACTACCAGTCTCTACAATAACTAACCCTCGTATCGCAGGATGCTCTAGCCACTTCATAAAGAGCATGAGCCTCCCGTTCCGATGCGTGTAATCCCCATGGCCCATGTGGCTATTCTCAGTGTCGAATACGTGCACATGCGATTAGAACTCGCCAAAGCACGCAGGAGGCCAGCTAGAGCTTTATAGCAGATTACCGGGTCATTCTCTATGCCACTCGCCACTTAGTCCACCGCATGCTGTCTTGGGTCCAGTGCAACGACGAGATAAAGTGTCGCAGTACAGAAAGCATGAGGACAAGTCGTTCACGTTGCGACACACGCACACAAGACATGTCTTTGCGAGCTTGGCTTCGAAGGGAACTTCCCAGTTCAACAGTACTGGGTCACCTTCGGGATTTGAAATAGCGAGTTCAACGCTCGAGCTCTGGGACTCGATTCTCTAGCCTTTACCACACAATGCCCACGAGACCACCTGCTGTTCCCTGCATTCACTGCATCCGCCGCATCTGCTGCTAAGTCAACGGCTTATTTCGCGGTCATAAGGTCATAGAATTCTTCGACTGTTTGTTGGGCGTTAGCAGATGCAATACAGTCAGACATTCTGAAACTCACAGTCGATGGTACCATTGCCATCCTTATCGGCCAGCGACATCATCTCGTCAACTTCCTTTTCGGTCAGGTTCTCTCCCAGCGAGATCAATACCTGGCGGAGTTCCGCTGTCGAGATGGTGCCACTGCCGTCGGCATCAAAGACGCGGAACGCCTCGCGGAGTTCGCTCTCGAGGTTGGACGCCGCAGTCTTCTGCGACATCAGCTTGAGGAATTCTGCGCGCTCGTTAATACATCAGAGGCGCTGCCGATAGTCGGTCCGGTAGCGTCTACCTTCGAAATCAATGGCCCCGTTTCCGTCAACATCTGCTTCGTCAATCATGTCCTTGAGCTCTGACTCCGTTGGGTTGAGACCCAAGGACTTCATGACATCGCCAAGCTCGGCACTGGTAATGTCGCCTTATCACGTGGTCAGCATATGCCGGAAGACTTCTTGCCGTGGAAAATATGGACGAGAACGAAACAAGCAGGTTAGGTTGGCTGGCGCCACAAATCCGTTACGCAACGGGGTATCTGGTGAGGATGCTTCGCTTCATTTAGGTGCATGAATTTGGGTGACTGTACCTGTGCCATCTTTGTCCTATGATGATGGTCAATGAAATGTTGGAAAGCGACTCCGGGGCACCGCAACAACTCACAAATACAGCGAAGACGGAGCGAAACTGTGCGATCTGCTCTTCCGAAAGAGAGGAGTTCTAACTTCGTCAGTGCCGATACGGAGGCAACCCCCTGGGAATGTCTCCACACACCGCCATATTTGGAATGCCTTGTGAAGTCCGGTTCGTTCTCTGTATCGTCCTGCTGAATAGACTGGCAAGCCGCGCGTAAGGGCACTCTAGGCGTAAAGTGATGGGTGTTGTTGAGATTGTCAGGTGATTGACGAGGCTGTCGCATGGCTTGTTGAGGAGCTGAGTGGGCATCGGTGGCCAGCTGACGGCAGCCCGACGGGCTGTTAGCACAGATGGAGATCATGCCTGCATCCTGGTCTTCAAGCGGCTAACACGGCATCGTAGCACTATTGGATGCGCCTGTTCCCTGAATGAACACATCTGAGGCGTATGCAAAATACTTTTATTCATTGGCGGCGTAAGAGCCTCATGTCAAATAACTTCGCCCACCTCGATATGACACCAATGACTGATATCTAAGTAGATCCGTGGCACGGCGGTTGTGTAGACTTTTGGGGCTATCGGTAAGGTGTTAAACCTTTCAGCTGAATACCCAGATATTTGGATCTGAACATACTCTTGGCCATCGAGTTGCTATTCATGTTCTACGTCGTGTTATTACGTTGCTGCCATCTATTCACACTCTACATAGACGAAGTGTTTCCCTGCCTGGGTCGAGATGAGCATTGTCAGTAGTAACCGAGCCGGACACAGATCCTGCATACGCTCCTACTCGTCACAGACAGTAACTGAAATGCAGCCCATAAAGCTGCATCATTTGAGAACAATTTCTGAAGTGTTGACGACGCCACCGATCGCCTAAGAGTCCACTTCCCGGCTTTGCTGCCTGCTAGCCTGCATATCCACTAGCACTAAGCTCATCCACGAGTACAACGTAACGAGATGCGGTATCAATGTCAACAGCTAGCGCCATACAAGCCGCGGCTGGTGTTGATGAGATCATCCCACTGGCCATGCCCGCAGTGGCTTTGCCAGGCACAAATACAATACGTCCTGTAAGGGGAGCTCGATTGAGACTCCTAAACTGTTGAGATGGTGATATTTGTGGGAAATCGTCGACGATAGGGATGAAATAGCCCTTTGCATGCATCTGAGAACGATGCCGTGGTGGATGCGTAGAAGTCGGTCAGGCCCGGTAGCCGGTGGAGATCCCGGACCGGCAGCGGCTGCCTGCTGCACGACTTCACGGAATGCCGTTTGCAACCCTGCCTATAACATGGTAGAATGAGATATCTCTTACTGGCGGTAAATCAAAGATATTTTAATACCTCGACCCGTTCTAGCACGTATTGTTTCAAGTGCGCAGCGAACGCCAGCAACCTGAGTGCTTTGCAGGCGTGCCGATCTGTCACGAGCCGCTTCAACACCACCGTGGTCATAAACCAGCTGCGACTGCCAATTCCAGGGAGGGAGAAGAAGCGCCGACGAAACCAAACGCGCAGGACGCAGGCATACTGGGAAATACCGCAGCAATGGCAGATCCGAAGAAGCCCTACAGTCCAACCCCCTTCCAGACCCCCTCGTCCCTATCCTCCTTCACCGTGCCCCTCACCACCTACCTGTCCACAGTACGCTCGCCCTCGGGCTCCGCGCTGGAGGGCATTGGCACGGGCTGCGTGCTGATCGACCCTCGCACGGCCAAGGTGCTACTACTGCAGCGCGCGCCGCACGATTCCATGCCGCTGCGGTGGGAGGTGCCCGGAGGCGCCGTGGACGAGGAGGATGCGTCGGTGTTGCACGGCGCCGCGCGCGAGCTGTTCGAGGAGGCTGGCCTGGTGGCTGCGCGGTTCCTAGGGGCCGTTGGCGGCCAGGAGGAGGCCGGGCCGCCATTGGTGGAGGAGTTCTTTACGAGGCGCGGGCGCCGGGTCGGGAAAATCACTTTCCTGGTCGAGGTCGCCGAGTCGACAAGCAGGCAGCTGGCAGATGGAGGGTCCGATGGCGATATCGTGGTCACGCTGGACCCGAACGAGCACGCTGCGTTCCTGTGGGTCGGCGAGGACGAGGCGAGGGCCAAGAAGACAGCTGGGGGCATGGAGATTGAGTTTACAACAGAGCGCCAGGCCGATAGAGTGTTGGAGGCTTTCAATTTGTGGAGGAAGTTTGAAGACAACCGTTGAGACAAGGCCTTTACACGCTCACTGTCAAGAAAAGCCCTTGGACGAAGTCTATACGTTGTGTCTTGGAGGATGAAATGGGAAGGTGGAGCAGAGACCGTCCTCGTATGCACATTTACTAGACTAGATGCTGTTGCTTTCGGCTCGAATTTGGCCTCACGGCAACTAGAAATTCATTCTCTGGCAACCGATGAAGAGAGTCCCTGATACCTAGAGCCATGGACGTTCCCCTGAGCCTGCCTTAGGACGAAATGACGGACTTGGACACTCTCGTAGCCAATAGTGTTTGTGTTGGAATAGAAATGCTGCAATATGTACACGCAGAGGGGGTTCGGTAACAGTCTACGAGTCCCATGATGTACGATGGAAGATCTGGCTTCCTCATTTACGCCATGGTTCTGGTTCACGGCGCTGAACTTAACGAAGGGCTTCTTCGCCCTTGCCGTCGTCGGACACTCGCTCAACAATTGCCGGGCATTCAACTTGATCGCCTGGGGTCTGAGATTGAGAACCGGCTAGTCAAACTACTGACGTCCTGGTGACTGTGTGGTGGCGAGGGGACGGCCATGAGGTGGACAGGATTGTTCACAAAACCAATTCAGGAGCAAGAGAAACAAGCAACAAGAGAGGGCATAAATTCCTTATGGACCACGGTGTCACCGCTCTGGCGCAGAAGATGTATGCAACCATGAGATGAAGTCAGGGCGGATTAGCTAGTCAGCCAACCTTCTGACAGTTGGAACATGATTGTCGTTGTGGCAGGCAAGCCCTCTTTCGGAGAGCAGAGACCCCTAGGTATATGACCACAGATGTCCCTACCAGTCCCCGAGCTGCCTCCCATTCCATGCTTGACACTATACCATGAGGCTCAATGGCCCATTAGCGGAAGTCGACAACAAGTGCCAGGGCATAGTAACTGTAGAAGTCATATCCTGCAACCACAAGTTCCAGGGGTTTCCCCTTCAGGACCGGAGAGGACCCGACTGGGATTTTGCTGCTCACTGCGCAAGCAAGGGAACTACATCGAGCTTCATTTCTCATCTCCCGTGTTGATCACATTGCATATCCAGCCTTCCGAGGGACCTGGACCGCGATGGGGTCTCGAACAGGTGCAGATAGTTGCCATTGGAGTACGGTATAATTGTAGCTTCACGGTAGACATTGACGACTGTCCTGTACCAGCTGCCATCGCCTAAGCAAGCGGAGAAACGAGAGCGAGGCACAAGTGTACTACTCAGGTCGAATAGCTTGGCAATCCAACGCAGATAGAACACGGTTCCCGAGAAACCTGGCGCCATCGTCAACCAAGTCATCTGCCACACGATGATGTATATATGTCGGCATGTGAGCTTCGGACTCGAACTCATCGGGTGTACCAGAGCCTCCAGGTTCTCGTCTGCCACCTACCAGGCCAACGGCAGCGAGACACACATGGAGAAACACAAACATAAACACACGCGCATCGCATTACACATACAGTCCTCTAGGTATGTCATTCCAGTCCTGACAAGCCAATCGTCACATCTGTGGCCCAGCCAGAACCTGGAAGCCATCTGAGCTCCGAGCTTGGGCCAATCAGCGGCCACGTGATTCGGCAGCAGCTTTCGAGCTTTTGCATCAGCTGTTTTTCTCGCTTAGGCTGCCGGATGGGGCTAGACACCTGGCCAGCGACCGAACGATTTTGGTTGGCAGCCGACCACCGAGCGAGAGCCCGAGAGCTTCGATTCCAGGCGGGAGGCGGGCAACGGGAAATCCCTCTCCCTCGCCGCCAAAAGCCAGAAGCCAAACATCACGACGACGCCGTCACCACACTCTCCACTCAACCCGCCATCCACCAATTGCGCGCCCACCATGTTTCTGTCACGATCCGCCGTCGCCGTCGCCCGCCGCGCCGCCGTCTCCCCCATTGTCCGACGCAGCTTCACTGCCTCCGTCGTCCGCCGTACGCTGCCCAATTGACTGACCGTCCTCTCGTGCCCTCCGCGGACCCAGCTGACCAGAGATGCCCTCGCCCAACAGGTGACGCCAAGAATGTCGAGCCTCACTCCACCGTCGGCCAGAAGATGAAGGCCTTTGCCGGTACGCACACCCAGCTCTCCCGACGAATTGAGCCCGCCCGCCCCCGTTCCCGTCTTCCACCAGACCGCGACACGGTCCCCGAGCACGGCGGATGCTGTCGGGTGGCCGTCATAGGCCATTGGCCGTGGACCCGGGCCCGGGGCGGGACCTCAGACGCATACGCGGGGACACATTGCTGACTGGACCATGATTACAGACATCAAGGGCGAGGAGGACCTTCTCGGACCCGGTGCCGCCCCCGGCACCGTCCCTACCGATCTCGAGCAGTCGACTGGTCTGGAGCGTCTGGAGATCTTGGGAAAGATGGACGGCGTCGACATCTTCGACATGCGCCCCCTCGACTCGTCGCGAAAGGGCACCATCGACAACCCCATCATGGTCAAGTCTGCTGGTGACGAGCAGTACGCCGGCTGCACTGGCTCCCCGGCCGACTCTCACGTCGTCACCTGGCTCGGTGTATGTCTTTCTTTATTTTATTTTTCCCCCCTCTTGCGGTGCCCTGGGCACCCGGCCGGTTCCCAACCGCTGACTGACCCTCTGCAGATGTCCCGCGAGCGCCCCATGGAGCGATGCCCCGAGTGCGGCAGCGTCTACAAGATGGAGTACGTCGGACCCCAGGACGACGGCCACGGCCACCACGACCACCACGGCTACGAGGAGCCCAAGACCTTCGCCGACTACGTCAAGCCCAAGTACTGGTAAACCCTGTCGGGTCGAGTATCCATGTTTTAAACGAGCGGCACATAGAGGAGTGGGCGAGGGGGTCAAACAAGTTGTAGAATAGGAGTTGCTCTTTTGGTGCTGGGAAAAAAACGGGTGGCAGGAGTGTATAGAATCCCCCAAAGAGATTTCAGTAATCATCAGCACGCAGAAACCTTCAACCTCATCTTCCATACAATCTGCGTGTCGTGCTGCTTCCATCCAGATTCCTCCTGTGAGCTTCATGACCAGGGAGGACGCCATCCCAGTCGGCTCCGAGAGGCATGCCGTGCTGTTCCTGAAGACCTACCTGCATGGCCAGCTCGGCGCTTCCTCCGTCCCTTGCCCCCTGCACACGCAACCGACGAAAACACACCTACATACCATTCGGATGCGCCTCCGCCTCCCGCACAACGTGTTGACATGGATTGCCATGGAGCCGTGCGGAAGTAACCAGATCGTCTGGAAATCGTAATCTGGCCTGCGCTTTGAGGCTCAGCCGTGGCGAACGTCCAAGTTCATACTACCATCCTCCCAAGAGATGACACCATTGCTGACCCGATTCCCAAATCTGGGCATTGATCCTGCGTGCCTGTTGTCTTCGACAAAAAGGTCAAAGTGTGCGAACATATCTCATCTCTTGTGCTCTTCGCTCAAAAGTGCCACCGGCCAGTTGTCGCACGACAGGCGTGCAAAATGCGAGGTGGGAGGGTATTGAGTCCGATCGCCCCAGATGCGTCGCTGACGGCCCTCCCCTTCCTTTCAGGTATACGACTGCGTCTGGCCTCAGTCTGAAACCCTGGGGGTAGGCTCTCAAGGGACAGCCACGCTTGCGGGAGGATTCTCAACAGCGTCCCCAGTATTGAGCAGCTCGGGGGAATATGGGACCCCTTTCAACCGGTGTACTGTCGAGGCCACGAAGCATGTACTTTGCGACAGTACTTTGAAACACTCCGCGGCGTAATACGCACATCACTATACAGTCCAGGCTCATGTATACCACCCTCCGTCTTATCTTGTTCTCCCTTGCATCCAGGTACATAGGTACTCTCGACTGCGACGGCAGACCGTGATATCTATAGCTAGCTGGCCAGGGTTGATCAGGAATGATTTGCCTGATTGACGACGACGGGTGGTATGAGCAGAGTTCGGTTGGTTGGGATGCTACTTTGGATCGGCACCGCATACTGGTGGCGCATAGGAAACCGGAGGGATAACCCCCAAGAATCAGTCTTATGCTTGTGAGAGAGACATGGTCATTTCCAACAATACAACCACATTTATTATTGGATACGTATACACTCCCTGGCCCATTCCCCGAATGTCTGGGCTTGGTCCCATTCGGCCGGAGAAGGAAACAGTCACGCCCCCCCAAGCCCTGGCATCCTTGGCACGACCGCTGGAGCCCGTAGGACTTTGTACTGGCATAGGGATAAATGTATAACAGTTTGTCATGCAATTCTCCGCCTTGCTGAGGCGTTGCTCGCTTGCTCGTCTGCCAAGCCTGTGTTATAGCACTCGCGCACTATGCCATAGCCTGTGCATAAGTGCCTACCATACCTATCATAGGTCTAGGTAGGCAGCGGTCTGCGTCACCGTATCGTAAGGAAAAGGTGTGTGGCCGCAAGCGCACACAGGAGCCCTGCCCATTCCCCCGGGAAAAATGCTGACCAAAGTCGGCGCGTATTTTTGCAATCTCACGCGAGGATGGAATGGGTCAGCCTTGTATTTTAAAACCTTTTCTCGTCTCTCTTGTTTCTGCGATCCTCGGATTTACTATTTGTGACCTCGCATACTCCGTACCTAGGTAGCTGCTGACGTCCACCTGGCTGACATCCCTGCCGCATCCATGTCCTGTGCTCCCCCGTACATAGGCGGCGACATCCAATTGCTGACAGCAATAGTCGGTCAACCCCCCTGCGGTCTTGTCATTGGGCGGCAGGGTATATGGAGGTATGTGTGTGCCTGCAATTATAAACTGTACTGTGGTAATGGATACATGGGCTGACTCGGTATGTATGTGTGACACCTTCTGAATAGTACAGTATCCCGTCCTGGCGCAGAAGGCCCGCTGATTAAGATGCTCTGCCCACAGATGCCGAGAGCCGCGGGCGCCAACACTGCCCAACGGCCGGCTCGCACTTCGTTCACGCTACATTACTGGATTCAGTCGGCAAATCCTTTCGTCAATTATAGTCATCCCGCGGAAAGAACTTTCACATGCTGCCACGTTTCTTACGCCTGCATATCTCGTAGTCCCTTCCGAGTAATCTGGCTATACCCGCGATCTTTTTGCTTGCCATTACAATATGTGCACTATTACTGATCGGCGGCGCCCGACGCTGTCACCGCCGTTGGGTTGCGTGCGCCATAATTAAAAAGGGGCTGACATTCGAGCCCATGATCTGATCGGTGATGGGCAGGCACCTTGTGCAACCTGCGAAAGCCAAAGGAACAAACTGGCCTGAAGTTCCCCACAGGGAATCCTCGCAGTCATGTCATAACACTGAAATCGCGATCGCTGCCATTCATAGCGAGTAGCATGCATATTTTCGGTTTCTGAATGATACCCGTATTTTCGCACACAGGCGAACATATATGTATGGACATATGAACGGACAACGTTGCGCACCGCGCAACCAACCAACATATTCCTCCCATGGCTCAACTGCCGGATCTCGAGGGTGCGGAATCACATCAGACAAACCACACACACATAAAGATACTCGAGGCAGCTGTCGGTGAATAGCGAAGCGGATTATACACTACGTCAGCAGCCCGATCGACGAGGTGGGCGACTACTGCCTATCTGTCACACTCGCGACATCAGAATAGATCAGAATAGACGAACTGTGCCGAGGATTGATAGGCCCACGCATGCCGTCCCACCGGACCAGGGTGGCTGGCATGATATACGAAGAATGACACACCCCTAACCCAAAACGGTTTCAGGTCCTAGGTTACCATGAATGAGTTGCGCATCCCTCACATAGCCAACATCCCCCCGTCCACTATACAAAGTTCCGGGGCGGGTTTTCATGCATCTCGCTGCTAATCTAGCTAGCATTACTCGAGCAATCGAGGGCTGCTCATATGCCGATTATGCCCTGGCGAGCCCCTTCGGGGCCTTGGACGTAAACAGTAGGCTCGCCCCACCCTGTCTGAGCGCTAGAAGACAGCGACGGCGATGGTGGAACTTGAGCAGAATCACCTTGCATAACTGTACCGCTCTGCTGGGACGGCGTCCCCTGCCCGACGAAGACGTGTGCCTTTCGGATTGATTTCCTACGTGGTTGGTCACGGCGCAATTCGAGGTCGATGCCGATTTTGCGACCTGGTCGCACCAATGGATACTGCGCTTCTATACGCCAAGGCCCTGCAAATACTAGAGTACGTACATTCCCCTGCTCTTCTTCAGCTTGTCCCAAAGCGGGAGGCCTGACGCACATAGTTGAGACGTATTCAGAGCGCGCATTGGAAACTTTCGTAGCCGGCCCCCCATTCCGTGATCTTCGCGGCGCTCTCGCAAAAGCCAAATGGTAAAGATGTGAAAACCTCTCTCAAACCTAGTCGCATATCTTCTTCTGGAAGATCTGCCACCCACTGTTCCACTTTGCAGAGCCCCAAGTAATCCACCTCAGCAGGAGAAGTTTTCGAAAAGCCTCAAGGTTCCACGCCCCACCCCACCCATCAGACAGACTCCTGTGGACTGTAGTTACGTAGTCCTGTCACTCACCTCTTTTTCTTCCCATGCAGCTAGGAAATAGCGGAATCGCATAGCCGGGTGGACTTTGACGAGTCGCGCACTTTCTCCGGTGGACGCATGTCAAGACATCGCTTAGAGACCGCAAGCTGAAGGACTATAGGCCAAGGCGGCCGCGGGACACAGCCTATACTTGGCAGTATAGGGCGCGGAGGCACATGCGTATGCATAGGCACAGGCGGGGAGGCGTAATGCGTCGCGCGCGGATGTCTGGCGTCGATGGAACAGACAGAGCTGGAAACGCAGACGATGCATTTGCCGGCTGTTCTGGCTCAATAGTAGGAGTATTACGTGATTCGATGGCGGTCAAATACCGTGAAACTTGGCGATACACCAAAACAGATGCTGATCCAGGGCGATAGTCCAGTGCTATCGGATAGGCTGGGCCGCAAGCCTGGCCCCAAATTTACTATCCGGACCCCCTAATACTCCAATGGACTAAGCTTATCCCCCCTATTGACATCACATGACCGCATTTACGAGCCCGAAACTTCCAAACTCTACCAGTCGCGTGCTACTCCTATCTCGTCTCCAGTCGAACTCTGATCAAGTGCGATGACTGCGCCTGTCCGTTCGCCTGCCGTCCTTCTTCCATCCGCCTGTCCATCGGCTCTCAACCATCTAACAGCGCATACCAGTAAGTGTCTTGCGACCGTCAGCCCGCACTATTCGCCGACCGACTATTCAGCTGGAGCCCAGTAGACCTATCACGAGGCCGTGTCGGCGGTGCGACCTCTGCATACTCTTGTTGCGGTCTAGCAAAAGCAACTTACTGCACGCTCTGCCCATGGCCCCCCGTTTCTCGAGTGGTGCCATCCAGTCCCCAGTGCCCGCCCAAACTCTTTGGTAAAGGGAGCCGCAATTGGCCCAGGGGGTGGCCATCCCTTCAGCTGCACAGCTCGCCTAAGGACGCGCCCCCCCACCGCTACCTCATTCCTAGGCTAGCACGGCTGCGCGAGCGCTCCATACTCTCTCACATCATTAATACCACAGTCCGTATTCCCGCCCATACCCATCCCATACCACGCAAGCCAGGTACCGTACATACGGTGCTCTGGCTCTGGCTCTGGTTGTACGTAGCACAAGGGTGGACGACTACAGCCTCGCTTGCCCTCCCCTAGATGCATTATTCGCGACAGGTGAAAATTAAAATAAAAAGCTAAACTAAAGGCCAGGCCCATCACCTACTCTTCACCCACTTAAATCTGCCCGCTAGTGGCACAAAGGCGCAGGTAAATACTCCCTATGCCCCCGACTATTGCGCGCCACGCTACCTATCCTCTGGCCAAAATTCTTTCCCTTCACCCCCCGATGACATTGTTGATTGTGATACTCGCACCCAACACGCACACAATCAGATACTAGGAGCCCCATTCCATCCCTAGGCCAAGACCACCTCATCCCGCCTTCCTCGATCTCGTAAGTTATATCTGATGCATCCCGCTTTTCCCTGCCTACCGACCCGGCCCCGCCTGAACCGTGTCCACCCGTTGAGACTCGTTCCTTTTCTTTTTTCCCCTTTCGCCCCCCTCCCATCTTTGACAACCCGCCGCGTCTACAGCACATCCACTGCGGCCGAATACTATTTCGCAACACCATCAGCCATCAGTATACCCACGACACACACCCACACCCACACCCACGCCCAACGCCTCGCTGCGTCGGACGCCCCCCGGCCGAATATACATTGACACTCGACGTAGGCTATACTCGACGGGACTGCCCTATCCGACTTGTGATCAATCGGTAAGTGACTGCTCCCTTCTGATGTCCTCATCCCGCACCCATTCCATCCGGCCCTCCCTTTCATCACCATTCACCGTCCCCGGCCCCCCGGCCCCCCGGCACCGTCACTCGCTTGGCACCTGATTATACCGTTTCCCCTATCCATCACCCAACTCGGGCGCGGCGTCGTGCAGGCGTCTATTCGCACAAACTCGGGCCTGCAAACGCGCGTGCACGGCTGGGACATGCGTTTTGCCTCCATCATGCTGTGCTGGCTCCCGCACTATTGAGACAGCGCGGTGAGACCGGTCCCCTATCGAATGCACGTGCGCCTATCCATCCACCCATCCCTCCCCAACCCAGCCGAACCCGAAGCATGACACCCAAATTGCCTCCCACGCCTATCGATAAGGTAGAAGACTAGATAGACGAGAGAACCTGGTCCGACTAATTACTGCTCACTCAAATTTAGCGCATAGCAGCTCCACAGCGAAATCTTATATCAGAACACACACACACACACACACACACTGCGCCGGAACAAGGCCAAGGCCAAGGCCACGCCTGCACAAGAGCGCTGCCGCTGCCGCTTTGCACTGTACCGCCAGACCAGACCCTCCCTTGTTGCCTTGGGTCGTGCTATTTGACTTTTTAGTCCATCGGAGGTACGTACTAGTATGCTCACTTGTTGATAATTTCCCTCCCTTCGCCTATCCGTCACAAATAGTCGACCTTTCTTCTCTAATACTACCACAACCCGCTACTACTCCCTTTCCACCACTACTACTTTCATCATCCTGTCCTGTCCTGTCCTGTCCTGGCCGCCCGCCCACGCAAACCCCCCGGCCTCAACCCACACCTCACCTCACCTCACCACGCTCGAACTACCAAGGCTCGTCTGCGTTGCGCGCACCAACACATGCGCATACACAGCATTCGTCGCATCCGTCGCTAACATCACCCATCATATCAGAACCGCACGCACGCTGCGATCTGGACAGAACCAACGCCCCTTCTTGCATGCACCGCCATCAACGTGTTATGATCGCGTTGACGTGCGTCGCCTGAAGGCCAAAAAGCCCCAAAGACGTAGTAGGTAATCGAATTTCCTTGCTGTCCTATCTCTATCTCGACCGGTCGCAATTACGGGACACACCGTATCGCGTTGGCTGCGACGCGCTCCCTCTGCCTATCTATACTGCTTTTTTTTCTTCCTACTCTCTTTCCCCTCGGCCTATCTTACTCCAAGCTGCACCCCTTGCCTTGCAGCCCACGCTCACCACACACTCCCCGTCGCTTCATCTCGCCACCTTGACACCCATTTCCCAATCCGGCCAGCACGATTATATCGCATCGCAACGGCGCTACCTAGCTATGCGCCTGCGAGGCGGTGACTGTTGCGCCCCACATACACCTATACATTATTACACATCCCATTCCATCATCCGTCCCAGCCCAAGCAGACAGGCGTGCTGTATTCACTCACTCACATCGCCCATCGGCCGGTGTCCACTGCGTCTTTGAATAAGCACCTCTCTGGTCAATACTGCAGCAGCAAATTTTTGTTTTCTCCCACCGCCCACCACCCACGTCCCACGTCCCACGTCACCCCACTCCCCCAACATTCACCTCACTGCATCTGTATCGCGTGCGCATCCATATACTCCGTCACGGATTATAGATGTCGACACTGCAGCACTTTGCGCACCCACCCCTGGACGATTACTCTTCCCACCTTCGCACCAAGTCACGGTCCTCCTCCTCCGGCAGCACACCCCCGCGCGAACAAGCCCTCTCCTTCCCTCTGTTGGTGGTGAGTCCGCGGCCACTCACTTTTGCGTCATTGCCTGCCGACTATTTGCCTGTCCTTCATTGCTCTTTTCTGCGCAGCCGCTTCTAGTGAGGTGGGGCGCGCTGGAGCTTCGAGTTCAGGCTACTGCATCCCCTCCAAAAAAGGACTCGCTGCCGCATGTCATCCAACTCTAAAAAAAAAAACATAAGGACCCGCTGACTGACCCAAACCTTGCAGGCAGACGTGAGGAGGCCGTGGAAGAAAGAGAGATCGTATCTGAGTCAGCCTGAGCCATGTCGACCAAGCAGGAGTCGGGCCAGGCCAGCCCTTGGACTGAGGCCGACTACGACGAGGCGCTGAGACAGAGACGCGAGCTGGAGGACCGCGAGATCCAGCACGAGTTCACCTCCAAATGGGAGCAGCTCCGAGGCCGCCTGGTCGGACTCTATCAGCGCAAGGCAGCACTGCAGAACGACCTGGACGGCATCGCCAAAGCTATCAGGTTCCACGAGGACGACCAGGAGCGTCTCGGCAAGACCTGGGACAGCGCCGTAGCCGAGATTAACACCCAACGCCAGCGCGAGGACCAGCAGCGCGACATGCTCGTCTCGCAGGAACGCGAGCGCCGCGCCAACAACGCCAACGGCACGCCGACCCCCAAGGCCAACGGCCACCACCCCGCCGACATGGCCAACCAGCCGACGGGTGGCTGGACAAGCATCAATGGCTCCCGAGGCCGCAAGGGCGCTGCCCGGGACGACGACGACGAGCTGCCCACCGACCCTGGCAACTTGCTGTCGAGCGGCTACCAGCCCACAGAGGATGGCGAGCCCAACGGCAAGCCCAACGTCTACCGTCCCAACGGCATCGACGTGGACATGGACGACTCCGAGGCCGCCTTGGCTGTTAGAACCAGACCACTGAAGCCCAAGCAGCAACAGCAGCAGCGCCACAGCCTTCCTGGCTTTCACTCGGAGGCCGGTCGAGGTATGTTCCCAGGCTCACCACCACCACCACCACTCACGGCTTCCGCGTACTGACAAGCTCTAGACTCGCCCGTGGATTCCAAGGGCCGATCGCCCTCGGGTCGCAGATCGCTCCCCGGCGCACGAGCCGGCTCCCACGCAGCAGAGCCCAACCCGCAAGATCAGATCGAGATCAACCGCGATACCTTGGTCCTCAAGCACAACGGTACCCACTACACCGAGCCGGCCATGTATGCCGGGGTTCCACTCAAGAAGATTTCCCCCGGTGACGATTACTGGGACGTGGAATGGATCCCCCTCGAGGACCACCTCAAGCCCCAGCTGGAGCAGTGGCAGGAGAAGCTCGACAAGCTCCGCCAGGACAAGACGGCCGTGCGACATACAGTATTCCTTGCAAACCGCCAGGTCAACCGTGGCCAAGCTGTCATGGACTTCCTGGCTGGCGCGGACCCGGAGTTCCACCCTTACCAGTATGTCGGTAAGGAAATGATGATCAAGTTCTACAAAACCTTTATCAACTACGATACCATGTTTCGCTTGATCAATGTCCACGAGGAGCTCAAGAAGTTTGACCTCGACGTTACTCCCCTGGAGTGGCTCCGCCACCGTATGTACGAGGTTGCGACGGCCCAGGGCGACAAGTTCAACCTGTCCAAGTATACCCACGACCTCTACCACGACGCCAAACTCAAGATCCTCCGCGAGAAGCACGGTTTTGGCAACATCGGTCGACCCTCGGGCTACAAGGTTGGCGAGAAGAACCCGGACAAGGGCAAGGCAAAGATCAAGCGCGAGCAGCTGGGCCTCGCCGGCCGTCGCAAGGTACGACGCTCTATCGGACAGGTTGACATGGACGATACCCAGAGCTTGGATGGTTTCCCTCAGCAGCAGCAGCCGCCTCAGGAGTTCCTGGACCCCGTCACGCCCCGAATGCAGAAGCGACAGCGCCTCGAGGCTGTCCCGCCCATGGTCATGATGCCTCCGCCGCAGCAGCAACAGCAGCAGCAGCAGCAGCAGCAGCAGCAGCAACCCGAACCGGCGCCTCCTGCTCCCGAGGTGGATGACCTAGAGTTCGATGGCTGGACCTCTAGCGATTCGTTCTCCGCGGGCCGTATATCCGTCTGTGACTTCCGAGTCCACCAGATCAAGACATCGCAGCTCACGACTAGCACCGAGGTGACGCAGTACTGGACATGGAAGCAGAACGGCGTTTTCGAGCACCAGGTTCTCCGTGACGTCCACCCCAAGGTTACCTGGGGATACTACCAGAAGCCGATCAATTTCGACATCAACCTGGCCGAGGTCATCGAGGTCCTGTACGCCCGCAGCAGCCAGAAGGTAGTCGTCCGCTTCAAGGACTCGGAACGAGGCGATGTGCTCGCGTTCTTTAAGCGCGAGCGCACTCGAAACCGCTTCTTGAGCTTTCTCCGTAAGAGGAACATTGTCCTGACCAAGTCCACTCCGTAAGTTTCCGGCTCTATTTGCGTGTTCTAGGTGGGGTCGCAGCTAACAATCAGCGCAGTGAGCAGCTCGAGGACGCTTGGAATAGCGTGAAGAGCGACACGCTGCCTGGCGACGAGTAAGAGCGCTCTCACCGATACGGTCGCGATGTGGCCAGCACTTCGGGATCGCTTGGCTTCTCCGGTCTTTCGGTGGCTGTTGCGTGGGATGGCGTTCGACTATACTATACAGCCGCGAAACCGTCCCAGCCCTCCTGGACAGGACGTCCTGTTCCCCGCCTTGTTTTTCTCCTCCCGGTTCATTATTTTTCTCGGCATTTTTCACTTCGGTCAGGCACGGAAATCAAAAAAGCGGTGTTTATGGATTCCTCTCATGGTAGACGAGAGGTCACGGCAGGGATTAGAGCTTCGATGTCGACACCGCAATACCCCATACCCTGTTTCGCAACGTCGACTTTACATACTTTGTAATAAGGGCCACGCTGGGCCTGCACACCCAGAACAAGCTCAGCCGTGTCACCCGAGGACTGTGATTGTCACGACTAGGCAACACTGGTCCTTTTCCCGGCACTCTTTCCCCACTGTGATTCTTCTGTTTTCCTCTCTTTTTTCCTTTTCCCTCTCAGTGATATCCCACCGGGGCGACCCACACACGGTTTCAGTGGAGCGCCAAAGGGTTTTTTCATCTTTCGAGCATGGACGGTGGACAATTGCGTTTTTGGTCTGTACGGTCAGTTGATTCGGCCGACCAGACAGAGAAAAGCTCAGGTCTGGATTGGCAAGGAAGTGCTTTCGCCGTGGGCCTGAGCCAGTACTCGAGCCCAGCATTCATATATGAGGTGCCGAGGTAGTAAATGAGTCGAGGATCGTGGAGATGGCTCGTAGCCCAGTAGATGCAACATGGCTAAGAGGAACGTTGCTGTACTATAGAGGAGAAACATGACATCTTTGATTTCGGAAGCCATATTTTGTACTTGCTTGCTTGACATGATTCATGACTGGATATCGGACAGTACACATACGTGCTTCAGCGAGCGTTCTTCGGACCAGGCTCCAGTTTCTGGTCCTTGGTGGCGCCAGCGATGTGGGCGACCGGAATGGGGATCAAGGACGCCGTCAGTTACGATTCAGAACACGCTGCCTGTCGTCATCCCGGGAGGTCATCATCAACCGTACTCGTATCAGTAGAATTGCCTACGAACCTCGAAGCAGCTTATAGAGGTAAAAAAAAATGAAAAATTAAATAAATAAATAGCTATAAGAAAGTATACAAGTTACGAATTGCATGCGAGAAGGCCTAGGGATGCCAGAGGGTGCCCAGCTGGAGTGCATCCAATGGCCAGCCATCCCCCCACTTTTACCCGTGGCCGTGGCCCCCGACGGGGGGAGCAGACGGGCGGAGGATCCGGACACCCCTGCAACCGCCGAAGAATCTTTTGCGCTTCAGCCGCCCAGCGCCGTCACACTCTCCATCGGATCGCGACGGACAGAAAGAACACACGGACGGACGGCCGCCTCGAAAACGAGAAACGAACGACGAGCAGTGCCAACCCTCTGCCATCGCATCACCATCGACGGCCGGAGAGACACCCACCAGACCGGCATTCGAGCAGCTGACCGACCGACCGATCACAAGAGCGCGACGCAAGCCGATGCGGCAGCCGCGACGCCACCATGCTGTATGAGTTGATTGGAATCGTGAGTGCTTCCCCTCCACTCCCCCTTTTCTCGTGCTCTACCGAGAGAGTGAGAAAGTGCGAAGACTGGGCTCGGGGCGGAGGGCGGAGGGCGAGATCGAGACGGGCGCCTCTGAGGCTCAACTCGGATACAAGGGCCGCAGGGACAAGAGCTGAGATGCTTGGGATTTACTACCCAGAGGATGGATGCCACGCCATCAAACGGACACAAATCTGCGTGCAACAGCTGGCTGACAATTGTTCTCTCCAATACAGGCTAGACCCGGCAACCTGGCCGAGGTGAAAGAGTACGTCTACATGCATCCCTATGCCGAGTCACACGCATTGCAGCCTTGCCCATCCATCTTGCTGTATCCTCACGAACCGCGGCGAATCCATGTCAGACCACAGGTGGTCACGGAGACTCTCCCCCCCACCGACATGCTGTTCTTTGCTACACTGCCTCTCTTCTGGACACAGAGCACGACTCCCTCCGCCATTCACTCCCCCCCCTTTACCTCGAATCCTCCCCTCCCCTTTTCCGCCCACACCCCATTCCAACATGTGCACGTCAGGAGGAGATTCCAGAACCCCGAGGCTGACCCTTGGCTCCTCGCCGTCCAACAGAATCGTCATGGCCGCCGGCAACCTGATCCTGCAGCAGCGCGGCGTGATCCGCGGCGTCAGCAACTGGGGCGTCTTCAGCCTGCCCAAGCCGACGTCGGTCCACCAGATGCGCCACAAGACGGGCCACTACTTTGCCCTGCGCTTCGACGCCTCCATCGCCACCCAGGAGGCCGTCCGCCGCGTCCTGGCCAACGACCCCCGCATGATCCGCTACTCGAGCGTCAAGCTCGGCGACGGCAAGCTCACCACCCTCAGCAAGTTCGGCGCCGACGGCGCGAGGGGCCCCGAGGGCTGGTGAGAGGCGTGTGAGGAGGAGGAGGGGGGCTTTTTCGTGTTGGTTACATAGGATAGAGGGACTGGTGACGGAGATGGGGAATCATCGACATGGTTCACAGACACCGGACCTTGTGGGACAAGTCCTCGAGGCCGAGCATTGACATGGGAACGTGTACTATATACATACATACAGAGGAGAGGAGAGGGGAAGAATCCAGCGCGGTGGTGTATGATACAGGAGGGTCGGCCTTGTACACTACAGCAATTGGCAGCTGCTGAAGACCCGGAACGGGCCTCGGGGGCATAGCGCTGGGCGGACAGAAGCCGCAAGGCATCAGCATTCGAGGGAAATTACCTCCATGAACTGCAAAGTAGAATTTCCAGAGATATATCTGTCACGCCTGCTGCATCTACTACGTGAGAGTGAGGGCGCGTGGGAGTCTTATCGAAATATGTCCCAGTGGTATCAGCCGCTGGTCACGAAACCGTTCCCCCTCAGCTCTAGCAAACGCGGCAACATTCATTTGGCGTCGGGCTGCATACCTAGTCTTACTGTCCGTAGATGGGCTTGGCAGGGCCGACAGGGAAGGGGGAGGTGCGGTTCCGACGCGTAGAGATTCCACTCTCCTCCCCGAGCCCACGGCGTCATTCTCCACGGACCCATGTTGCGGGATTGCAGAGCGGGAATAGCGAAAGACTGTCTTGTCCACAACAACAAAGCGAGACGCGCCATCTACCGCGATGTACAGAAGTTTAGCATCACGTGTTCAAGTCACGGCAGATAGAGGTCGAGCGGGTTCATTCGTGATGCAGCGGGCCGTCCTTGATTTATCGCCCATCCTTCTCGCGGGCTTCAGTGTCTAATCTAGTCTTGCCGACCTGGTTACTGAAGTTCATGCTTCCATCCATGCAGCAAGCTCTGGCCGCGGAAGACGCGATCGTCAGATACAGAGAGACTGTCTTGTCGGCAGTCTGGTACCATGTTCCCTATGTCGCCTTGCAAAAGAGCAGGTATGCTTGCCTTCCTGCCAGCCAGTCATTGTGCTCGCGTATCCATATCCATATCCATGATTCATGTGCTTCTCTTGTGCACATGTCGTTCCGCTCCTCGTATCCTGTCCGCAAGGTTCTTGCCAAGGCTGGCATGTCAAACGGACAAGATACCGCGCCGCGCCGCGCCGCGCCAGCCAAACGTCACTGCTACTTAATAATCGTAAGGCCAAGTGGACGAGGCCAATCCCTAAGAGTCCACGTCCATAGCAGTGCCGCTGGCCCGCTTCTCGCGGTACCAGGCGACAAAGTCGTCGATGACGCCGGGCCAGGCGCCGTCCTCGCTCCAGAACGATAGAGTCTCGTCGTCGCGGCTCTTGAGGGCAAACTCCAGCGTCATGTTCCACATGTCCTTGCTCACGGTGCGGGTCCACTTCTCCTTGAGGAAGGAGATCCACAGCGACAACCAGTTGATGCCGGTCTGCTTGCCCACCCACGGCAGGCCAGGGTCCTTGAAGATGACCTCCCAGAACGTGATGGCGGCCTCCACCGGGAGAGCTCGCGCATCGGGTTCCTTGCCGGCAACGAAGGCATGGCGGTACACGTCCCTGAACAGAGGCATCTGGTAGGCCAGGAACTTGGTCTGGACCGCCATGTGCGTCTGCTGGTCCTCGAGTTTGGGTTGGACTCTGTACAGATAGAGAGAGCGGTCAGTCTGGCAGATCCACGTGCCACCCCGGGGATAACAAGAGACAGGAGGTGAGAGAGGAGATAGCAAGGATGTTGCTCACGTACCCGAATTTCTTCCAAGCTCGGACAAAGTCATCCTTCTTCAGCTCGCCAATACGCGACTCGAGAACCCACAAGGCGACGAACATGGAGGCGTCCTCGAAGTTGATGCCGAGAGACGAGAGGTACTCCATGGAGCCATTGGTGCCGATGGTGTCAACCGGGTCTTCGGAAGGATCTGCGTATGTGTGAGTCTGGCGTTGACCACATGTGTATATAACTGGGGGAAGATATTACTTCTGAGGGACTCAAACTGGTTTTTGAGAGCAGTCTCAGACACGTTGACAGCTGGAGCATTGAAACTGTATGTATAGAGAGCGTCAGCCGGGGCAGATCCGTTTGCGTGTTGGGTGGTCAAGAAATCATCAAATCAGCAAATAACAAAGGGGGTGCGACGGGTCCATGCTGGGTATGCAGGAGCTTGACGCACTGGACAAGTCGGGGTCTGGGGTCAGGGAGATTGTCCAGATGGGACGCAGTGCTCGCATAGGGCTCCGACAGATTTGTCTTCAAGTTCTGCTGCCAGTCTTCCTCGTTGGGGGTGAAGCTGCCGCGGTAGAAGACTTGCACACCGGGCATTCTCTGGTTTCCCGGGTGTCCCTGGTTTCCCTGGCCAGACATGGTGCTTGGTGGGCCTGGGATGGCGGTGGTGACGAAGACGGATTCTGATGAGGGAACACAAAAGAATGTGATGCAGAGTTGAACGGGAGCGGTGCCTGGAGCGAGGATCGTGAGGTTTTGAGGGCACCGTCCGGTGAATCACAACAAAGCGAGGTGACTGGCCGACCAGAGGTTCTGAAGACCCGCGACGTTTCGACTGCTGGCGACTGGCAGGTCCGCAGCCTCACGATGTACGTCTTCCCAGGAGATCCGGACCCTGACACGGCGCTCTCCCCTGTGATGAACATTCACCCCGGCAGGCCGTGGAACGGGTCATATACACCCTCACTCCTCACTCGAGCTCTCCCCTGAAGGCGGCACGCAACAGACAGCAGAGAGCAGACTCGGCACACGCACTCTGAGTCCATGCCAGCTAATTGGTGTATGGCAGACCGGGTCCATGGGGTATCCTCAAGCCACTTGGTCTCTAAATCGACACGACCGAAAGACCGAATACCAAACCGGACACCTAGCCGGTCCTGAGATGAGGCGCCGGCGACCCGTTGCAATCAACATGCGGAGGAGAAAGCACCACTTACGCTCTGATGGCGGCATCGAAGTCGAAATTGGCATTCTTAAGAAACTGGGGAGGCACAATATCAGCACCTGTGCTTCGGCCCGCAACGGTGTAGAGGGACGGAGGCCGACACTTACCCTCTCGGCCTTCTTCTTGTCGGCGCCGGTCCTAGCGGCGAACCGGTCGACCAGGGCTTTCTGAGCCGACGACAGCGGCATCGCGGCGGTAGGGTGAAGATGCTGTCGGTGAAGATGCTCTTCTAACCTCTGATGGGGGCTTGGATCTGTCTCTGCCACTGGCGAGGGGGCGGGGGCCGCCGTGGGTTTCGCAGGTGAGGCCGGGCGTTGGTGGTGACCAGGCTTACGGCAAGTCTAGCACCGGCTCCTTCTGGTGCTGCTCCTTCCCGTTCACCAGTGGTATCCGGGGTGGGTTGTCGCGAGAATGAGCACCTGGGCGATGACGTCGTGGGATGGGACCGCAAGCCGAGCCGAGAAGGAGGACGCTCGCTACGGCAGGAGATGGATACAGCGGGGGGAATCGGCGTTCGGGGTCGGCCTGCGTGGTCACGGCAGCAGCTTCTCGCGGTCTGCTGAAGAGAGGAGGGAGGTCCTGGCACCGTCGGGGTGGAGGAGGGAGCGAGGAAGATGGTCGCGGTCGTTGAGAACGAGCTGGGCGTTCGCAGGGCTGAAGTTGGTAGTGCCCCGTTGGTGGGGGTTGAGTGTATCTCGCGCTCCACGGGTCGCTGCCTTTGGTGGGGTCGACGTTGGACCTGGGGGGTTGCCTGTGGCGTGGCTTGGCGCCGGTGGTCGTGGTGGTGGTTGTCGTCGTCGACGACGATACCTGAGTAACAAACCAGTAAAGTCAAGGCACTTATCTAACTTGGTCACGTACTTGAGTGTGACTATGTAAACAGTTAACCTAGCTAGGTATGTCGATTTCAGTGTGTAGTTACAAGTAACTTAATTGCTGGAATGCCGAAGTCGTCGTCGTCGTCGTTGAGTTGCCGCAAAGCGCATTGCAAAACACTCAAGCTGGAATCGACCACATTGACAATTGCGGAATGGAGAAAGGAGGGTAATGTCAGAGTATATTGCATTGAAAGGGTATCGCAGCTCCAATTTCCTCTCACACGTATACGTCCACACACGACTCGTTGAACCCATCCTCCCGGGTCAACCACATGTGTTTCCCCCGATGAACGCAGAGCAATATGCACTATGCAGGTGGGTATGCCACCCCAGGTTTAAACAATTCGTCTGGCACAGAACAAAAGCAAATGGGTGTAACAGAACCACCAAAACCAAAACCAAAACCAAAACCAATACAAAAGACAGTCTGCGGATGGGTATTTCAACCCAAACGCAGCACCTATCGGACTATACCCCCCTCCCTTGACATTTCGACTCCTTTCCAGATTCTCCACACCAGGTCCAAGGGATCAAAACCACCCTCCCGATCCAAGGTCCTCAGAGCACACGGCACGCCCCAGTAGTACTCTCCTGGCCTTGGTTGCGTCAATCTTCTTGGCCAACCCGTCCTCTGGGGCGTTGCCGTCCACATCTCCCTCGGCAGATACACCATCCAGCCCACCAGGCCCGCCACGCCCAGCAGAGATAGTAGACGAGCCCGATGAGGAGTAGGAGGCGGACCGGTCTGTCGGGCTACGACCACCACCACGCACACCAGAACAGCTGCTACGAGAACTCTACTCCCCAAGCGGCATCCCCTCCAGCTCATCGAGCAGGCGGCGCCAGTTGTCAGACAGCATCTCGGCGTACTTGACTCGCTCCTGCGCCCAGTCCTGGTTCCACCGGCTGACGTTGTATTGCGTCTGCTGGAAGTAGATGAGCTCGTCCCGGACACACTCGCGGACGAAGACGGAGCGGTTGTGCTGCGTGACTATGCTTTCCTTGTCCTGTTTTCTCGGGTGTTAGTGGGATCACATAGCAGAAATATCCAACGGAGCCTCGGCCGCTCCAGGGAGAAGCCCGATGCGTAGAGAGGTATACTTGCCTTGATAATGTTCTCCACCACCCGCTCAATCTCTCCGGGCTTGACCAGTCCGTCCGGTTTGGCTCGCAGGCTCGCGAGCTTGGTCTCGTTGTTCTGAATGCGCCGCTCCAGGGACGGTATGTTGTCCTTGTCCAGTCGTTCCCGGCGGTCGAACATTTCCCTCACCGATACCAGGGCGTCGCGCTGCCTCTTCAGGTCTTCCAACACGCCCGCCTCCCAGGCCTTGCTCTCGTCTTCGAGCAGGCTCTGTGCCGTCTTCAGGCGCTTGGACATGGCGACCAAGCCGTCGTTGAGGAGCGGTACGTCGTTCGTGTCGGTCGCGTAGGTATCCTTGCTTGTTTCCGTCAGAGAAGCGAGGGCGACGGCCATGCGCGCGTGGTCAGCCGCTACGCCCTCGGACCGTTTCGCCAGACGATCCATGAGATTGCAGACGCTGATATACAGCTCGGCGGATCTGCGAACACCGGACCTCGTGCGGTCAAATAGCTCATCGAGAGGTCCAATGGGCAGTGAGTCCTCCAAGCCCGGGGGAAGGGCTCGGCCTGCGAACTCGTCCTGCACGGATATAGTGGCTTGCTTGCGCCACACGGCGATTTCCTGACCATGGTGAGCCTCGTGACTATGGCGTTGATTTGGTTTTTACTTACCGTTGGCACGGTCAAAAACATGACTACCAGCTGCTCCTGCCCCAGAATCGGATGCCGGACGACAGCAGTCAGGAACCGGGCCAGACCACGTCTCCGCTTCTCAATGAAACCCCCGTCATTGCTGAGGTGGTTCCCGTTGAGAGCGACCCTCTTGGGTGGCAACAGGGGCAGCACACGGAACGGATACCGCTTGTGCAGGCAGTCCAGCAGCCAGACAAAGTCGCTGTATCGCCTAATGACCTTGCTCCCGCGGCGTGAACTGGCAACCTCGTAGTTATGATGCTGGAACATGAACATGCCCTCCTTCTCCGGCATCAGTGTAACCAGAATGTTCTCCTCGCCGCCGGTCCCTATCCGACTACCACTAATGGTACGCGAGTGGGTGTTGGCAGGCGGGTTTGCGCCAGGCTCTCGGCTTCCGCCCGGGGCTCCGCCGAACGGGCTCGTGGGTTGATTCGAGGGCGCGACACCAAAGCCTTGGTCCGGATTCGTGTTGGCACCATCGAAGTAGTTCCAGCCGCCGGCAGGGCTCTCGGGCACGGCGCCGGACGCAGCGGACTGGCGGCCGGAAGGTGCGGCGGATCCCACAGAGGTGGTGGTGAAGTTGGACGTCGTCCGCTCGTGCAGGTCGGGAGAACCGAAGCTCGCGTAGCTGTGGCCGTTCACGGGCCGGTTGGCGCTCGGGCGCGGCACATTGGCGTGGTTGTGGTTCCTGTGCAGGTCCGGGGTGTTCCAGGGGTCGTCTTCGGGGTCGTTCATGGAGGGCTTCCGTGCTCGCTGGGCAGGCCGCGGCGGCGAGTTCTTTCTCGGGGTCTCGGGCGCCTGCGGGGGCTTGGCGGCAAGCTCGGAGGCGTCAAAGGCCGGCTGCTCGATCTTCTTGGGGAGGTTGGACAGCTGCGGCTGCGGGAGATCTGTCGGTTGGTGAGTATCTATCGCGAAGGTATTACATGACAATTTACGGCGATAGCGTCACGGGACCCGCTTGTCGCCCATGGGCCATGGGCCATAGCTGATGTGCTTGTCCTGTGCTTCGGCCTGCGATAAGAGCCCCATCGGAACATGGGGACCAATGGGGTCGCATACGACGGCGGGATTCGTGCAATATTATAGGCACAGCTGTGAATCGGACTTACTTCGTCTCCTCTCGTCAACCCCATCCAGGCTGATCGTCTCGCCCTCCTGCGCCAGCCCGACAAGCGCCAACAGCACGCTGAAGGCGTCCCGCGTAAGCTCCGCCTCCTCGCCGCCGGGCGCCAGGATGCTCATGATGCGGGCCTGGCTGTCGGCATCGAGCTTGGCCGCGGCCAGCGTCTTGGATATGCCGGCCGGCGAGACCCTGCCGCCTCGGCCGTCCTCGCGCAGCGCGTGGTCGAAGGCTTCCACATAGCTCTCGGGCACCTCGGCGCCGGCGAGCAGGCCGCGGATCAGCTCGGCGCGCGATTGCGGCTTGCGCGGCGTGGGCAGGTCCCACGGCGACGCTGCACCGCTGCCGGACAGGTCGTCGTCGTCGTTGAAGAGGTTGGTCGTGCTCGACCGGGTCATTGGCCCCTCGTCGTCGAAGAGGGAATTGGTCGACCGGCCCATGGCAGAGTCGCCGCGCGACGGCGTGTCTTCGGGCGGCGATGTGCCAAAGAGCGACATAATGGCAGGCCTGAAGGAGGTTTGATAGTCCTCGGGTATCAATAGCGACCCGAACCACAGCCGATGTTTTGTAGACAGCTACCTAGGTATCGCAGTAGACCGAGACTGGGCGCGGCAGTTGTGATGTGGGTGCGCTTATGCTGGCTGCCTATGCGTCGTAATGCAGTTCGCAATGACGATATCGAGCTGTCCGGAGGGGTCTTGGACGCTGCAGCCGCCAACAGCAACTGACGAAGCAACACGCGTGGTGTACTATACGACGCCGACAGATGCACAATGGGTGGTTTTGCGAGCGATCAATGACACCGTACTCGCACTCGAAGCGACTCGTGATGAAGGGAGTACAAACAAGGTGCGTGCAATATGACGCCGGGGAGTTCTGGGGACTGGGGTGAGCTTCCAGCGACGAGTCGGCGCCGCCGCCCCTGCGCCCGCGCTGAAACCAGGCCGAAGAGCTCTTGTGGACCCAGCGCCTATCGCCTAACCTGGTCCACAGCTGCCCAATCACGTTCGCCTATAGCGCTACTCTGCTGCTGCATTTATCATAAGCAGGGTGCAAAGCACGCCAGATACCTAGGTTTGGTCAAATACATAATCTGATGTCAGTCGTTGCCGCGAAATAAGCATATATAAGGCACTAATCAGCTCATTCGACTCAGCTATACGAACGGTTGCCAGCGCTCACAGACACGAGGTCACTGGACTAGACGGATTAGCCAACCCGATACTGCAGCGTAATAGACTTGGTGATATAGGATGAGACGAGACCTCGACCGTACTTGTCTTTGTTTCCATCGCTAGTATAAGAAGATAGGACTAGACTAGCCATTCCATCAATCAGAGTATTTGTGATCACCACTGGTGCTTTCCGGTCTGGTTAAACCCAGAACTAGACATATCATGTCAGTCTGCCTTTGCTGTGATTCATATCACGCATGTCCTAGATTGTCCCATCCACAGTTGAGCCGACCCATGGTTTCTGCTTCTGATATAGTCGCATTGGAGCGAGTGAGACCGACTTACAGAAATTCGTTATGAAGATAGATTGGAAAGTACCACCACATTGCTTGCTCTGCTGCCTCTTTGAATTGAAATCGTGGTATTCTCTCCTTTGTCTTCGTGGGGAGCTACGCAGTATCACGCTTAATTGCATTTGCCTGTCTCCAAATCACGAGCTCGTCAGAGTTGTGCACTATATACCTTAGACTGTCCAATTCGTGAATAACCTAACTCCAAGAAGCTGACACGCAGAGAAAAAACTCCATCGGTTCCCATGATCAATAATGATTTTATTTCGTAAGCCTGGTAGAAGATGCAGAATCATTGGTCATCCATTCATTCGTGAGGTCCTGCGAAACTATCCACTTAGTCAAGCGGGAAAACATCGGTGTCGTCCGCCTCTTTCAAACTATGTGATATAAGTTCCGATAAGCCGTCAAATGAATATCAGCCCAGAACTGCTAAAAGCATCTTGGCGCAGCGGAAGCGCGCCGGGCTCATAACCCGGAGGACGCTGGATCGAAACCAGCAGATGCTAAGTTCTCTTTTTGTTATCGAACAAACACTCCATCCGTCTATAGCTTTTCGGGTGGGAGTTTTTATTTTAATCCTTTTAACCCACCACGGTATAAGAGGCAACTGACTATAGGACTCACTTTGTTTTATCTTGAGATTTGGCCGGCTTCTAGCCTCTATGGGAGCACGAGGGTTGTCTATCGCTTGTGCTGTTAGCTACCAGAGAACTCTCCACATTAATTACACTCACACTGGATTGCCGCTGGCTCTTGCTGATTTCTGGCTGATACACAACGTTGATTAGTCGGCGGTACCCCTGCAGAAATTAATGGTGAGCGCATGTGAAGAGTTCATCTGCGATTACTTGTAACGGTGAGCGGTCAGGCGATGTGGCCAGGTGAATGTTGGCGCTAGGTGTGGTGGCAGAATACCCTACTTTTAAAAGGGTACCTATGCACAAGCGCATTAGATCTTTAGGCTATTACTACATTAATTTTGAACCGCATACATGAGCACTGCCTTTTGTAGCACGCAGGGCCGTGACATTACTTCTGTGAAGAGCAAGAAGTCTCTGCTGGGCTCAAGCGAAAGCTGAAAACTGCACAGAAATCTTGATTGGTGCGATGCACGTCGTTGGAGCAGAGGATGAACCTGTTGGCATCTCGTCATACGAGTAGTTAATTGATGGTGGCACAGATAAATCGCAAGGGTTGCCAAAAGAAAGACAAGTGAGAATAAGAATATGGACATGGAATAACAGTTGAAACACAAGGGATGGCAAGAAGGAAGGCATAGAATAATGAGGGTGGGCTATTAGGATAACATGAATGATAGGGTATGAATAAGAGGGGATGGCAAGAAAGAGACATGGAATAACGAGGACAGGTTACTAGAATAACATGAATGATAGGGTATGAATAAGAGGGGATGGCAAGAAAGAGACATGGAATAACGAGGACAGGCTACTAGAATAACATGAATGATAGGGTATGAATAAGAGGGGATGGCAAGAAAGAGACATGGAATAACGAGGACAGGCTACTAGAATAACATATGAATAATCAGGGATGATAAGATAGAGACATGGAATAACGAGGATAGGCTACTAGAATAACATATGAATAATCAGGGATGATAAGATAGAGACATGGAATAACGAGGATAGGCTACTAGAATAACATATAAATAATCAGGGATGATAAAAAAGAGACATGGAATAACAAGGATGGGCTACTAGAATAACATATGAATAATAAGAGAGGACACGAAGGAGACATATAACAATAAGGCCAATCTAATAACATAGCTAGTCACTTCCAAGCAATGATAGTGGTAAAAAAAAAGGATAACAAAAGGGAACACTATGTACACCTACAGTTTATACAACCCAGGGGGGCGAGGAATCAGTAGAACAATAGTAAAGCGTATGGAATACAACTGGGTGAATTGTGCTGATGCTACTAATATGCATTTTCCCTGCTTACGTGCTCTGATGATAATGATGCTATGGTTACCCTTGGACCAAAAGTCCCAAATCCAAGTGTAATGACCTAAGATGCCCATATAATGCCGTCTACCTCATCGAGGTACTCCTCGTAGAAGTGGCCATCGTCTTCCGATGTTTCTGGAGAGCCAGCACCACCGCCGAAGAGGACCCCAAAATCTGCGTATACATCATCCAGCTCTTCATCACTTATCTCTGCATATCTGTCGAGGTCGGATGTTGGGAAGGAAGCCTCATCCTCGTCTGCCCCGGCCAGCGGTGTCATGATGGAAGTAGCCATTGGAGCATGCTCTGCTATTGTGGGATGCTGTACCGGGTCCAGACGCGAAACGTTTGAGTCGTGGACCTCACTGAATTGAGTCATGGTTGACCCCGTCGAGTTGTCCACTATTGTCGTGGTTGTATGCGGCCGCCAGGCACGAGGCACTATGGGTCCCGGAACCTGTTCACCTGAACGGCCAGGAAACATTGCACCGGTACTGTCGGTAACCAACTGGAACCCATGAGACATGCTCCCCATTCCAGTCATTTTCCACAGCCGCTCAAGCCCTCTGTTGATCGCCGCCTTCCTGGCAGTCAGCCGTACACGGTTCATTATGGCAGCTTTCCGTACCAAAGCTGTTTGATGGCCGGCTCTCTTTGCAGCCAGCGCTGCATACTTGACGAACCTGGAGATCACGGGAGTATCTTCGTCGGACTCGCGATTCAATATATGCGTTGCGGGCAGGGAGAATGGCAGGGAAAGTCTAGAAGTGATGAGCTGGAGACGCAAGCGGCGTTTCTTGCAAGGGAGATGGCCAGTATGGGGTCCATCAACATCATGGGAGGCACGAACGCGCTTCTGTAATAGTGAATTTCTGTGGGGCTCGACAGATTGGATAGTTGAATATAGACCCTGTGGTGTGGTGGCAATGACGGTGTCTAGTAACGAAGGCTGATGGCTTGGGTGGCTTTGGCTGGTGCATACTTCAGCTCGATCCTCCTGGAAGACCGAGGGTGAAGTAGACATATTGCCGTCTGGACGACTAACAACAGTCGGGGAAGTATAGAGCAACCCCTCATGTACAGTGGGCGTGGAATTATGACCTGAAACTATGTCAAAGGTCTTGCTCAGGTGGCCATGCAGAGCATTCTCGACGCCAGTGCCTTTGATTTGCGGCTTTGATCGTTTTGCCGTGGACGATGGTGGAGAGGGCGGAAGTAACCCGTATGATTGAGGCTGGGCTGCCGTTATGGTGTCCAGGCGTTGCTCGAAGTGTGGTCGCCATTTGGTATACGAACCCAGGCCAGATGGACGAGAGTCTACATCCAGAACCATTTTTATCGGCGATATTCAATGGTCCCTGAAAAGACCCGGGTAGCGTCTGGAGGAGTCAGAGAGGTCGCCGACTCAAAAGATGGTCCACAATCATATACGCAGCTCTGCCATTGTTGTCAAATGGGTATCGAACCTTGGGGTCCGGCGCGTTGAAGACTGGGGCTTCTTAGTTGTATATACGTCTAGGACTCAGAAGGGTTGACATGCGATTTTGGCAGCCAAACAGTTAGACTTGTTGGCGTGGTCGACACTGTAAGGGCAGAGGTAGGCTTCCAACGACAAGATGATCGGTAATCACGATTCCTATGGAAGTGCCAATTGTGATGGAAACCTAGAGTGGTGATATGTGGGGTAAATGTATGCTCGGTAGAAAAAGCCAAGTAGAAAGGAGTGGTCGGTGTCCACGGGTCCAAGGGCTCCAGGGTCCCTGTTGTTCGGCACACAGAGTTGGTGATTCGCGCAGTACCTTGTATGAGTCTAGCAGGGGACGTTGGTCACCACGTCCACTGCGGCAACAAATTTGTCGATATAGTCTTGGAGTCACTAGAGACAAGGTCAACCAAATGAGAAATCCCGTAGTTGTTGTACACTTGAGGAGTTCGGGGCAAAGCCGAGGTGAAAGAACGAAGAGAGTATCTGGGTGGTTTCCGTGTACGTAAGTTAGAACACAGAAGGTCTGGGCAAGCAGCTATGTGGCTTGTATGTATACCGAGAAGCCGGAACAGTATTAGATGAGGAGAGGGTGGCATCAGGCTAGGCTAGTAGGTCGTAGACAGGAGTACACGTACCATCCACACCTTGCCGCATCCGATGGCACTAGAGAACCACATTGAGATCCCGTAGGCAACGATGTGCCGCTAGCAGACAGAGACAGGGGATGCTGCTGGGGGAAGATCCAGAGCCAACATGACCAGAGAAGAATTGGCGCCGGCAAGTTGGAAGCGTGCGAGGTTCAGACTCTCCGTGATGGCGAGGTCGGGACTTGTGAGCTGCCCAACTTGTGCCTATGCAAGAATCACAAAACTTGAACCGCGGACCAGGAAACGGCGCTGTGGTGCGAATCGTCGCATTTCCTGTTTCCTTTTTTTGGGTGGGCTGCTGAAGAAGCCCCCGGTCTCTGCATGAGGTGGCAGATTTTCGAGAGAAAAAAAAACCCCTGGCCATGTGGTCAATTCAAGCCCCTCATCTAAAGCACCCCAGACAGACCTGGTCAGATCCCCGGACTTCCAGAGCAGGCCCTGCAAAAGCCTCATGCTTGTCACGGGCCCCGTCGCAGCCATTCGGCTGCGCTTCCCCACACGCACCTCGCCTCGCCCCGGCCAGCAGCCAAATTCCTCTCAGTCCAGGCTGTCATCATCAAGGGGCAGCTGGGCGTTGGAGTACCCTTGGCGCAGACGCAGAGACGGCCTAAGGCCGGCTCTTTGCGCTGTGAATGGTGGGCAAGCCCGTGTTCGAGCGAGAAGTTAATGATGCGTTGGGAAGATGGAGAGCCGTCTACGCGGACACTCTATAGATGAACTCCGAATGCATCACGACACCCCATTCGTCTACTGCCTGCCCAACAGAGCATTGGAGGCCCAGAGGGCAGATCGTATGGTCCAGCGCAAACATTTGGATGCTAGACACTGGTTCAATGTCACTTTGGAGAAGCGAATGAGCGGCACGATGAATCTTCGGTCAGCTGCGATGTGTACAGTTGATTTGGTACCTGTTGCTGTGAGGCATGCCGGGTGCCCTACCTGCGAGAGAAAAACTTGCTGACGGCGCAAAGGTTGGAACTTTCAGATGGCACAGCATCTGCCCATCTTCGTATCAACGCCTGGCAGGTGGTTGGGACCAATCGCGGCGCGAGCTGCAAGGGTCACGAGCCCAAGAAGAAAAAAAATGACTACCCTCCCCAGCTGCGGCGAATAATTGCTGTCCGACCTGGGTGAAGCTGAACGACGCCTGTCCGTTGGCCGGCCCTTTCCGTGTGCTGCTAGTTGCGGTTGACGGCGACATTAGAACATGAGACACCCCTGAAAAGCCGAGTTCCCGTCAGGGTCTTGTGCCGATATTCGCATTTGATCCATGCGGGATCGATCACAGGGCGGGGGTGGCATTGGACCTCTTGCTCCCCCTGGGTGCCTTTCAAACTGAATACGACGATGTCGGGCGCACTCAAGGTAATGAGGTGATCCGCAGACAGGCAGTTGGTGAGATGCGATGTTCATTCAAACGAGACTCGTTGACGTGTAGTGCAACACAGGACCTATAGCATCTCGTCAGTAAAAATCCAAGTCGCCTGCCAGGACCATGGCTCTTTGGGAACAACGCTTGGTAATAGGGCACATGCTGCCACATTCGTCACTCATGCTAGGGTTGGTCATATCATATCGGAAAATCAAATCGCATTGGGAATCTTGCGCACTAATGTGAGACAACCGGACCATTGCCATAAATGGTCCCCAGGTAACGCCTTCTCCATGACTGCCATCCTTCTATCCGTTCACACAGCCCACGCCTCACCATCTGGGCCGTCTGCGTTAGCCCTGGACGTTCCCCCACTGCGGAACTCCATCCACCCACTGGGCTGGAATCTGATGGGTATACATTGGGATCTCCTGGACGAACTGTGGTCCAAGATTGGTGCCCTGTGCACTGATCTCTGAGTTGCTCAAAGCGGCCAGGGCTGACAGCGTTCCATCTTCCATATTCCGTTGGAATGCCACCAACCCACTATCTCCGCCTTGGTTGGTACCAAAGACGAATGACTCCTCGGTGCTGAAGCTGAGCTGTCTCGGGATGGACCCGCCGCTGGAGATCTGGTCGGCAAACTGAAGCTTTCCGTCCTTGACGACGAAGTGCGAGATGCTGTCTGTTGCGTTGCCGGTCAGACGGTTCGAGACATAGATGTCCCGCTCGTTGTGCGACGCGATTAGTTCGCCAGCAGCTGCGCTGGTGGCGTTGGCAGGAGGGAAAGCGTCGCCATAGGTGCTGAGGGTTTGAGGGTTCTTCAGCTCAATCTTGCCATCGTCGGTCTGCGAAAGCTCGTAGAGGATAATGAGGCTCTTCAACTCGCAGGCGACGACGTAGTACTTGGGCAAGCACATGTCCTCGCCGCCGATGAACGCACCGTGGCGGGGTCCGGCGCCGGCAGGCTTAACTACAGCACTGTTGGTGATCTCCCAGCTCGAGGTATCCAGGAAGTGGATCGCGTCGCCACCGAGGTCTGCGATGGCGAAAAACTGTCCAGTAGGGTCAAGCACAGCTTGGTGAGCTCGGTGGACGGCTTGGGCGGCTGCAGGGCCGGTCGGACCGGGAAGCGGGACCTGCTTCAGCAGCTTGAGGCTGCCGTCTGTGGGCGAGATGTCCCAAACATCAACCTGGCCCTGGCTGTAGGATGCTCCGACGAGGTGAGTCTGATTCTTGTCGAACGCAAGCGAGACCACGCCAGAAGACCCATTGGCGGCTGAGACAGGTTCCGCAGAGAGGGTGCTGTCAACTGGGTTGAAATTGAAGACGCGGGTGCTGTTTGAATTCTCATCCACGGCATACAGGAGGTTCGGGTACTTGAAGATCATCCAGCTGGCAGAAGTACCGGCCTCGGTGACGTTGGCGTGGTTTGCGAAGACCTTGCCGTCGAAACTGTAGGAAAGAATCTGGCCGGGAGCTCCCACAATGAGGTTTCGAGACGTGCCTACCGACTGGTCGCGCGTGGTAAGCATCTGGCCTGCTGAGGCTAGGCCCAGCGGAAGCAAAAGCGTTAATAATCGTACCATCTTCGTTGATTCGTTTTTCAATGGTGATGGTTTGACGGATTGGTGGTGTGTTGGTGATGGCAATGGCGCACGGCAGGACGGACACGCCTCGGTACGGTCGACCTAGGACTTCAAATAGGCTGCCGCCAGGGATGACCTTTGATCAAACGGGAGCCAGAAGACAATCGGGACTGCGGGCGTTTTGTCTTTGGTGGTGACAATAAATTCGTCGGGGTGTGTACAGAATGACTCGTAACAAGAGGCGTTGCCTTGGTGGACAAAGAAATTGAGTTTGAGGCACCAGGGATTTTACGTCAAGGTCACTCGCGAATTCTTTGTGGTAATTCACAACCTCGAAACCGTGCAGCTGGTCAAAGAGAGTGTGGTTGGGTCAATCAGAATATTCGGACCTGATTCATCTGGAGCGCTGCTTATTCACACCCGGATGGGCAGTCGATAGGTAAACGCTGCACAGCCCCCACGCTGTGTTTGGGAAGAGAGCTCTCGGGTATGCCAGAGGAGAGCCAATGTGATGGCCTCGAGCGTTTACTGAGACGATTGAGGCTGCGATCTCACCTCGGAAACGCAGTGCAAGCCTGTCTGTTTCGAGAAATGATGATACTCTGTCATGTGCAGCAGGACTTATCTATTTATTGTGGTCGCCACGGCAGGTAACTTATTCATGGGTGTATCTAAGGGGCTCTCTGCCGGGTTTGATGTTGGTGCTGCCAGGGGGCCCGCCACTGGACGGCGGTGCAACCTTAAAATAAATTCGGCTGGCGTCGTCTGATCGGCCGGGGTAGTTTAAGCCCGACCGGAAACGATCCTCTCCATGCCGCTGGCTGGGAGCCCACCTTGGCCGTCCGCGCCCCCGAATCCTGCGAGAAGATTGGCAGGTGGGCTCTCCATCCCAATCTCATCGGATGCGACCTGTCGATCGCTACCTAGGTAGTTGGGATGAATGGACTGAATGCAGTACGAAGGTGACTGCAGTGCAACCAGCCAGAGCCTTCCAGGGCCTCCTTGCCTCACTGAGGCCTCTTTGCACGGCGCCCACGGGGCAGCCAGCAGCAGCCCGGGGGCTAAACTTCAACCCCACGGGCGCTACGGGCCACTGGGCACGCTCTTCACTAGTACACCGCCCCTGAAGATCTGAGCCGCCCACCTGCAGGCTGTTGGATGTTGCTCGAAACATGAAACAAACGCACGTCGACGACCGCCAATCGATCAGATACATCTGGGGGCAGGCAAGGCAGGGTTGTTTGCGTGCACCTTCACTGGTGGCTAGCGGTTTACCGAATTCAAGCAAACACTCTTGAACGGTGTTGGCACTGTTGGCTGCTTACTATGGCACAAGTCCTCCTCAACTTCTGGACATCTGAACGTCAGCCTCACGGACCGGGTCCCACCCGGGTGTGCTCAGCGGGAGCCACAGAGTTGAGGTGGAGCTTTCAACATGTCGTGGAATCTACGGTTGGCGGCTTTACACACCAAGACATTATCTAACCTGATCCTATTATATCTGTGATGCGAGTGCAGGGCCTACTTGGTACACTCGCCTTTCTAGACATTGCGATTCCGGCTGCGGAAGGCAAAGCCACGGAGTGAGCATACGCCGCCAGACGGTGCCCAGAACAACTACTCATATCTCATCACATGCCTGCATCGTATACAACTGCTCATTTCAGGCACTTCCTACTTGGTATCTGATGAGTAGAGCTACACAGGGAGGCTCAGATGCCCTTGCAACGCTAGTTTCCACGCCTCGAGGTATTTTTTATTGAATTGTGTTGACTATGTACCAGGGTAATAGTCGATAATCCATACCGAGTCTTCACATAAGCTGCATCTTCTACTCTGCAGCTGGCTGGATAACGATGAACATCAAGCACCCGTTCTCACTGTAGAAGGGCCCATGTTCCATGCCGGGTTTTCGGTACGCGTAGGAGCCTGCTTGCCACTTCCCACCGCGCTTCATGTCCGCCAAGTCGCCCTCCACAATGAAGATCTCCTCTACGTACTCGTGGATGAAATTCTGCTGCACGTTGGCCGTCCTCGGCTGCCATCGCTGGAGCACCGTCCTGCGGCCTGCGGCTAGATCCTCGTTGAGAGTCATCTGATGGATATTGGGCTCGAGCTCAACCCAGACTCTGTCTGTGCCGCTGATCGGGTGCCGGGGGTAAGGATGGAATTCATATTGCTCCATTGTGGCGTGGCGACTAGTAGACAATGACAAACGTTTGCTCAACATGAGGTCGCAGAACACGGCTCTCCCGGGGGCGGGGTCAACGATCTTTGAGTTGAACGGTTTATATGCTACGCGATTGTTGATTAGTAAATTCCCGATAACGCAGCATGCATCGGAAAATGCAGCAGAGTCGGCTTTTTTGGGGCTGGAGACTATCCTTGTAGGGAGGACAATTGGAGCTCAACAGCAAGAGTAGAATGACATGACGGTTTGCAAAGCTCCGCCGTGCAGACCAGGTCTTAGTCTAAGCTTTCAGTGACTTTTTTTATTCTGTCTTAGATGAATATTCATTACATCCTCCGCCTGGTTTACCCAGGTCTCCATCCTTGCTGAACTTCTTCTCCGCATACTCCCAACCCTGTGAGATATTGTGTCTCGCCTCTTAGTGTTCAAAAGGAGTGGACGGCAATTGCCATTACCAACCGTGGCACGGTACATAGAAGGTGCCCATTCCTGGTGATCGTACTCCAAAAAGAGTACCAGATTCGCAAACCCAAATCCCAGTCCCAGAAAACAAAGAGCCGGTGCGCATATACGCCGAATGCCATGCGAGCGAGAGCCGCAGGTTCCAGGGTTCCTGAAGCGATAAATATCTATATATAAATTGCAGACCAGTGAATAGGGGCCGCTGATCATAGGTAGAGCATGCCCGCGACGGCAATGAGCGCAGCGAATGCACTCGCTCCGAGTGCGTGCTCCTGTCTGGCACCCTCATTAGTACTGCCAGAGCTGCTGCTACCGCTCCCACAGTCCTGCTGCCAACCGCTAGACGAGCTGCACTTGGGTGTAGAGCCAGCGTTGCCACTTGATCCAGAGCCAGAGCCAGAGCTTCCACTCGAGCCAGAACCATTGGCATCACCGGCTGCCTGGCCGTTGGTACCAGGCCCACCACCTGTTAGGCCAGGGATGACTTCGGAAGGGTCTGAGTCGGGTGATAGCTCCTTGTCCATGTCTAGACCAGTACCCAGGAGTGACTTGAGAACCGGGTTCTTATCGCCGTCCTCGACTGTGTCGTTTGTGCCCTTGGCGTCCGTGAACGTGTAACTCTTCCCAGAATTGGTGCCAGGGGCCGTCTTCGTTTGGTAACACTCGATGCTGACATCGCTGAATGTGGCGTAGTAATAACCGTCGCGCTTGATGTCCTCGCTGTTCCAATCGATGGGGCCGCCCGCCCAGCTGACGGTTCCTTCAGCATTAGTGCTGGCACCGCCGGGCCAGATGGAAAGCTGCAGACGCGACGGTGTTTGGGGGAAGTCCCATTGGTTGGCGGTGGCGTTCCATGTGTCTGATTTCTTCTGGACACGACCGACCTTGCCATCTACCAGCCAAGTGATGTCGTCGGGCGTCCAACGGATCTCATACTCGTGGAAGTTCTCGTTCGTGTTGGACACATCGGTAATGTTACCCGAATGCGTGTCTTGCAGAAATGAGCTAATGATGCACGCCAAAAAGCTTGGGACACGGGTACTCACAGTCAGGGATGCCCTGGAAATAGTAATTGGTCTGGGCAGTATCCAGCTCGGTGCCAACCCACTCGTAGTCGATCTCGTCCTTGACATCACTCAAGAGGATGAAGGCCGTCACGACACCCGCCCCTCTGCCGGTCCTGATCTTGGCCTTGACGTTTCCATACCACAAATAGACGGTTGAGGCGAGCACGGTGCCCGCTGTGTTCGGCGGCATCGTCAAAATAGTGTTGCCCTCGAAGGGAAGCGGCGTCCCTTGTGCGACCCAGTCGGCTTTTGTCGCGTCGCCGAGGTATTTCGACACGTCGACTATGTTGTCCGTGTTGTCCATCTTCATGGTCTTGCTGGCGCACACCGGTTCCGGTACGCAGGCATCGAGGGAGAACGACATCCGAGGGTCACATCCTCCGAGACAGTATGCGCCGACTCCACACTGGCCGTATTCTAGCAATCCATGTTAGATAGACTCACTAACACAGCCAGCAGAGACGGTCGGGTCGAAGGCAGGGGACCCGCTGGGGAGCGACTGATATGACTTACGTGAACAGCACGGTGCCTCCTTTGGACACTTCTGTGTAAGTGAACAGGTAGCTGGTCCCTGGGCGAGCACGGTTGACGCCCCAAGAAAGGCAATGCCCACGGGCAAGAGTGATCGTAGCATGGTCGGGTATGAATCGTTGGATCCGTATTATGAAGCGAATGTCTGATTACCAGGGTGCAGTGAGAAACAAATGCTGGCTCGACAATTCAAAAAGCGCAGATAAAGCGACTCGATGACAGCCAGATTGAATGCGGCGCTTGGCAGGAGATAATCCTCTGCTGAATTCGACGGAGAGAGCGAGAGGGTCGACACTTCCGTCAACGGTCGCGGAACAAGGGAATTATACAAGCTGCGGAAACGAAAGGCGGCCGGCCCGTATCCTGGAATGCCGTTTCCTCAACGAGAGGTTTTGTCGCAGCGTCGGCCTCAACCCAGTCCACAGTCTTCAACAGTAATTGTGTGTTGACTCGTATATACAGAGGTTGTCTTGGAAAACAAGAGATGGGTTAATAGCGGGCGCGAATCGATGGGAGGCTGAGGATTTTTTGGACTCGGGCGAGTGTGGTGAAGAGCGATCGTGGTGAGCAATGGAACTCGGTATTACTAAGTAGATATTATGCAAAGAGGATAGAGGAATTCCGGTATGTAGTCCAGATGTGCAGCGCCGTCTATGGACTGGCCCTGTACCCGGATCTCTGGTGAAGAGATGCTGCCCAACCGTCACACCGGGGGAAGAGTTGCGAATAGAGATGAAAGAACGCTGCAAGAAAACCCTCACAACAAGGCGAGCCTTGACAGACGACAGACGTTACATGGGCGGCGCTCGCTCCATCCTTGGCTTTCCCACCTCTGCCCACCTCCCTTTACACGACCACCTTGACCACCTCCACCGAACCACGACCCCTGGCCTGGGCTGCTCCACTCAATATGGTCATCTTGGTGATGGGGATTCTCTAGTGATTGGCGCTAAGCTTACTGCATTTAACCTTGGTCTCAGGGATGACCAGCTCGTCAACTAGCGGCTCCAAATTCCCGTATTGATTGCCGCTATGCCACGTTAGGGAGTTGGACTCGGCCGGCGATCACCACCATTGTCGCAAGCGTCATGGTCTGCTATGCGCCTCCTGCTCTGCACCATGCGTTGCCAGCCGCTGGCTTGGCCACCAAGACCAAGCTAGCTTGTTTAGCTGCTACAGAGGGAATTGCGACAAATTCTCAGAGCCCCAAGGCCAGCCGGGCAACCGGAGGCGAGAAGCTCTATACACCCGCAAGTCGCGTGCGGTCCGCTCACGAGTTTGACAAGGAGCTCAGGCGTTGAAATTGAAAATTTCAAGTACAGGGAGAAAATCGGGCCAGGCCATCATTGATCCCAGTTCAGCCGGTATCATCCACTCCACTAAAGGTACCGAGTGAGTAAAGGGATCCCTCTGCAGAGCCGCCAGTACCGTTTGGTGCTACGATGCCTGGGGTGGGGTGGCAGGGGTTGGTTCCCTAGAAAGGCTGCCGCCGCCGATGTCGTGTGACCTAATGCAACGACGTTTGGAACCACTAACTGCAGTTTGCCTTGCCCAGAGACACTTGACTGAATATCATGATGCCCCCGTATGATTACAAGCAGTCTTGATCCCATCTACCAGAAGTAACCGCCCAACCCATTGGCCTGTCATGCCTGTCAAGCTACTGTCGGATTCGCCTCTAAATCCCCTGTCCCCTGGCCCCATGCTTACCTCGGTCGCACTAGAGATGCTGCCGATCCACTGCCAAGAGATCTACCCCAGATTCTTCCGAAACAGAGTTCCTTCTTGCAAATCCCTGATATGGAGCGTGCAGAACGTAGTATCATGCTTGTCGACCGTATTGACAGGCCTGGTCAAAAGTTTCATCTGTCTATCTTCAGCGGCATACCAAGCAGTAGAAACAAAGCAACAGGCCCGGGTGGCGCTGATAGTTCCAAGGCCTTCAAACTTCATGTTCCTAGCTTTGACCTCACGTGGCACCCTGGCCTGAGTGAGACATGAAGTAGACTCTATCAGTTGCCAAAAAGAAATCATGGAGTCAAGACGCCAGATATCAATACTTCTCTGCTAACATTTCACCTAAAGTTTTGAGGGGAATACTCCAAGACAGAACTAACAACCGCGAGTGTGAGGCACAAGAGCACCACTTATATGGTTTAACAGCGATCGTGAGGCAACCTTGATGGCTGGGCTTTGTGCAGAAACTCTATCATCCCACGCGAACGGACGGCAGCTCTAGACTACCCGGTGAAGCCAGCAAAGTCAAAGCAGAGCCCGAGAACACGGACCTGGGTTGGTGTAGGCCGGGTCTAACGAGCAGCCAACGGGCTTGATAGCTGTATCACGACACTCGACATCTATCAACCTACACATTGGTTCGTGTACCTAGTCAGTAATTGACGTCAGAACTCCGTACGATCACAAGCCAGGCGTGGTACGCGAATCCTTCAAGTCGTGCCCGCGAACCCCTTATTATGGGCCCGACCTTGACATCAGGCCAAAAGAACATTCTGGCCATGTCCAAAGCCGAGTACCTTACTCAAGTCGATGATTCAGATTCGGGTACCAGGCTTCAGGTAACCGCGGCTATCTTCCGTGTCGACGTCCAATCGTCAAGGCCAACCATTCTTCTCCTGAAGCGGAGGTCCCACGATCTGCATTCTCCGGGCCCGTTCGAGATCCCGAGTGGAAGGGTGGACGACGGCGACTTCTTCATATCCGACTCTATAGCTCGTGCGGTGAAGAAGCAGGCGAGTCTCAAGGTCATTAAGGTCTTGGGGATGCTGCGTGAGGGTCGTTGGGTGGACAGGCATTCGTGGCTGGAAGATGACGACATAAAGCTGACGGTGACGCAGAAGACCGTACAGTTGAACTGGGCAGTATCGGTGGACAGCAGTGACGAGGTTGTAGTCAGAGGAGACGACTTTGAGGAGTTCGTCTGGGCCAACTGGAACGCGTTAGGTGCGCTCAATCTGAAGGACGACGTGCGCGATCTGGCTAAAGAGGCATTGACTTGGGCGGCGAGGTGCTTGTGCTGATGGGCCTTGAATGTCGACGAGGGCCCTAGTTCAGCATTGAGAGTTCCCTTTCAGGATACGTGTTGTAAGGTGGGGTTTCAGTGGCTACTCTCCCGACATGGAAGGTACAGTAGATGGCCATTCCCGAAGCCTGTGAGCTCAGAAGCTTTTAGGCGTCTCTTAGAGTGCGTCTATAATTCGGTAATTCAGTGCAGATGGGACATAACCAAGATTCACTGATGCTGTAGTACAGAAACATATCGTTCTATTCTATTGGTACAAGAAGAACAGGCACATATCACTTTGATTCTGACTACCAAGTCACCACTTGACAGCGAACATGAGGCCGATGAGGATCATGGTGACCAGCGTAGCTTTGATACAATGTCTTCGGTAGTAGTATAGCCACTAGAATATAGCTGATTGAATATACAGGTTGTCTGAAATATGCCAGAACTTTGGGCTATTCATCTCGTACAACGTACTCTAGTCAGCAAAAAGTCGGTAAGTGGCACGTCAAGACCCGGGTCAGTTGCAAGAACGACACTCGGAACCTCGCTGGTAAGCCCGGAGTTGGGACCACCCGTGAATTGAAAAACATCTCTTGAAATAGTTCAGCGTGGTCTAAATCTCTCAAGAATTCCTCCCCGAAACAAACAGGCGCGAGTATTCATGAGGACATTGATCCCCAGGCCTTCCCATACGATGATTCCAAGACGTCGGGCCACGAACATTGCTAGTCGCAACTCCATCGGGATGGAACTATGAGCATGCTTAATATTGCGTCGCTGTCTCATGCCTGAATTCATCTATGAAGAAATGCTTGCAATGCTTGGCAGGCCATGTGTCGTGGTTGGAATAGGTCGATGCCGCCAGACCATTCACCGTTTGACAGGCCAAAGGAAATAGGCACATGTTCAACGAGCATGGAATCTACCAGAACTCCCGATCGACTTCATGCAATCACATGCAAAGTCCCAGCGAGCCCAATGCCAGCAGAATGGCCTTTTTAGCATTCAGCTCGACGTCATCAAACCCCCTCTCGGCCGGTGGAGAGACAACAACAGAGCCGCAACGCCGGGTGCTTCCCTCCGCTCCTCAGCGACAAGGTTCACGACACAATCTTCTCAGTGTACGCCCGAGCAGGATGTCCACAATGGGCGCAACTATCCTCAGGCATCAGTCCCAGTTTCGAGAATTATAAATATCCCCCTTCCCCCGCCCGTTCTCTCCTTCTCTCCTTCTCCGCAAAATATTCGTTCGCAAGTGTACAAGCTCACAGCACCACACCGCACAGCACGCAGAACGCATAAAGAAAAAAGATAAGTGACCCTCTACACCCATCCCCCATCAAACTTGGTAGTCAAGATTGGACAACTGACCAAAATGGCAGGTCTCCCCCCGCGGTTCAAGACGCTGGAGATCGGTCTCTACACCCAGGGATCCAAGGCATGGGTTGGCAAGGCCAAGGAGAAGAAGGGATCATGGGTGGAGAGATGGAAGAAGGTGGCAGATAACTTGGTTTAGGAATTCAAGGAGAAGACCGACACCTTCCTCCACACACCTCACCGTGGTGGGAAGGCGCAGCTGCAGATGCTGCTCGACGAGATGGGCTACCGGCGGTCGCAGGCCCGCAAGGTGATACGGGGGTTACGTCGACAGAAGGAGCAAGAGAAGGAAGACAAGACTGAGGTAGAGGCCCTCGACGACTGGGTGTACCTCCTGCCAACGGTCAAGACGGTTGAGCGGCGCCCGATCTTGAAGACATCGACACCACGGCAGTCGACTTCGGCCAGAGTTTCGTTCGCGGACGACGAAGCGGTCGAGACAAAGTGATTGAGCATCAACCCGGGGCGACCGGTGGGAGAGGATACGGGTTAGTGGTAGTTGGTTATGCAAAGAAGAAAGCACAAAAAAAAATTGGAAAAAGAATTTTATAAAAAAAAAAAAAAAAAAAAAAAAAAAGATTTGGATAGGAGGAGCAGTTGGATCTAGATGTCTCGACTCGCGATCTACTGCGTCCGCGGCTCTACGAAATGCCACCATGCGAACGATCTATAACTCGACGCGACTAACACAGCAGCCACCCCTTTTTCGAATAGACTTGCTAACAGACTGACTTGATAAGGTAAGCACCAACAGTCTCCCTTTCAGCACATACCCCACTTTCACGTTCATTTGCATTCAAGCGTTTGTTTTCATGTATTTTCGTTTCTCTAGCGTTGCTTTCAATTCATCATTACCCAGCGTTGTTTTCAGTTCATCACTACCCAGCGTTGTTTCTTCTTTGTCCTTTTATCATTTTATCCTTTATTCCTGATATATGCTGTCCCAGTCTTGATGAGTTGAGCTAACATTGGTAGAAGCGCGCCCTGGGGGGAGGCTTTGCCTCCCCCCCGTAAGCGGCGCGCGGGCACTGAAGTCGGACTCCTCACCTCCACGTGGTAGTGCCTGGTAACTGGCAGGGAGACACCTGCCAGGCCAACGAGGAGACGCACTAGATAGAGATAGATACACAATATAACCATGGCTTTCAGATGTTCTTCTATAAGTAGACTGCAGTAGATCCCCCGGTATGACGAATGCTTTTGGTGCCAGTTGTACCGTGTGCGCGCCCCCGAGTTGGGTACATTTGTGAAGCTATTCCCAAGTTATGTCCGACACCACCAGGCTGGCAGAATGTGTCAATGTACTCAGTGTGGTCATGACGCCGATTACGGCACGAAGGATTTGCCGCTTCGAGAACCAGCAATCACAATCCTCGTTCACCAAGTGTTGAGGCTCTGCCTTCCATACTTTTGTCGGGATCCCAGCCAATCAGCGCGGGTCTACCCTGTTTATCTGTGGTATCCCTTAGCGAAGGTAGCAGAGGCCCGGCTCCTGGGTCACCGGTGCTAGCAAGCAGTGCTACCTGCCAAAGAAGCACGACACAGGAGCAATACTTGAAGTAGTGGGCCATCAATACATTATCGTTGCAAGTCTAGTACGCTTTCAGTGCTAGCAGAACGATTGGCCAGTAGGATCGGATGACACACTCACGGCAATCGCGAGATCTTAGAGCACAGATTAGGTAAGATGTAGTTTTATGTCATACTCTCAAGGGCGCCCAGCCTGTCGGCATTCTTTGTAGATTCGAGAAGACGCACAGGTTCCTGGTGATTCGTCCAAAGTAATGTTCAACTTGCCGTAGACATGATCAGAGTCAATCCGGCACGGCTGCCCAATAGTAATTCGCGGGAAACAGCGACCAAATGCTCACTGTGGGAGCATTGTAACCTCAGCAGCGTGAGACCCAGCTCTAGGATGACTGCGCTTGAAGGTACGATACAATAAATCACATCTGATTAGACTTTTATTTTTTTTTATTAGTTGAAGAAGTCATTCTATATGAGGCTTTAACACATCATGTTGCGACCTAAGGCTACGGGAAGTGGTTCATTTCCGTGCAGGAGCCCAAATATGATTCACTAGCTAGGTATGTATGAAATGACTCAACAATGTGCAGAAGCCATATATTGGTTTATCTTCGTATGGATGGAAAGATCGTACTTGGCTTTCAGAACTGAAACGTTGCCAGTAGACGGCTTTCCACAGACAGCTTTATAACGTGGTTCGAAGACATAGACAGGTTCCTAGCCGCACCAAAAGCTGTTCCCTGATTGATGGCACCAGATATTAAAACCTTGGCTTCGACAGTCGTAAAGGGTCTGCCAATTGCCACCTGTGTTGCAAACTTGCTAATTGGTATGTATCAGGTATGTTCAATTGAGTATAATAGACGTATGATAGTGGTCAACTCACAAGGTCGCTGCAGTACCAGTTGTCGTCATCCTGGAAGCCACAGCAGGAACATTGGTATGAGCCAGGGTTGCAAGCAACTGCGCCGCCAACAATGACCATAACTAAAGCAGAGACGCTGGGTAAATGCATTATGATAATAATTCCTAGCTACCGACGGTTCACACGTAAGTGAAAGGGAGAAGATGCTGTAGCCGCACCAGCTTGATACAACCTCGTCCTCTTCACGTGGGGGCTGGCTGTCCTTTAATACCTTTTCCAGAACTTGGTACTGAGCAATATTCGGAACTAGTGTTCATGTAAGGAGCTTGTGAACCTTGAGGACGGGTCCTGAGTAAGTCAAATTACCCCTCATCTAACAAAGATCGGTGAAGCTATCGTGAATCCTGTCAGAACGCCACAACAAGCCTTTATAGGCCCGCCAGCCCGATGACAAGGCGTTTAGAGTCAAATGCAACACTTCTTCCAGTAATGAGTGATTCGTCGACCGGCTTTAGAGTTGCATGTGGGAAGACTCGGATTTTATTTGTCATGAAAATACCAACGGTGCCAACGATTGAGCTATTGATGCATCATTCGTGTACTGGAACATCATGCATACACGTGTGTTGCAGCGACAGATCCTTCGAGGCTGCTTACCCCATATCTCATAATGTGGGAAAAGGATGGCCTTGACAATTCCTACCCAAGAGACTGCGCTTTATTCCTACGTTGGTTTCTTGGAATGTACCCATGTTCGATATTTCGCTATTGAATTAATTGGGTAGTATCACGTTCCAGCAATTTGACATGGGTTCAATTGCTTTAAGGAAAGAAAAGGGATCTCATTACTGTCAGATCAAAAGCCGAGGCCGATGGGCTACACAAGTAACATTGAAACGGGTTAGCCCTCAGCCACCTGGATGCACATCAATATATTTAACGACTATCAAGGAAGTACCAATGCCCTGCGCCTTACCCTTACTCGCCATATCGTACGAGCTCAGAATTCTCTAGAGATAGGTACCAAACCCGCTTGAAGGTTCTTACTGAGAACTGTCTCCAGTCCAACGTCAACTCAAGAAGCCAGTAATTCATGTATTCCATGTGTCCTTTCATACCACGGTACAAGCTAAATGAGAGGCAGTTGAGATTGAGATATTGTTCGTTGGATCAATCAGCCATGTCCCTCACAATTTAGCATGCATTTCGCACTTTCCTCCTCCACACACGCCTTCTTCGCCTCGTAATCTTCCACCTCTTTGTCAGCTTTGCGTTGAGCTTCTTCAAGGATTGCATCTTCTTCATTGTATAGATGGTCTAACTCCTCAAAGGCTTCTGGTAGCGCCATGCTAATGAACAGCTTAATGACAATCATGGCTGCGTACTTGGGCTCCAGCCGCAATTCGGTGATCAAAAACATTCTAGTCTTTTCAAGTTTACCCGGCAGCCCCTTAGTAGTTGTCATTGGAAGGCTTTGGATGAGACAGCCACATTTGGCCGCATGGTCCATCAACCCATGATGGAACAGGAATCTGTGGTCGTCAGACGTCCGCTGCGGGTAGTATTGGCCGCGGCACCCAGTCCCCTCATTTGTGACGATAAGCTGCGGGTCTTCGCCGTGTCGCACACGGGGAACATGTCCACAGTCAAGAACGTTGTGTCTGAGTAGATCTTCGATCTGGTCGGGAATCCGCCTAGATGGGACGACCCCATTTCGTATTGCATCTTGCCATAAGAAAAGGTCAAATTTTTCTTCGTGTCTAGATGGACCATCCATTGCTCATTGTAGATTTGGGCCTTTTAATGTCATCATTGCTTGGCAGGCTGGCCCTTCTATATCAAAATAGAGAACAAAGGGGTTTTAGTGAATGTAAGCACAGTCTCATTCGCATTGTCTGAGAGTGTATCAATAGCCAAAAGGATAATACTTGATAAAGAGTACTTCGGGAGTCATCCAATTTGCACGCCATAACTGGAGCATAAAGTACTATGCTGTGGGACTTGCGCCCATCATCTGGATTATTGTTCAGTTGAGTGCAATCCACCTTGTACCAAATAGACATACCCGGCTACCATTTTCAGCTGATCTGCTGGACTTAGTCTGCATACAGGCAACAGAAAAACCGATCCATATATGGCCTGTCTATCCATCAATCCGTTATGCTTGTGCCCATATCGTTCCGCTCGGCGGCCAGGCCAGTGGTTTAGTTCGAGATGCTTCAATGGCACGGCTAACTTCTGATGGCGACAGCGAGATGCTGGATGATACACTGCCCTTCCTCGAAGTCGTATCAAAGTCCTGCAACACAACATGCCCTGTATCGGTGTCACTAACGCCGCCGTAACTACAACATAGTGGCGTCCTTTTGGGGTGAGTAGCAGTCTGCCCGTCCTCCGCGTCCCGTAATCTCTTGGACGTCAGGGTCTTCGTGGTGTCTCGCAGTAGTGTACGCATGACCGGAATCGATTGCACCATAATAGTACCGGTGACTTCTGCAGAGTACCAAACCATTGATAGTCCTTGATGCCCTATCGCGGTTGCGTCAGTGGTTTTGTAATACACACGTCTTGAGCTAAGTGTCCACATACAGAAGTACCAGTCGTCGTAGTGCGAAGTAGTGGGATCATCCATCCATGCCTGTCGAACGGCCGAGATGATAGCAATGATTATTCCAAGACTCATCGTTCCGCATAGTCCGATTTTCTCCCATTTGCTGATGTTCAATCTCCATGTGAGCATCCATGGGAAGAGTGCCAGCACAAAATCCATGATAATATTCCAAATATTGCCCACGCGTTTGGCACTTTTCATGAAGTTGTAGTCAACACAAAATCCTTGCATTCTCCAGTAATTCTGGTAATGACTTTTACCACAATACTCTGCCCAACTCACGAAGATCTTGAGGACCATGAAGACATTCAGTGTAAGTATACCTATCCACAATACTGCACCGCGACATATCAGGTCCCGATCAAGATGAAAGAGGCGCTCCTGCTCAAGCTAGGCAGGAGGCTGATAGCTCTGGTGTTGATCCACGTACCTGTTCGTTGCCATGTGTTGCTCATCCTCAGCAATGTGACGGCAAATGCAGACTTGCTCCACGTCTGACCCATGGTGGTTCCGCAAGATGATATGGAAATCAGAACCAACATGCGGTCATCCCAATCCTTCGAAACGTAGCCTGTAGCCATCTCATAGGTAATCAAGATATCAGTTGCCAGCAACACCAGCTATCGAGCTGTTGATCAGCCAAGTGCCGCATTTACTGACTTTCAGACAGTGGGTCTCTTGATAGGAGTTACTTACCCAACTGACAAGAAGGATCCAGTCGTCATACCAGAGTCCGTAGTGCCTTCTCACCTTGCACCAAATGCGAAAGGAGAGAAATAAGGTCGCGCCAGAAAAGAGAGTCCATATGCCTGCGTCGACTTCTTTCTCAGGCGACACGAATTGGTGAACGGCACGCTGCGAAGCCATCGTCACATCTTGTTACTCATCAAGAAGCAACGTGAGGATAAACAAGCACAAGCGGCAGCGACGAAAGATCTGATTAAACATGGCACACTTCCATGATCCTTTTGTTCTAGACCTCATCGTAAATACCAGCGGGCCTCACCTGCGACTGCGTCACAAATTTCCGATGTGGAACCCGTGACTACCGTGCCATCGGTACCAGCACATGCCATGACTTCGTAAGCCGAAGGCGGCCGGATTCATATAAACTTATCTTTGTGAAACGTAATCCCGGCAGGTTGACTAGGATGTATCGCACCTATAATCATGAAAATGCTACTGTGGAGGCCGTCTAGGACCCGGATCTTGGTGCTCCACCAATCACGACTTGACGAGCCATAGACACGTGCGGGTGGGACACGATGTCTCGCTGTCTCGCTTTAAACGCCGGGCGTCTTCCGGTGCCCCATTATGACATGCGTTTGAGCCGCCTTCGTTGAGGCTCTTCGGGTCTCTCTACTGTGCATACCAACCTGGCACACGAATGCCGACGCTATGGGTATCTGCCGTGCTGGTAATATCCAAGCCGAGCCTAACGACAGCCAAGCTTTCTCTAGATGTTTCTCCACCACATTCTCCCGTCCCGTTGTCGTGCAGTTGGTATTCTCGCATGTATAAGTCGCGCGAACTGGGAAAATTCACGGCACAATCCGGGTCTTCATTGGGCTTGATGGTAATCAATGCAAAAGGCAGATAACCTAGGACTTGGGCAGCCACTCCGGTATCTGCTGATATTTGAGAGAAGTTACTCGCCATGTTCTCTATAGATGGCTATCTTGTCAGGAATAATGTTACAGAACCTCAAGTTCATGATTCAAATACACCCGACGGAATCCGCGTCAAGTTCACACTCGAGATATCGTAAGCTTCACTTCCACTTCTTTGGTCCACGTCAATGCCAAAGGCTAGCCTTTTCCTCGTGCTCGAAGACATTCCTGGATCCGATAGGTTGTGAGATGGACATATAATGAGTTACTCATAGAGTCAATAGCTGCTGCCAACGCACCACCTGTATGCTGTGTCATTCTACCCGATGCGCCATTTCCATCCGAATAGCGACCTATCTGTTCGCCGACATCGTTGCAGCGAACATGGCAAATCGCGATCTGCTCATGGCCACTCGCACGGATAGCTGACACACCCGATGGAAATATATTCCTGGATTCTTTCAGACGGGCGCTTGTACTCGATTCAGCTCATATCGCGGGACAAGATGCATGTACGGTCCAATGCAACAGCTAGAAGGGGAGCGAGGCCATGAGGCGACGCAGACTGGATACATTCGCCAGACTCAAGGCATTCGATTAGACTGAGTAGTAGCATGGCCTCGGACACGAGCGTATCTCGTTGTGACGGCATCGCTCGAGGACATACGCTCAGTCGGTAGCCTGCAGCTTCTTGGCCCGGTCCAGGGCAATGTCAACCATGGCATTGATGGCCTCCAGCTCTTCCTCGTCGATGTCCCCTCTATCTATCCTCTGGCGCATGTTCTCCATGATGACCGGCCTGCTCCTGCCGTTCACAAAGACGACGTATCTCAGCCCCGGGAACTTGGCCTCGTACTCGGCATTCAGCTGGTGCAGCTTCTCGGCCTCGTCGGCAGCGCCGGCGTTGAGCGACGCCTGCTCGGCCTGGCTCTGGGCGCTGTCGACCTTCTTGGCGCCGAGGCGCGGGTGGGAGCCGAGGATGCCGTGGAGCTTCTGCTTGGCGGGGGCGTCTGCGGAGCGGGCGAGCTGCGTCAGGAGGGTGCCGATGTGCTTGATGAGCTGGGCGTAGGAGGTAAAGGCGGGCTCCGGGACGCTGGGGTGCGGCGCGCCGGGGGGCGGCGGCAGGTCGGCGGAGATGCCCGGGTTGGCGGAGACGCGCCTGGGTCTGAGGGCTGGCAGGGCGAGGCCGTGGAGCTCGGTCGAGGGCTCGAAGAGCAGGTCGAGGGCCTGGATCTGGGCTTTGATGGGGGCGGTCGACAGAGACGAGACGGGCGGCAAGTTCGGCACAATGGGGGCAGCCGAGGCGGAGGAGGAGGAAGGGGAGGAAGTGGCCATGTTGTTTCGTGGGATGCGGTCGTGGAGGGGGATGTGCGGGGGACGGTCTACGTTCACGGGGTACTTGGAGACGAGGTTGAAGCCGAGGTCATGGTGGTCTCTTATATGTAGTTTGAGCTGCAGGGGAGTGAATTGAGGCATGGCCCAGCCCGGCGGTGGATTCCAGCTATCGTGAAAGGGTGCAGACGACGGCCGGCGACTTGCGACGTCGGGGGCTGGCTGTATGCAGGTGGTGGTGGGTAGTGGTGGGCAGTGGTGGGTGCTGCTGGGTGGTGGTGTAGCTCGCAGCAAAGTGACTCGCCAATACAGCCCTGGAGGAAGAGAGGCACAGTCAGGTCTACAGTGCCATAGACGTCCCTACTGTGCCACAGCGATCCATTCCTAGGCACTAGGGGTTAGGTACTAGGTACGGTACTGGTGCTCTATCTACAGTGACTGTACAGCACAGGAGCTGGAGCTGGAGCGCTGTTTTACTGTTACAGGTACCGTGCTGCAACGGTAACGAAACAGCCGGTCTTGCGCTGACCCAGGTGCCGATTACTCACTGCAGTGCCTGAGCATTCAGAGGTCCTTGGCGCTGGCCAGGTGCGCGCCGGGCTGGCACGCGGCTGGTGCCCACTTGGCGGCTCATCCGCCGACAAGGCTGCCAGCCTGCCAGCCTGCCAGCCTCCGAGAAAGATTTCCCATATTCACCCAGCTCGATGCGCCAGCAGTAGTTGCGCGACACCACATCCCCTCGTCATCATGTTGTGCGCAAGTGAGTGCTTCTCGTCGTGCTGTCCCGTGCCCCTGCGCATCTAACGCGTTCATAGTCTCTGGCGAAGCTCCCCAGGAGCCCGTCATCTCAAAGCTCTCAGGTAAGTCAACAGCCATCACCACCAAGCTCCTCGCGCACGAGGCACCGTAGCTCACCGCCATCGCAGGCAATGTCTTCGAGAAGCGCTTGATCGAGAAGTACATCGAAGAGAACGCCAAGGACCCCGTCACCGGCGACGATCTGACCCTGGACGACCTCCTCCCCGTCAAGACAGCCCGCACAGTCCGGCCTCGACCGCCCAAGCTCACCTCGATCCCCGCGCTTCTGTCCACCTTCCAGAACGAATGGGACGCACTGGCCCTGGAGACCTTCAACCTGCGTGAGCAGCTGACGCGCACGAGGGAGGAGCTGGCCACTGCGCTCTACCAGCACGACGCAGCCGTCAGGGTCATCACCAGACTGACCCAGGAGCGGGACGAGGCACGGGATGCGCTGTCGAGGGTGACGGTATCGGGCTCGGCGGCGGCTAATGGCGATGCCATGGCCGTCGACGCCGAGGCCCTGCCCGAGGAACTGGTAGCCAAGGTGGAGGAGACCCAGGCCAAGCTATCCAAGAGCCGCAAGAAGCGACCTGTGCCCGAGGGGTGGGCCACCGCCGAGGACGTTTCATCCTTCGCCGTCGCCACCGAGAGCGCCGTACCCGTGGAGCAGCCGACGACGCTGGCGCTGGAGGAAGGGTATGCGGCCGTCGGCGGGCTCAAGGGCGACGTGGCCATCTACTCGGTCGCGGCAGACAAGGTCGAGCGGTCATTGCAGGTCAACGAGCCGGTGACGGACTCCATCTGGACGGGCGCCAAGGTCGTCTTCTCAACAACCAAGGGCTCCGTCAAGGTGTTCGAGAGCGGCAGCGAGGTGGCATCCTTCTCGGACCATGCCGGTCCTGCCACCGGCCTCGCCATCCATCCCAGCGGCGATATCTTGGCGTCAGTCGGCGCCGACAAGAGCTTTGCCTTTTACGACCTGGTGAATCTGAAGCGCGTCTCGCGCGCCTTCACAGACTCCTGTAAGTTGCAACGCCCATGGGGTGCCTCCTGGGCCCTGGACCCCTGAACCAGTCGCTGACCCCCGTCCCAGCCCTCATGACCTGTGCCTTCCACCCCGATGGCCACCTCTTCGCGGCAGGTACCTCGACGGGCGACATCCGGTTCTTCATGACGGCGACGGGCGAGCAGGCCACGTCGTTCTCGCTCGGCGCCCCCGTCCAGAGGATTGTGTTCTCGGAGAACGGGTACTGGTTCGCCGCCACGGCCAAGGGCCAGACCACGGTCACCATTTTCGACATCCGCAAAGAGGGCGACGCGGCGCGGGCCAAGGTGCTGGAGACGGGAGGCGCGGTGCAGGACCTGGCGTGGGACTACAGCCAGCAGTTCCTGGCGACGGCCGGGCCGGCCGGCATCACGGTGCAGCAGTACGCCAAGAGCAGCAAGAAGTGGAGCGAGGTCATGCGGAAGGACTTTGCCGCGGGCCGGGTGCGATGGGGCTCCGAGGCGAGACAGCTCGTCGCCGTGGCACAAGACGGCCGCATTGGTGTCTTGTCGGCACAGGAGTAACTGGCAGGCATGCCGCAAGGCGAAGGGGGGATTGTTCACTTAAGCAGGTCTGCGTGACGCCGCGGGATGTTGGTGCCGAGGAGCGACGAGCAGCTACTGCTATTGCCACCATTGCTATTCGTGACAGGGAAGATGTGTAAAAAGCAGGATGCGCAATCAGAGTGGTCATATGCAGGGCTCGAGGTGGATTGCTTGTATACTAGATGGATGCAGTGAATGATACCATTCCTAGGAGTTTGTTTCATGGCATGGCGTACCATGTGGCTTAACCCAGTGATGCCCGACTGTTTGCATCGGTCGATTGGATACAGCTCCCTTTGATGACTCGCTAGACAGAGAGCTGGACCTGGCGGCTGTCACGTGGAAGGTAACTTTTCTACGTAGTATACCCAATACCCAACTTGGACAAGTATACTAGTTGCCGTATGTCTACTGATGGACATGCGTGATCTGATACTGCCTACTGTGGGCAGCTGGGCCAGATCCGGCATACCAGATCTCAGGTTCCAAGTAAAACAAACAGCCCGCGAATACCACTGGAGGATTGTATTTCGCTGCCTATGCTGCCTCTTACCCCTGCAATTTGACGCAGAACTTTTGGGGGTCTGAGAGGGAAAGGTCCAAGTTAACTTGGGGTCATTAATGGGCAGCATGGCCTCGGGAACCTTCAGTGGCTCGCTCCAGTTGCCGCCTAGACAGCTGGTGCACCGGGACTTGCGACTTGGGTCACTTTAGCCATCGACGACAGCACTGAACGGCCAGGAGGAATCCACGAATACAGGCCCACAAGTACTAGGGACGAAAGTGCCTGAGGGCCTCTCGTGGACTTGCAGGATTACAGTAGTTGGGCACCCTACATACTGTACCTGCTTATAGGTTCCCATGGCACTTTGGACCAGACGTCCAAAGGGACCCCGCTAGCTCCAGGTAGCTTACATTGACACTTTGACTGGCTATCTTACTATCTACCTCCGTAGACTACCTAGGTAAGGTAACAAGTACTTCAGGCTAGTTACCCGTCGACTACTGGATAAGTGACAGGTACCTTGTTGCAGTCAAGTATCTTGCCTACAGGATACAGGGGCTGCCTACAGGCTACCTTGCGGTATAAGTATAAGGCAGGTCTCGACGGGTACCCTACCAGATAAGACTTGCGGTTGAAAAGCGTCTGCCATTCATCATCCCGCTTCGGCACGACGTCGACGTTTGGCTTTTTGGCTTTCTTTGGCTTTTGGTCTTGGGTGCACGGCGGGTGCAAGCCGCTCTCGCCTCCCGAGAAATAGGCAGGGCAAGCCAGCAGCAACATTGAATGAATGATGCATGTCATCAAACTTACACAGTACCGCCGCAATACTCGCTCCCACCGACTACAAGCTACAACAAACACCACGCACAAGAAACCCGCGAGCAGTCCCCGAGGACTGGATCTTCTTTTCTCTTGTCCGCACATTGCCACACTTTGTCGCAGCCCGCCGCACCGAGTCTTTTTTGTTTTGTTCTGACCGCAGACGACGCTCCGGCCAACGATAGCAACTGCCCGCCACAACTGCGGACTGGAGACAGTCCGGGCCGCGTCTGACGTCGAGTGAACCGACTGGCAATCGAGACGACACCGCGCTCCGCCTGCGGCTTGCGGCTTGCGGCTTACGAAATGCCATGATCGCGAACCTCCATCCACCTCTGTCGACTCTGCGCGCTGGTGCAACCTGACGGCGACCAAGCGACGGCCTGCCCGCCTGCCTGCCTGCCTGCCTGCCCTCCTGCTTGCCGTCTCTTCCCACCTCGCTTTGCCGCACGCATCCCGCATCCCGCCTCCCGCCTCCCGGAACTGACTCTTCTCGGCCCCCTTCCTACGAGAGATCCTGACCGCGGCCGCTTCGCCGCGTCTTCCACTGCGCTCTTGACTGCGTAGTGTTCCGCTGCTATCTCGCCCCCACGGTATGTATCACACCTGTTATTTCCATCGCCCCCTCCGCTCCCAGCTGCACTCCGTCTCCCCCTCCCCCTCTTCCACCTCCACCTCCTCCTCCAACCTTCAGGTCTGGCGAACGCGGTTGTCCTCGGTAGGGTGGCGTCCGTCGCTGTCTTCACTCACGTCTTTCTCGCCTCTCGCCATTCCCATGCCACGTGAGGTATGCACCCGACCTGCCCACCCGCCCGCCTGACTGCCCATTCGCCTCGGCGCACACTTGCAGGGCCGACATGGTCTGGGCGCAATCACCCAAGACCGGTCTCCGAGACACACTTGCCAGAGAAGGGTACTGACCGAGTCTCTCCAGAGGTCCCATCACCAGCGCCTAATCCCCAGCCCGAGGCCCGACGACACAGGCTTCCCCGAGACGTCCTGTGCAACCCTTGGTCTGCCCAGCGGAGGTTCTCACTACGTTATGGCCGATTACTCCCTCGGCCCGGCGTCTTTGGCATCATCGGACCCCTCGGACCACTACGACGACGACGGAATCGAGTTCGTGCCAGAGGGAACCGACTCGGACGACGACCTCGCCCTACCAGACCCGGACTCCGATTCCGAGAGCGAAGGAGGCTTGTTCGTCCCGGAGCTTGATCATCGTAACCTCTCCCCTGCCTCGGCCATCACCCTCTCGCCCTTGGTCTCCGAAGCAGACCACGGCCACCACCGAGACCGTCAACAGAACCCCCCCGACCTACCTTTCCCCATCGACCTGGAGGCCGACCCGAGCGAGCCATCGGAGCAGTCGGATATCAACCTCATCTCCAGCGACAGCGAGCAGGACTCGGAACGTGACGAGTTCCTGTCCCCTGCGCCCCAACCCGATCCGCGCGGGTTCCCCTGGGGTCCCCTTGACGCATTCGCCCTCATCCGCGACGATCTCCAGTACGAGACGGACGACCTGTACGACACAGACGAGTTGGACGCCGAGGACGAGGAAGACGAAGCAGGACTGGAAGGCTTTGACTTCGGATTGGACGGTATTCTACTAGACCCCTTCGAGCATCTCAGCGGCGGCCTCGACGGCTTGGGCCGCGACGACAATTTACATCTACCAGCACCCTTGGGGCTGCACCACCTGAATCATATCCACCACCCGAGACTACCGGCCATACACCCGCACTCCCCCAGAGGGCCTGGCGTCCATCCTCTGCACCAGTTGATACCCCAACTTAACTTTCTTCCGCCTCACCTCCACGACCACCTTGGACGCGGTAGTGCGCTTGCAGCATCTCCCAGGGACGACATGGCGAGCCGGCCGAGGAACGGTGGCCACGCCCAACAGCGCGATGAGCTTGTTGGCGTCGAGCTGGCACGAGAAGGCGGCGCAGGCGCGCATCGCGGGACCCTCGGGGCTCCCGAGGGTCGAAACAACCAGCAGCCGTTTGTGATCGACCTGACGGGTGACGATGATGCTGTCGAAGTGCTGGGGTCGCAAAACGCGCGAAGACAGCAGTCGCAGCGCCGGGAAACCGCCCCACGCTTGAACCGGAGCGATAGCAACTACATCGGCCACCAAGCTCCCGTAATTGACATCAGCTCGGACTCCGAGGCAGAAGACGACGTCCTGGTCCAACGCGTCAACGCCAGGCATCCCCATCACCACCGGCGCCATCATCACCATGCCCCGGGACCGGGCGCGGGGGCGGGGCCCCATCATCATCATCACCACCATCACCATCACCACCGGCCGGCAGCAATGGACCGTAGATCGCCGCGTCGCCTGCCTAACATTAACAACGCGAGGGCAGCTGCTGGCGAAAACCGCGGCCTGTTGAACTTTGTTGGCAACGTGATCCACGGCATGGTCAATAGAGGTAACCGAGGCCGGGATGATGACGCTCCCATACTTGGTGGTCCCGGAGGGGGACCGTTCCCTCAGATCCATCTGAACTATGTCGCCCACCCCTTTCACGGCGGCGCGCCGGGCCCTCAGAAACCTCCCCACGTACCACCCCCCAAGCCCCGAGATGGCTTCACAAGGGATACTGGCGAGGAGCAGGTGTTGGTGTGTCCGAGCTGTGATGACGAGCTGGCCTACGATCCTGACGACTCGGATGACAACGGTCCCCCTACCAAGAAGCCAAGGACCAAGAAGGACAAGGCCGAACATCACTTCTGGGCAGTCAAAGACTGCGGCCATGTGAGTTTTCATGCACCAATGCCGTGAATCTTGTCCCATCACGGTTACGCTAACCTCATCAAAGGTCTTCTGCAAGAAATGCTACGACAATCGCAAGCCCGCCGCCAAGAACCCGGTCATGACCGGCTTCAAGCCCGACCCCCTGAATCACAAAAAGATGATCTGTGCTGTGGATGGCTGCACTTCCGACGTCAGCAACAAGACGGCCTGGGTCGGCATCTTCTTGTGATGTGGCCGGCCTGGTGACGTGGATCTTCGCCAGGAGTGATGATCGACCCTGTACTTTAATGAAATCACGAGACACATACCCCATAATGCATGAATTCCACCGGCGTTGGTCACCGGTAGGCAAAAAGCAAAAGGCCACCAGCACTGCGTTCTATCGAGGACAGAGGGATCACTGCAAGCGACGGCCAAGGGAGGACCTGCTCTACTTGCACGGTGATGGTTTCTCGGCGACGACTACGCGCGGAGCATTGCCTTCGAGTATTTTTGAGAGGCTTGGAAGCATAGAGACGTCCATATATGGTAGTGGCTCGCGACGAGCGAGCATGATGCCATGCTGACTGTCCTGGCCTAGACGAGACCGGTGTTGCGCGAGCTACAATATGCAAAAGCCATGTAAAGCAGACAAAGAAGTGCATGCCCAAATTACACTCAGAAAGCATGGCTCCTTTGATTTTCACTGATATGAGCATCGCGACAAGATCGTGCTTTATTGCCTACTTGTCACCAACCCAGTAGACCAGCCCTATGCTAAGGAGCTGAAGCACCTGTACTTCAGGTTCTACATCCCCCAGATTCAGTCGAGCCTGTGTTGACCCCGCCTCCGGCTGGGGCCCCCGTAGCCCACGTTCCCTCGGTTCTCAGGGGAACTCATCTTCGTGACCTGCACAAATCTGACGGATCATACATAGGTCTGAAATAAGCGAATCGAACGAAGTTTGCCGGCCTGGAGGAGATGTCGTACCAAATAGAACCGCCTCCACAGGATCTGCATGCCCCTGCGATTTCATCCGGCTGGCATGATCCCAGGGCGGAGATCCCGCACCAGTAGTCAAACGCCATCCATCCGCTCATATTATTCTAGTCCTAGCGTCCCTTGGGGGAAGCCAACAGTCGTTTCCTCCGGAATGCCACGAAGTAAAACGTCCTCGTACCTCTTGATGCGTGTGCCCACCTTATGGCAAAGCATGATGACACCATTGCTGTTGCTGCTGCTGGAGATCTTGGTCCGGAATCGTTCATATGCTGTGATAGCAGACCGTACCGATCCCCTTGCCTCCTCGTCGAGCTCTACAGCCTCGCTGCAGGCTTCAGCCTCCTTCAGGTCTGCGTGCTTGACATCTATGCTCCAGTCCTGAGGGCGTTGGCTGGTATCAATTGTCGTCACGATACCGCTTGCTCCGATGGGAACAGAGCGGAACCTCTGCTTGAGCAGCCAGTACTCCAGATCCGGCATTGCTGGGCCGCTAGAGAGCCCAAGAATTGCGGGTTGCTGTGCCTTTGCCCGGAGTCTGTTCCACCACTCCCGTGTTCTGCTGGGAACGTTTATTCTCGGGGACAACCGACACCTCCTCTTATCTACGGGATTCGCGTCCGACGCGGTCATCTCGTAGTCGAACGGCTCAAACTCGATCTCAACCTCGATACCAAAGCTCGTCAGGAGCTCTTGTAGCTTCGCGGCCTGCTTCTTGAGCTCCGCTACCAGTGGTGGGAGGATGTGGGCGGCCTTGTATGTCCAGGCGTACAAAACGACCCCGTACGATCTACCCATGGGGCTCAGGCCCTTCAATACCCTGGCCAGCATGTCTATAGCCATGTGGAGGATCCGGACCAAGCTCGACTCCATGTCTTCCACTTGCTCGCCTGGAGCACCGTGGCACTGCTCGGTCTCTTTCCCTCTCCCATCGGCAGCTGCAGACTGGTACGCTGTATCGATCTCTGTGTTCTCAGCTTCCGGACCAACAGGTGCGAGACCTGATGTTCGGTATTGGAGTACGAGGAAGTTGAACTCGTTGACGGCGATGATGAAAGGCTTGATCTGGTGCCAGTTCTCACCAATTGCGTAGTATTTATCCATCCACGTCCGGAGCCGGCAGACAGATTTTCTCATATCGGACCAGCACAGCAAAGCTGTGTTGATAGAGCAAAGTGTACACGCGGGCGCCTCGAGCCCGTTGGCGAGAGCTGGGAGGGCCACAGCTTGTGGTACTTGGCTGCTGTCTGATACTTTGTGTTCCGCACGTATTGTCGAGGATATCTTCTCTTCCGTGTCTGGTATACATGTTCCGGAATCTTGTCGTGATCGGTCTCCTTCCGAATAGCTGGCCCAAGGCAGCAGTAGCTCGGGCAGAGATGCCCCTTCTTCAGCGCAACTCTCCGAACTGTGCTCTGCCTCCCCCGAAGCGGGAGAGTGCGCTCGGAAGGATAATACTTCGTCATGAATACTATATGTTGGATCAACTGCTCCTAGACTCTCACATGAGCCAGTCAGAAGAGTATTATGCGGTTGCGCATATCCATCAGTAGTATACCTGAAGTGGCTTTCGGCTTTTACCTTCTCCCAAGATCTTCGCTTTCTCAAGTCTCTTCGCGACAAAGGAACGAGAGATTTGCGTCTATCGTCTATCTGACTACTTAGTGTTGGGCCGTTGACGCGGATAGACGTTTGCCGGCGTAAGGGACGCAGCCGTAAGCCCTTGGTATCTGGTGGGCTGCCGTTGGATCCAGTTCGCTGGCGCTGCTTGTCCATCGAAATCGATTCTCTCTTGCTTGGGCAATCACAATGAGTCCAGCAGCACCGTGCCGAGTCTTGCCGCTGGAGGAAAGCGTAGAGGACGGTGGCTTGGATGCTGGGGATGGGCGATTACACGACTCACAGCTTCGGATTTCACGCAGTCGACTTTTACAGCCCATGACGGACATGATGGTGAATGGATAGATGCACTGGCATCATCCAGTTACCGGAAAACTGTGTGTGATGCGATGTCATCCTGCTCTAACAGCATTTACATGCTCAGCGCAGCGCCGCTTGCCTCTCGAAGTTTAATTGCAGGTGTGGGTGGGTGTCGAGTTGCATCCATCACCGACGACTTACCAGGCATGCGCTGATAGCCCCTTTTTGGGTCACTATATCATGGCATACGGGTTTCTAAAAGAAAGCGAGAGCAACGCAGGAGCGGGCCGTATTTCACGACAGCATGAAGTAGATAAACCGGTGTGAGAATTATTATGTGCAATTGATATCAACACCTAGATGTATGTATGTCTGTCCATCAACAACCATGTCCGGTTCTGCCGGTCTTCTCTGTATCATCTCTATCAACCCCCGACGACGCTTTTCAACGCGTTCAGTACGTTGGATATGATGAAAACCACCCTTGGATGTATCAGATCAGTACACCTCACATCCGGCCATTCTATAACAAAGCCCAGCCCAGTACCTAGAGACGCCATGGAAACACACAATGCGTGTGCCATTTCCAATGCACGGCGGCGCCGAGGCGGCGGCGGTTGGTGGCTACCACCGCTTCGGGGCATCCGATGAGCACGGAAATATGTGCCGCTTCTACTGCAGATTCGGGTCAGGTTGAGTGTGGAGGAAAGGGATGATGCGCTGGTTCGTGCCTCGTCATTCGGGTGTGATCGTTCAACTCGAAAGGGGTGACAGCCTTATGGGCTTGCCCACCCGCCAGCGACGTCGACCCACTCAGCCAGACAGGAGCCATCCTTGCCTTCGACATCGACAATATCGGTATCGCAACGGCAGCGGCAGCCAACACCGTTCTCCTTCTCGGGATCCCACTGGTCCCAGTACTCGTCTTCCTCCTGGCGCTTCTTCTCGTCAAGAGTCGTCTTCTCGAGGAAGGGATCGCGCGGAAGCTGGCGGGACGGGGCATTGGCGGGACAGTGCTGGATGGTGGTGTGCCGGTATCCGAAATCACGGAAGTAGTGGATGTCCTTAGGGGCGAGAAGAACACCAGCCGCCAACGAGTGGATTGGAGCATCACCCCACTAGATTAGTCGTGTCAGCAGATGCATCCCGGTGTCACTTGGCATCAGAGTTGTCAACTCACTCGCTCCATCCAGAAGCCACCACTGCGGTCCACCATTTCAAAGAAGTCCTCGTACTCCTTGCTGCGGAACCAACTAAGCCTCGCAATCTCAAAGTTGGACCAGAAGTGACACATGTTGTACTTCTCGCCCTCCATGGCCTCCGGGTCGATCTCCGGAAGACTGTTGGCACCGGGGTCGCTGCGGAGTATCTCCTCCGGCAAAGGAGGCTTGTAGTTGGGGTCATCCTCGGGCTTGGACTCCTTGGGCTTCTCCTGGGGTTCGACAAACATCTCCCACAACCCCTGGGACTTGATGTTGTTGAGACGCTTGTAGGCGGATGCGTAGCGGAAGATGTTGGGGACGGTCTCCTTTAGCTCCTTGACGGCGATGGTGAAACCGTACGTCTTGTTGTTCTCAATCATCTTGAGGAAGGGATCGTAGGTAATGTCGCAGAAGTACTTGATCTCTGGCTCCAGGCGCCAGTACCACTCGTATTTGGCAAGCAGGGGGTGCTTGTAGAAGAAGCCAGAGTAGAAGCGGCACATGGCGTGGTACGACTCGAGGCCACCGTACATGACGGCGGCGTCGCCCTGCTTGGCAATACCCTCCTTGGCGATCTTGGGGTCTATCCAGTCGGGGTATCCCCACATCTCGGGACCGACGCGGCCGAACTCAACGGGGGCCGACGTGTAGTTCTGGATGATGTCCTTGAAGGTCTGGTTGAACTCGCCGTCGTTCAGGAAGACGTAGGGGTAGTGGTACCAGCGGTTGAAGTGGCGCTCGATGGACTTGACTGACTGGATGACGCCGTCCAGCTCCTTGTTCCGGGCCAGGACCACGAAGGCGGCGTTGGCACGGGGCTTGGACGTGTCGGGGTCGAGGCATCCGTTGACAAAGACCTTGTCATGTTCTTCGCTGATTTTGCTACACGAGAGGGGGAGAGGGTCAGCTAGGAGTCCGGACAGCAGGCAAGGCGATGGTCAACAAGTCTGGGACGTACCGGATGGCTGGGGGCGCGCCGGCGGGCATCAGTATGCGGCCGGGCGAGCTGGGGTGCCTGACAAACAGCACCAGGATGAGGATAACAACGATGCACGGAAAGAGGACGACGACGCCGAGCGGCACGGAAATGCTCGAGTTGCCCTTTAACCGCAGCGGCCTCTTGAAGATGGCGAGGCGCGACGAGAGGCCCTTGGGGCGCATCTTGTCCTTCTCGTCGGTGGTGGGCAGCTGTGGCACAATGGTAGGCACACGCCGATAGGCGCGGCGGAACAAATCCATCGTCATGGACCGCCGGAGACAGTCTCCCTACTGCAGAATGGGTAGGCAACGACAACGGACGTTGTCGGTGATGAATAGAATATGGATGCGCACGCAGCTGCTGCGGTCTGCTCGGAGTGGGAAGAGAGGTAATTTTTCGGCCGGCTGACTGTCGATCAGATCAGACGCACCCGACCCGAGAAAAGGGGGTGTGAGCTGCCGTGGATGCGAGATACCCAAGGCGATCGATTGAGATTGGTGAGGAATCCAACAGATAAGCCGAAGCCAAGTGATGCTACAGTATGGCTGATGCCCCTATTTCTCCTTTTCCAATGGGGATGCGCCCGCTGTCTATCTCGTGCGTGCTCGGCCGGTGCAGCAGAGCGGGTGCAGGATATGGCGGGTCGAGTAACGAGTGGCAAGGGCAATGGGATCCCTTGATGGGGGGGTGCACAAGCGTGGGTCACAACCGTTCCAGCGAGATAGCAGGAAGGAGGCTGTGATGCTGGACAGACGAGAGCCGCAGGCTGGGTCGCCGGGAGTTGCTGCGGCTGCAGATGAGATGAGTTGAGGTGAGGTGAGTTGAGTTTGAAGCTGACGGCCGACGGGGGCGGCGGGAACGCGTCAGACGGGCGACTCTTGGGTACCTCTCGGTTGTACCCTGAGCTGGTACTGTACCGTAACGCACAACACAGTATCGTGTCTCTTGTCTAGCCAGTTGGCCAGATCTCAATGGGGACGACGCCCAACCGTGGAGCACTGCCGTCAGTGACAAGCTCTGACGCCGGCGAATGTCGAGATGGCCCGCGACAGCAATTGGGCAGACGAGGGCGCTGGTTCGGCCAGCAACGGGGTGTCGTATGGGCTGACGGTGATGGAGAAGGGGGGAAAAAAGTTACGAGAAGCTCAGATAGGAGGACAAGATTTGACCTCGATCGGACGGGCCCTGGGGGTGACACTGGAAATTGCAGGCGGCCTTGCTTTGGGGGGCGCATGGGGTGTGGCCGGGCTTTTGCAGCTTCTGGGGGGGTGTGGGACGGCTCACTGGGCGACCTCTCACTGGGCGACTGGGGCCGACAGGAGGGTCAGCGCTTTGCCAAGGCTCGCCTCCAGTCAAGTCAAGTGTCTGCCAGCGGCGCACAGCACCACCAGCGGGCTGGCTGCCAGCCCACCACGCCCAGTCAGCCCAAAAGTCCAGCGGTCCGGCCATAATTTAAGTGCACCATAGCTAGTTAGTACATACTGTACGTACCATCGTAGGCGCGATAAGCTTGGAGATCGGTTAACTTGGCGCCTCGTGAAAAGGAGGCGCGGCATCCTCCGCGGGCGCGCACAATCGTTTCACCGAGCCCTATCGCTAGTATTCTCGAATGCTGTAAGTTAGTGCATAGTGCAGGTAAAACCACTGTACAGTAACTAATAAGGTAGGTCTTGTGTTGTTGCACCTCCTTGTGGCACGGTCGAGACCGCTGTCGGTTCCGTTGTTCCCCGGCCTTCTGTCTTCTACAGGAGCCCCAAATATAGAAATCTGTACTAGCCAGAGGCGGTGGCTGATGGGGATGTCGGGAACGGGGGTGGGAATTCTTCAATCCAGCGCTGACCAACCCGGAACACGCGCCCCCCTTTTATTGACCCCTTCTCTTTTCTTTCACACTGTCCTCTCCCAACTAAGCAGCCTGTGTACGCTAGACATGGTTGCTGGTTGTCGATGGACGTGCAGCGATTCTTGCCAACTGCGGATGCCGAAGATACTTTTGCGACAAATGCCAGCTATTGCTCGTCGGGGACATGCCGAATGGTTACAGTGACACAGCAAGAATTCACCACTGAACACACACAGTCGTTACCAGTTGATGTGTTCAGGTTTTGCTACAGGCTGGATCCAAGGCTGGATCCACACCAGCGCCTTGACCCTGTTCTGAGTCGCAGTCGCTGGTTGCAGAGGATCGGAATTGGCTGCCTAGCACCGCGTATTCATTCACCTGCTCCACCAAGCCGCATTCGAGAGCTACTCTGTGAGGTGAGCACTGCCAGGGTTGATGCTAGGCAGGCGAGTCTCGAGGCTGATCCTCATTGCCCGGGCGTTGTATCCCTAGCCATGCATTGCACTCGAATGACTCTGCGATATTATAACGTCCCTCCCCCCGCCTGTATAGTCATGGGTACCTGGTGCGAGTCGGGCTGAATCTGCCTGCCAACCTGCTGCGCTGCCAATACCGCTGGTCCCGGTCTCCCTCTTCCTGCGGCCCCTCGACGGCCGAGTGTATAAGTTGGGGACTAGTTGCACTCCTGCTGCATTGCAAGGAGGACCACGCCTCAGCATCCGCTCACCCAGGAGTGTGCTTGCGTGTATAAGGAACCTTATCATGGATAACCAAGAGCACGCCGCCGCAGGCGATAGCCACGAAACCCGCGCTGATGGTGCTGAAGGCGCCAATGCCGATCTTCTCGACTGCAGGCAGCACGACAGCACTCCCGGCGGCCCCGAATATGTATCTGAGGAGATAGTTCGCGGCCGTCACCTCGGCTGACCTAGATGGCATCACGTCTGAACACAGTTAGCAGTGATATGAAAATCGGCTCCGAGGCAGAACCTACCCAGACAGTATGTGCCGACGGAGGGAAAGACCATGAGCTGGCAGAAGCCCTGGAAGAACATGGAAAGAACTATCACTGGGATTCCGCCGCGGTTATACTCCAGGCACCACCCATACACCAACATACAGCTGGGAATCCCAAGACCCATCCACGGGACAGCCGCCCTCAGTCGGTCTGCAGGCCTGCGCTCCCCGTTCCGCTTACGCATCCACTTCTTGACCACGCGGTCGGCCCATCTGCCGCCAAAGAACGTCCCCAGGAGGTAGCCAGAGCCCGGGGCGAGGTAGAACAAGCCAGATTGCAGGGGAGTCGTGAGTCCAAGTCTGGGGTTGATCACGTACACGATGGGGACCAGGAAAGAGTACATGTTCCACACCAGCGCTGAGGAAGCGAGCGCGACCAGCAAGATATTGACGTCCCCAATGAGAGCAAGCAACTTGGCCGGGTTCAGCGCTCTGAAAGTTTCGCGCACGCGTCTATCTTTGGGTATGGCTGCCCATTGTTTCTGGTGAATCGTTTCGGGGATGACAAATATGGCGAGGACAGAGGCAAGACCCGCCATTGCGGTTTGCAGCCAGTAGATGTCTCTCCAGTTGACGTAGGTGACAATGGCACTCCCAAGAAGCGGTCCTGTTGCTTGTATGAGTTTTCTAGGTGTCGTGCTCGATCAAAATGTTCTGCTCACCAAGGGCTGGGCCAACAAGCGTTCCGCTCGAGAACCACCCTATTGCTGTCCCCCTTTCGGTCTGTTCGAGTCAGTCTCGCATCCTTTCCCCTGGCGTCTCCATGACATACAGGCTTATATAGATCTCCGATACATCCTGGCCCAGTAACGAGGAGGCCAGTGCCGCCGAATCCACTCAAGGTGCGAAAGGCAAAGAAGGCCGCCAGGTTGGGGGACAGCGCTGTTCCAAGGGAGAAGGCGAAGAAGGACAGGACGCTGCAGAGTAAGACTAGTCGACGCCCACACAGGGTGCTCAATGACCCCCATATGAAGGCAGATACGCCCATGGCGCCAGTATATAATCCATTGCTGATATTGACCACGCTGCCCGTCGTTTGAAAGGCCGCCGCGATCTCTGGCACCGCCGTCAGGCTTCCTGTGGAAGAAATGGGTGACAAGAGCGCGCAAAACGAGAGTATGGTCACGAACACTGCTTTCCGCCGTCTAGAGAAGCGATTATAAACTTCGTCTTCGTCGGAAACCAGACCTGAATTTCCTGAAGAGTTTTCCTTGACAGGGACGACTTGGCTTTCTACTGGGAATAATCCCGGGAGTAAGGATTCAGAAGTGTCGGCCACAACGCGAGCGGAGTCTGGTTGTGTTGCGTCCATTCCTTCAAGAGTGTCTCAAGGCCCGACATGTTCCCGAGATAAGAAAGAGAAAAGAGTCACACCGATCACTCGACATCAAAGTCTCACCCGGAAACTCCTACCCGCCGGAAGATCACCAGACGAGGACACCCGCAATGTTCTCCACAGTTCGGAGCCCTGCCGATGGCATCCGATTACAAGTCAAACAACTCATTAAGGAACTTCTCTTAAACTATTACGTGCTTTATTAAATATAACATTATTAAACTTTAACTTTTTATAACGTAACAATCGTTAATTGTATTTTTTATTTTATTAAAAAAAATACGATTTATTATTTTATATTATAACCGGGTAAAGAAAGAGGTAAGTATCGTCTTTTTAACTTATACCTTTATAATATTAAAAAGGAAAGTAAGAGGGAAAAAAGAGACTGCACTAGCCGCGAATCGAACGCGGGGCCCATCGATGGCAACGATGGATTTTACCACTAAACCACTAGTGCTCGACTGAACCAAATTCGTCCCATTGGCCAATAAATCCAATATTGACGCCGCTTTAGCGATATCCAATACTCGCTTTCTGGAAATACTTCGTGCGACTTATTGCTAAAAGAAGTACGCAGCACTTCCGTTCTGCTACACCACAGCTCTGCTCAAATACATAGATGCACACCCTGGTGCAAGGATTGCGTCAACTTCAAGAACCAAAAGGAGGAAGGGAAAAGTCTTGCGGTGGTCCCATCACCTCGTGTTCAAATGGCGGAGGCCAATCGCTCTGAAGATTCAAGAATGGCTCTGTTGGGACCGAAGCACGTTTGTTGGATACCTTTCGTCCTACGACAATTCATTCTGCGGTCACTCTTCCATACCCTGACCCCCGAGAAAATCTTTTCGTTCCCTGTACTTAAAGAAAGCATCCACAAAAGGACGTTGTCAAACAACTAGCACAAGCTACACTCCTGCCTCTGCCAAATTTCTCTCTTCTTTTATTCTTACTTTTCTCATTGATACCTTGTTCGGTGGCATACATTGCTAAAAGCAGCTACTCCGCCATCTCAATGAAGACTCCTGCGCCGAGATCCCGAGCTTCTGCCCAAAGTTTCTTGGACAGGAGTGTGAGGATCCAATCTACTGCGAACTCAGAATCCTTACCCCTCAGACCTGACGGAAGTTTCGATACAACGAACTCTTTAGGATTCAAGGCAAAATATATGCGAGAAAGAATTAGTTCGCTCTGGGATGAGTATGTTATCTAGCAAGAGGCGCCCAGCTTGGACTGACATGCAGCTAGATACGTAAAACGATATCCGTGGAGTAGGGCGACTGAGCCCAGGACCCTCATGGAATTCATCAAGTTTCTAGCTTACGGAATCAAGCCCGCGAATTCAACAAGATCAGCCCAGCCAAACGAGCGGCGCAAAGTGCGAGGTCCCAGCATCCAATCTGTTGTTCAATATTACGATGTGTTCCAGAATCTTCTCCTGGATCGAGGCACACCGATTGATCCGAAAGTCTCTACACAAATTCGAAAGGTTCGTCCCTCTTCCCTCTCAAAGCTATGAGAAGGTGTCGAACTCAGCCCAATCATAGTATATCTTCCATAATCTGCGTGTCGAGCTAGATTGCCCCTTCAATGTTCGGCCGCGGAGATGGCCAAAGATTGTGCATTTCATCCACCTTGGACAGCAACTTTTCGTCCAGGACTGGATTAAATTCCCTTCAGCTGCGACACGGGTTTATTTCTGGGCGTGGTTCTCGTGCAATGTGGCTAGTGGCTCTCGTATTGGCGAGCTTGTTGAGTCGAGTGCACGTGGACAGAATTGTGATCGTGGGCTACGGTTCAAGGTAATTATTTTCTCTTGGCCTGGCTCTATCAAGCTAACAATCTGTGTTTAGGATGCTCGACTCATTGTCATTCGTAAGGAGGATGGTCAGCCAGGTTTGGCTTTTGAATTTGAACGAGATGCAAAGGGAATGACACTGACGCCTAATGAGAGGTATTTTCTGGCGCCATTTCTATTTTCATTTGTTCTGACGCTCACATCTTTTCAGGCCACGCCATGCGATCTACGAAGCACCAGAGGGGCAAATGCTACTACTCAATCCCATTTTGCCTATACTTGCCATAATATTGTCGCGCGGAGCACTTCGCGACTACAAAACTATTCAAGACATACTCCGAATCCCTGCGCCGCCGAAAGGTCAAGACATCACACTAACTTGGAGCGATGAGGTACTATCGCAGCCAGTATTTCCCCGTATTCGCGAAGGCAGCGGCTTGACAGACAAGATGGAAACCGCGAACAAAGTCGGAGAATACCTCCGTGCCCTCGGATTTCGAGCTGGTTTCCCAGAACCGCTGACTATACATGATTTCAGAGCCGAGTACCTGCAGCTCCTCGGTTAGTAAAACGTTGTCTTTGAGACAGGGGAGTAGTCGCTAATTTAATGGACCCGAAGATAAAAACTACACCACATCGCAAAGACAAAGGTCCGCTGGTCAAAGAAGTATGGGGGTTTATGCCCAAAGATACCAAGCCAAGAATAGTGGAGCTGACGGATTTGGCCTTTTGTTCTTTGACAAGGCTGTTGACGGTATCAACGAAAACCTACGAGGTTCCGGGATTCGTTTCGAACCAAACCTGATACAGAAATTGTCTGCGGCTATGGAATTACAAATTCACACCGATCACCAGTCCGAAATCAGAAATCTTGAGGCTCGGATGCTTTCGCTCATCCATACGAAAGCATCGAAGGTTGAAAAAAACAAAGTCTGGGACGAAATGAAGAAACTGTACACGAATCGCCTTCGCGACATGCAGGAGGATGGCAGAACAAAGGAGAACGAACCATCGCGTCTTTTCTTCGACCGTGCAAGGCATATGATGCCTGATAGACACAATCTTGCAGAGAACATTCTCAAAGAATTCCCACTACGAAGTTCCGAGGGGATCACTGCTCTTGGTTGTATGATCAATATCTGCAAATCTGAATCTGAAACTGAGATCCCCTCGGCCCTGCATGCAGCCAATTGCCACTGCAGCACACTATCGAAGACATGGAAGCATGTATACACCTGCCATCGATCTTATCTCAAACGTATCTGTGGCTCAGCTGATTATTGCTTCTTTTGCAAAGAATGGTATACAGGAGAAGGTTGGCGAGATCATTGCTTACAACATCTGGCCTCAAAACAGTTCCGGGCTCTTTTGTCCAAAGACGACAGATCCAATCTGTTATGCGACCCTATCATATATGGTGGAGCTCTTGTTTCCCCCGGGCTGTGTCCATTTTGTTTATCCCAGACAAACACAGCACCAGAACAGCAGTTGAAGCAGTTTCAGGAGCCTGGTAGTTGGAGCCAACATCTTCACTTGCATTTCGACCAATTTACCGAGAGCATTCAGCCTGGAGGCATCGAATGCATCCATCCACTCTGTTCTACAGTATGTAACGACTCACAGGACTTTAAATTTCATCTTTTGGATAGCCATTGCCCTCCACACGGGGATTGGGCAGCTATATCAAAGCCATTTGGACCTTCTGGAAACGTGCAGGAGAACGAAAATGCAGAAGACGGGCCACATATGGATGGTAGACAGGATTTTGAGCCTTCTTGCCAAAAAAGGGTAATCCCACCACCGCCACCACCCCGAACCAAGATTTCTCAGTTCGTGATAGCGCAATACGCATTCGACGGCTTAGAAGAAAGAGAGCTTTCTTTTCGTGAAGGAGATCGCATTTTGCTTCTGAAAAAAACGGAATCAGATCAAGACTGGTGGTATGGCGAACTGAAGGGGAAAAGGGGAGATTTTCCTGCAAACTATTGTGTAACTGTGGGGTAATCAAATTGATGGGTAGTTCAAAAGTGTATTTGGAGCCTGAATTACGTTAGATTCTGATTGGTGTGACATGGAGTAGACTGTTGGATCAAGTTTTGATTAAAGGGGATGAATCTTACGTGTACGTGATCGGTTCCAAAAACAATAATTACGCTGCCACGGCGGATTCTGAAGTAAAGCTATTGAAATGATAATTGAAAATCCGTGCCATCACCGAAAGTGCAGAGTTGTAAACAGCTCTAAGCGCTGCAGGTCGTTCAAAAATGAGCATTTGCCCAGCATCATCGACAAACAAGTCTCGCATGGCTGGAGTCTCGATTGAAATCAAACTATTGCTTCAATAACATCTGGCGCAAAGTGGTACAGTAAGTTGGGGCGCAGGTCCCCGATTTATAAATTGCATCCTGTGGAGGTGGCCGATTCTGGAGATCAAAAACCAGCGGCACCAGTGTCCAGCCTAGGACATGTCCCCCGACGGGAACCAACTACATGATCTGAGGTTGAATTATGGCCAGCAGGACTCACGTAGCCCCATGGACATTGGGCCACTTCGTTCATCAGCCTAATCCGACTTCATGCCGTTGTTTGTGCGCGGCAGCAAGTCGATATCTACTTCTGGTCATTTCACAAATAGCCCTTGCCAGTTCTGCGCATACTGGACAGTATGAGCACTTCACACTTTGTCATTGTCCGTTTTGACACTTTTGGTGGCCCAATCCTTTCAGGTCAGCCGTGCGAATTAATTCAGCTCAAACCTACACGAGAGCGTTTGCCGGCCACACCCGAAAGCTGTCGTGTCGTCGTTTTGTGGCGTGGTGAAGCGTTTTCACTCTTTTCATTACTATGCTGCATCGTATATATATTCAATTAACGATGTAATCATTGTAAGACCCAAGGACAACACATCCACGGGCTTGAAGCATGGTGTTGAACAGTACGCCGAGACGCAGAACCAAGAGACCTTCGTGGACCTGCTCGGGGAAGATCAGTTTAACCAGGAGTAGGCGGTATCGTCTTCGTGCAAGGAGAATAGTTCTTTATATGATGGTCGCAAGGATGTATAAAGGATTCCGGCTGAAAGGAATATGCATATGCATTTATAGAGATCAATTCCATGACCCTAACATGAATGGCCATAGCGTAGCTAATGAACCGGCAATGTTAGTGAACTCTTCAGTCCTTGCCGAGGTGTAGAGCCGACGGCATGGGAGAGTACAATATCGGACTCGTCCGTTTTCCGGCGCTGAGTGGAGTGCGACCTGCCGTCGTCCAGTGTTCCGCGCTAGTCACCTGTGTGCCAGGAGAGGAGCCTGGCGCTGCTCTCGGCATTGGCCCTGTATTTTAGCAGCATTGAGGCACCGTGTCGACACGACCACAAACATTCGTAGAAGGGTAAGGAAAAGGTCGCTTGCTTGTGAACGTCGCATCGCCCTTTCGCCGCCATACCAGAACCTGCCCTTCGTGGCCACATCCGTACAACGGCGTCACGCTCGTCTGGCAGCCAAAAATCAACCGGGGATCTTTGACGACTCTGGCTGTCGATCATCTCTTTACACAAAGGATTGATTTGGACACGAAGAGTGAAAAGCCATCACCGAAAGACTTCTATACGTGGGATCAGCGTGCTGCCCACCTTTGAGGATCAGAATGTCGAAAATAGACCAGTTTCCTAGGAAATCTGGAGGCGGAGCTTATCACTGGATTCATCTTTCTAAGTTCCAAGCTATCCACATTAGTGACCAAGAATAACAGCTTTGATCGAACCTCTCTGGCCCATCATTGTGTGTGATTGAAGTGAATAGTGCGTGCCTACAATTGTCTCGCTGTTACGAACATGGCCTCGTGAGTTCCGACCCTGGAAAAGAATCACCAGAACCCACCAGGCAGCGTAGCCATGACTGGAGAGCTCGACGCGATGACTCTCCAACCAGTATACGCCAGCTACCAGCTGTACAACGTCATCATGAGCGTCTCTGTTGCCTGTCCTACGTTTCCCTTGGTGTCAAGGTCTGACGGTCCAATCGTTTGACTACGGAGCCTAGCACCGCCTTCAAGATGCCGTCGCCCGTGAGAGCCAGGGCGTGACAATCGGCACCAACGTTGAAAGACACAGTATCCACAATGTCCCGAACACCTCCTACGACCTGGGCACTGATGAGATCGTCTAACTGGCGCAGCGCAGTGGCGGCACCGTCCTCGTGACCGACCTGAAAGAACTGGATGCCGACTTGGTAAGGGGGCGCGTCGAGGGCGTCCAGCTTCTTGGCGATCTGGATGAGGACGCTCTCGACGTCATCGCCCGGCACACCGTCAGTGATAACAATGACGTTAAGGGGTTTGAGAAGGTCTTTCCATCCGTCTCGCGGAACCTCTGCTCGCAGTGGCGCATGTAGCGGCGAAGAATGAAGTCGAGGCGGGTGCCGGTCGGCGTGCCCTTCCACGGGCGGACAGTCCCGAATATCTCCTCGACGGTGAGCTGCTCGCCTGGCTCTCTGGCTCCCTGGCTTCTGGTCACGTTGCGGTACCCCGTATCGGCCTTCCACGGCTCGGCAGGGTTTCCGGGGTCGTTGGACTTATGGTTCATGAAGTAAATATCTGGGCCGTCTGTGTCGTGTGAGAAAATGATAGGCAGCAGACTACTGAGGGCCCGCTGGGTTTCGCGCCACGATCTTCCTTCCATGCTTCCCGAATCGTCGATCAGGAAGACGGTGTCAAAAATCGATAGGAACGCATAGGGATCCTCTTTTGTCGAGACGTGCTTGACTGATAACGCAGGGTGATCCCCCCCCCTTGGAATGGTTCGTAGCCTGGAGTCAGCCCAGAGGCCGGGCCTGCGGTTGGTGAGTATGCTGGCGGGGGCAATTCACAATTTTCACTACTGGAGGCGATATTCCCGGTCTTACCCTGGCAGAAACGTATTGAGCAGCGGGTGAAAGTTTTCCACAAAGAAGAGCCTGGCATAATGTTGGCTGAATTGAGGATTCCACGTGATTCCCTCGAAGATCGAAACGGGCTAATTGAGAATGCGAGGCGCGGGGAATGAGTTTATATTGGTAACAAAAGAGAAACCATCTTGATTATGGCGTGTGGATCTACTCGTACTTATACAACTTTTAAGTGCGAGCTGGCAAGCCTGGCATCAACATGAGTGGAGTACAGCGTCAATATGTAGTGTTGGAGGCGCACTCGACCAGCCACCAGACCCTTTAGAGTATTCTTAATGAGAAGCAGTACACAAATCAACGTTCATACCGGGGCCATTGTCAAGTCGGATGAAATCACTGCCTCTTTACAGAAGAAGGGATGCAAGGTGCACAGCCAATTACACAGTTTTTTGCCTGCGATGTAAATGGGGCGAGATTCTGATCGGCTTGCTAACGTGTAGGGAACTCTTATCGCCCGAGGGGGCCATTGCTAATCTAAGTTAGGTGCATGGTCCAAGTGTCCATTCAATCCCTAAAATTAGAGGTTGTCAATTGCGCATCGTTCGGAATGCGGTCCTACGCCCCACAGGGGCTAGCACCGGAATCCGGATGACCGTAAGATTTTCGGCTTCAGACTTCGGCTTCAGATTTCGGTAGGAATCGAAAGGCTCAGGCCTCGGTCAATCGATTACAGATGCGGAGCAGCGCAGCAAGCGGTGGTCAGACTTTGTTAGAGCATCTTAAATGAAATGGTCGCTTCGCCAAGCGTTTAGATGGCCAGTAACGGTTCAGCCTTCTGGCGGTGCAGCCATTCCCAAATTTGGAGTGGCTTTCGTACCATAACGGGTGCAGCGTAGGAGGCCAGTCCCATCATTTGCGATCAAGTTTGGATTGTCTTTGGAGTCCATAGGTAATGGCATGATCATAACTCCTGCAGAACACCTTTCTTTGCAGTATTGCACAATCAGGGCAGACAACCTGTCAGTCTTGTGTGAGTCTATATTTAAGAACGGGACTTTGATCACTTACGCATTTACGATGCAGAAATATGCATGCGACATTCGCGTCCACCACGTTGTCGCATACATTGCACCGTATCATCACGCAGGCGCAGTCCTTATCATCACTAGGTTTCGGACAATCAACAAGAGCCTCCTTCGTGCCGAAGGCAACCGCGTTGCAGCCCCATGGACTTGGACCACCATTATAGACCAGCTTCAATCGACTCCAATTCGTGGCAGGAACTCAACATCCAGACAGCGCTCCTTCTGGTCGCTCCTCAGATAAACTTGCGCCACCCTGAAACAGGCCCAGGCCAGTTCATGCGTACGGCCACTTCCTGGTCGACGCGCCATGCTCCGTTTATTCAGCTCCTCCGGTCGCTCATTCTCGACCTGAGGTGCGTCACGTAGTAGACAATGCACGAAGCAGGCTCGACCTTGCACAGGACGATTGCTTACCAAGTCCTGAACCTGCCATGGAGCCACTTCGGCGCGAACAGAAATGCGTCCCTCCCCATCCTCAGGTCGTAACTTGAACACGCAAAACGGACTTTGGGCTGGTTCGTTCCATTGCGTTCAGGTGGGGCAAAGGACGGTTTGATCCCGCCACCTGGGGTCACTTTAGTCCCTAGACACGCCCCGCAGATGACAGCTAAGGGGTGTAAGGGATGGTTCGGTCCGCAGCTGATTGCAGCCAAGGGATGGTTCAATCCCACGACCCAGGATATGCCCGCAGTTGGTTCCAGCCATGGGACGGTTCGGTCCCAAGGATCCGTTTGACCAAGTGCCGCTTGAGCTTAATCTGACATTCCGTGGACCCTTCGGCCAGCACAAGGCGGATATGAGCCTGAACCAACTGGTTGGCACGATATTCATGCTGGCATTATATAGTATAACTAGCATCATCCAAACATATTATCCCGTATGTACCATCACGTCTTATCAGAAATAAGTATACTGATTCAAAGTGGTGGACGGCACACGTGTTTGCAGCCTGAGTCTCCAGGCCATACTTCGAAATTCCCAAAGCACGTATCATCAACCTTTCTCAACTGGAAGCGTTCGTGATAACCCATTTTGCAACTTACATATTTAAAGCCACAACCCTATATCGTCATTTGCGGCACTTTCATCATATCTGAAAATCAAATATTGTTAACTACCAAATTAATATCAAGAACATAACTTATACGCAATACTGATATACTTAAAGTATACAGCGAAAGATTCCATAAAAAAACCTTCGCCCATAAAGAAGATAGACTCACAAACTCAATATGCACGTTTAGTCGCTCGTTAATTTGTCATTATTCTCTAATACTTCTAAGAGTTCTGATGAACTTTTAAGAAGGTGGATACCACTTGTAAAACATATCTAGTAAATATATAATCGTCCAGCCTTGCCTTCTCCAAATCGCCAAGTCCATTCTAGCCATTTAGGAATACCACTGTCCAACGTCCGGCGTCCGGTCCTATCCCTCATGGGTCGCTAGCACCGGAGACCGGACCAGCCTAAGTCTTCGGCTTCAAAGTCCGGCAAGAACGGCAGAGGTCAGGTACAGGTACTGAGCTGCTGTGACCTGCGCGACCACATACCAGGAACAACCGATTACACTAGCACCTGACTTCCCGCTTCCTCTTGTTCTCCGACCTCGCAGCCTGTTCCCGCGCGGTCTTGGGTTTCATTGGTAGTAACGTTTTCCCGGGCTGCACTGGAAAGTGACTGCAAAGACCTTGTATTGAACTGGAGTGGTGCTCCTGGGCCATATTCCCCAAGTAACACAACCTCAGCCAATGCAGTCCTCCTCGTCAGTGTCGACGAATCGAACGTACATTGTTCGTGTGGCTAAAATAGACGTAGAAATCGTCAGTCGCCAAACCAACTAGTCGTAAAAATAAAAACAAGAAGTGCGATGGTGTATTAAAATCTACGGAAAAGAGGGAAATTAAATAAACGAAACGCAAAAAGCACAGCCACATTTTATCAAGCCACAATTCTATACCACGTCCCACCAACCCGAGCTCAATAGGAATACGAGCGTCCTTAGCCTCACGCCCCTGACCGTGCTCTCTCGTCTGTACCGATAGTAGACTCAGCTCCAACCAAGGGAGTTCTCAGTTGTGACTGGGCCCGAGATAAGCCGAGCTGGAGTCAGGGGCATTGCTCCTCCCTTTGGGCCTATGGAGTCCTCGCATTGCTTGTGACCCCGTAGCTCCGGGTGGTGAACCCCTGGCTGAGTAGAGCACGTGTACTGTTGGAGGACGCATCGACTGGTAGAGCCGACAACATGACAATGAGAAATCCACGTCCGGTTTCCGCCGCCAAGTGCAGCGCCATTCGCCATCGTCCGTTCTCCGGCACTAGTTAGAGTGTCATTTGCCGTCGTCCGGTTTCCGACGCTAGTTACTAGTATATTAGGAGTGTAGCGCTGTTCTGGGCATTGTTTCTCCTTTTGGCAGCAATTAGGCATCGTGTCGATATAAACCTACACAGTCGTGGAAGGGGCAAGAAAAGGTCGCTTACTTGTGAGCGTCGCATCGCTCTTTCGACGCTGTGTTAGGTCCTGCTCTTCGTGACCACATCTGTACAGCCGCGTTGACCTCGTCCGGCGGCTAAAAATCAACCGGGGATCTTTGACGACTCTGGCGGTGGACCATCTCTTCATGCAAAGGATTCATTTGGACACCAAGAAAGAGGGGGGCTGGTTTGTCGAGAACGGAAACGTTCCAGCGTTCTCACCGTGGTCCAGCGATGAATATTTAAGACCGATCTCCCACCGATCCCAATTCTTTCTTCTTTTCTTCTTGGCACCCTCTGGCGGTCTCGTACCATCTGAGAGGTCTTCATACCTCCCAACTGGGGGATGCCTTCCACCTGGAGGATGCCTTCCAGATGGAGGATGCCGCCCAAGAGGGGGATGCCTCTCCATGAGGAGACAGCTATTCCACCAGTTACCCACCCTTCGCCCGGTCTACTCCGGAGAAGCCCATGCGAAGGCCGAGGAGACACTGCCATCCACATGTCCATACTAATCCGGCCCAACTTCTGCTCATCTCTCTCTCGCGCATCACGAGGCGCCACAGCGGTGCCTGTCAAACGATATTTACCCAGGCGTGACTTGAAACCCCGCCGTCCGTGTCGTGGCGCCCGCGAGAGAAGTGAGGAGCAGATGCGTCGAGACGGTGTGGCATGTTGGAGACATTGGTCTACCGCCGAACGGCGTGCTTCAGCAGGAGGTCGGGTCAAGGGCTGTGACTCTCTCGTTGATGTAGAATTTTCGACCTGCTCCAGTGCGTGACAGCAGGTCACTATCCTGAACCCGTTGCTGCAGAAGAAATCAATGATTTGGAATGCCATTTCCTTTCTGTCCCCAGAGACTGCTAGGACGGTCATTCGTTCTTCTGCCTTGCCATCTTCCTGCTGCCGGAGCATCATGAATTGGGCGACTTGTCTGCCCCAGAAAAATGCATTGGCCGCGCGCATTGTCTGTCTCAAGTCATATGCTGCTTGCTCTGAATCAACAAAGTGCCTCAGATAAGCGTTAACAGTTCGCCGTCGGTCGACTCGCACCGCTTCTCGTGTTCTCTTATCAACAGATGATAATGCCAGGCTGGTAGCTACATCCATGTATCCTACAACTTGAGAGATGAGTTCATTGGGCAATAGGCTCCACGACATCGTTCGAACTCAAATACGTATAAAGACTTCGTAGGCTAGATACGTTATGAGGAAGATAACGAACTGTTGAAAATATCGTAGGTCAGCCTCATGGCCCGAGGAGAGAACAAGTAGATATAAGAATCGATACTGTACTTGGCCTTACCGCGAAGGATTTTCCCCTTCTGCGCGCCTTGACCTTCTGTTCCCTGGTATGCGTGGCATCAATCAAGCATCGGCCCCAGAGGATGGAATAGAAAAGAGGATATCAGAATGAACGGATAAAACGAGCAGTTACAACTTCTGTCTTAGTTGAATGTAGACCTGTGTCTAGGTCTTATCCTGGGCTAGATACAAGCGGCCATCGAAGGGCTCACGTAGCTGCAGCATACCCGTCAGTGGACTCTTGAATCCGTGCCGAGGTGTAGAGCCGACGGCATGGGAGGGTACAATATCGTACTCGTCCGTTCTCTTGGTATATCATCATATTTGGACATGCTAAGATATCGCTGACGAGAGGCCATTTCCTACCCATAATTATTGTGACCTCAGAATTGTTATTCAGAAGACCGTATTTTGGCCATTCCCATATGTGTTCCAAGAATTGTATGTGCAGTAATTATGTATGGGACGGTTCTGTGCTTGGACACAAATTGTCTTCAATATTCATAACATGCTTCTCGACTACTGTGCAGCGCTGGAATACCGTGTATTAAGCAGGAACAGATGCTTACAGTAGCTCCTGTTTTCTCGCTGTCTCTTAGTTTTCCTATCTCACGTCATCTTCCCGCGCGCTCTTTAGTCTCATCGGGGGGATCTCGTCCCATGCTGCATTGGCGACTGCAAGGCTGCGAGGAAACGCAGTGAGCCTGGAGGTTGCTACTTCTAAGTCAACGACAGAAACCGAGTCGGCGTAGCGAAGTACAAGCAGCTGTATCTTCTCCCCCTTAGGGAAGTCTCCGAAAAGGCTGCGGATATAATGCGGCAGCCAACAAGAAGTTGTTTGAATTTCGATCTTAATTGCTGCTCTCTCTCCCGTTGCAGTGTTTTGTCCACAGTAGGTATCACCGGTCGAGCCAGAGCCGAGCTTGCCAGTCAATACGAAGGTACTGTATCGATGGCCAACGTTTTGTGTCTACTCAACAATTAGCTGCGCATGATCTAGCTATTGGCACAGGCTGTGTTTTATTGCTGGCTGCATTATATCGGATGGCCGCCTCACTGTTAATCCATATAAGAGAAACCCATGCCTCTTTCGAAATGGATCATGATGTACTGAGTCGAAGCAGAAGTATTAATGAGCCTCTGTAGAAGCGTAGGTCGGCTTCCTTATCTCCATAATTTTGTGCATGAATTATTTCGGCTCTACAGTCCAGGTTCGTCAATTTTCCGTCGCGTATCGTGCTGATCCAATAGCTTACTAGTTTGGGCCAGCTATCTTCACCAACCGTGAAGCCTCGAAGCCGCACCACCTCCTCGCCACCGCTGTATGCTACAGCTTGGAGCTTGTTACCAAAGCAGCAGAACTGCAATTGGCTGAATGACGGTGTAGGGCGTCAGGAGAAACCTCCATGTTCCTGCATGACTACAGCAGTGACGAGGATGGCTATGCCGGGCAAAGAGTATGTGTCAAGTGGTACAAGGACCGACAAGAGCAAGGCTGACAAGGCAAGAGCACGGTCCGATGGGCTGACCGGGGGTTTGTATCAGGTGAATATGACGTAGACACCAGGCCATCGATCTGGTCAGGAAGGTAATACGGCAAGTACTCGTTGTGAGGACTAGAGGACGGTGACCTGTACCTAGACGGTCTAAATGGTCAGGCGATCGTGGCTTTGGAGGGGGCAAGGGCGGACAAGATCAGTAGTCTACCGGACATGGTACGCAAATGTAGTACAAGGATTGCAAAACCAAATTGATAGCTGTCTAAGTGGCTAGGAAATCCTTCCCGCTATATATCCATTCATTCCCTCACTGGTGTTGGCTGAATCACCAGTGTCCTTTGTCCTGATCACTGTTGGTCCTTAGTGATCCCGTTCTGGATCACCACCCTATATGTCCACGATCATTTGTCTCCACAGGTGATCGGGTCCTTGATTACGTGACTTCCTTTGTCCCATTGGTCCCGTGGTTTTCCTGTCTTTGTCGTCTGCCCATCAGCTGCCTGGTGGGTTCTAGTTGTTCCTTTCAGGGGTCGCGGTTCGTGAGGCCATGTTCGTACACACAGCAGCGACCCAAGCCGAGAACAAAGATTAAACCTGATCCGTAAGCGATCGTTACCCGCAGATTCGGCTTGACGCTTACACACTAAAGCCCCCACACCAATCGTTTTTCTGCAGCTGACAATCCCGACGCACTGGCCATCAAGCTCTCCACCGCATTCAAAATCATGGGCGGGCCTGATATGCCCCACACTAGGCTGCACCCCTCAACACGAGTGCTCTAGCCAACCTGCTTATCGCCTGAGTCATCTCCAGTAGATTGGGACACCACCGGTCCGCACCTTTATATCCTGGCCCATCTCCCTCAGCTAAATTATGATGGCCATCCATGGCGCGGCTGCAGGCAAGAAAGAGGCCGCGAATAGACAATCATCCGCCAGACCAAGTCCCATCTAAGAGGGCGAAATTGAGCGGCGTCTACCCAGTAGACGGCCCTCCACACGATCAAGCTCCATTCGACAGGACAATCCCAAATGGTGTGTTTCCTAAGCCTTCGCGATCGCCGAACCGAAAGAGACGAACAACCGATCCTTTACAAGACCAACCCCCTTTAAAGAAGCCGAAATCGCGTGGTGCTGTCCACAGGGCTTCGAGCTTCCCTTCCGAATTCTACGATAATCTGTCTAAGGTTTGGCTCACGCGTCGCGCGTTGCAAGAAGTCGACCGCCGGAACGACAGTCTCTCTCTGCCAAAGCTTCCAGCCCACCAAAAACACATTCGAGATTTGGCCCAAACCATAAAGGAGGGTGGTTCTGACCTTGCTCGCTTTGCGAGGACCGGTGGTCCAGATCTCAGCGATCTTCAGGGGGTATGCTCTGTACTGCTCAATACTCAGATGTTGTTGACTGACCAGTCTGCTTAGTGTCCAGAGCCGATAAGTACCGCGCATACGATGGCTTCTATATCGTCCTCTGTGACAAGCAAGCGTGTCTCAGCGGGCAGCGTGCGAACACAGTCAACCGAGGTGACTACTGTTTCCAACAGAAGCAGGCGCTCATCCGCATACGATGCCAATTTCAGGCAACATTGTATCGACTACCACATCTACCCTCCTGTTTACAAGTTTCCCGATGGCACCCGGCCCCCGAAGCCGGCAAACTTTGAAGAGATCCGTCAGGCTTTAAAGACCCCAAGGCGTTCTCTTTCCCCCTCTGTTGTTCCCGATACCGCTTTTGACGATTTTCAAGACAAAAATGCGACCAGATCTGAAGGCACAGTGATGCGCACCGTGGTTCCGCTCATTATTGGCAATAGCGATATCCTGAATGAGGGGCATCTTCCGTTTACTAACTTGGCCTCAATAACGGACAACACTATTGTAAACCCAATACCCGACTTTTTCGATGGTGCTCATCCCGAGGCTGTGAACAAGAAAGTAAGAGAAGATTTGGACGAGATCATAATACCGACGAAAAAGGGGGGAGTTCCCATAGCGCCTAACTTTTTCCTGGAAGCCAAAGGCCCCGGGGGCTCCATCGAGGTAGCGATGGGACAGGCAGTCTTGGACGGCGCGCACGGGGCTCATTCCATGCACGCCTTGCAAAATTATCTCATGGATGAACCCGTCTACGATGGCAACGCCTATGCATTCACTTCAACCTTGCTTGACGGATACCTCAAACTATACGCACACCATCTCACTGCTCCTGCTAAGTGCGGACAAGGGCCGAGCTATCACATTACTTTACTCAAAGCTTATGCTCTGAGTGATGACGAGGTTTATTCACAGGGCAGGGGGGCATTTAGAAATCTTAGGATAAGGGCGAAAGAGTACCGCGACCGATTTATCGGGATCGCCAATGCGAGAGTACGCGATCGAAGCACAGAGGATGCAGACACAGAATGGAATGTTGCAAGCATGGCTGGCGAACAGCAAGATATTGGCTCGAGTCCTCTCGATTTTTATGATTGTCGCATGTTCGCCGAACCAGATGACGAGGAAAAGACCCAGGAGATCCAGGAGACTCAGCAGAGCAACGTGGGGCTGGCAATTCACACATATGGCGATGATGACGTGGACGACGCTGGGGATTCAACATGCTTTGCAACGAGCTTCACATCAAGCTTCACGTCGACCAGCCGGGAAGAACACCTACGTTCCCAGCGTCCGCCTAAGATGCCACGCAGCCCTCCCTCGCCTTCATCTACCCGGCAATCCAAGAGAGCCGGTTGATCATGGCATCAGCCGTTCGTTTGCTGATGGTACGCGCTATGGCGTATGTAAAGTCATTCAGCTTCGAGCTGCAACGGCCAGCTGTGGATACAGTCTTGCAGTATCATAGTTCGAAGGCGTGAGTGTTGTCAGGCTGTGCGCATCATTGCCTTGACTGGAAAACTCGGCGGCCTGAGAGAAAAGGATCTTCAACTAAATTACAACAAGCTATGGTTCGCACTTATGATGAAAGTAACATTATTCTAGCGCTTCATGCGCTTCGTACGACCCCCAAAGTGAGCATGCGACATGTCGCTACGACGCAGAACGTACTGCGTACGACGCTACCGAAAACGTGGTTTAGTAGCAAGACGCGATATCTCCGCAAATTTTCGTGAATTGAGGAATCCGCTATTATTAACAGCCGGCAAGCCGGCGAACCACTTCCGTTGCTGCACGACCCCACCGGCTGCGCCTCCACGCGCGCTTCAAACCTGGTGCAAGATCTCTCAGCAAGTGCCGCATCAATTGATCCCGCCAGGAGTGGTTCGTGGTGCCTACTTAAGTACCCACAACACTTGCTCCCATGCAAAGCGGCAGGCGAAGTAATGTTACTGACTCGGTCACTCTGTCTTGGAGCAACCAGATCATACGGTCTATAGGGCTGATCATCGGGCGTTTTCGAGTATTGCAACTAGTCCTACCGCTATGAGTATCGAAAGTGTGGACGGTCCAGGGCCGAGTCAGAGGATCACGCACAATGACGACTTGGAAATGGTCTACTCCAGGCCCAGCGAGCAGGAGCTTTGCAACCCTGGCTCATGCAACTTGGCCAACCATGCTCTACGGCCGGATCACCGCAAATATGGGCGCAGAGAGGGCAGTAACTCCTCAAACATGTCCTCCCTGCCGCAAAACATGAAATCCAAGACGGCTCTGCAATTTGGGCCATGTCAGGCTTGTGGCTGTGACATGGGACGGTTGCTGCAGCTGGCTGAAAGAATTTTGCAGTTTGATCTTCCCGGAGGTATACCATGGGAAGATCACCTGGCCAGTGCTGCGGTACTGACTGCCCATCAGAAGTCTGCAGCGATGCGCAAGATAAGTCAGTGGGCACTACGAGACTACGTGATAAAGTTGATGTTCCCGTCACTTGGGGCACTAGACAAGGACATGCGGGAAGCTGCGATCTCGTCTGAAAGGACACCTCGCCTGCGCGGTGGGTCCATGCAGGAGATGACCGTCACGCCACACCAGCATGGTACCGGTACCGGGGACGAGCATTTGAACATGGATCTGCTGGGTCTTAGAAGTAGAGACCATCAGACATGGGCGGGAAACCCGGTCAGGCCAAGGGAAAGAATACGCGGTCAGCTACGCAAGCCCTGGACAGATTCCGACGAGCGATATCTCAGACTGTCTATGAGAAGAAAAATCGGTTGGGCTCAAATCGCACAACAGTTGAACCGCACTCCAGGTGCTGTCGAGCAGCATTGGAGATTGATCAATCATGATGACAAGACGCGCCGGCGCAGGTCCCGGGCTACGGCAACATCTGCCTGAGAACCTATCACCAAAATGTGGATAGAAGCTGTTGCAATTGGACAATACGACTTATTTTCATTCATGTCATCTACTTTCCTTACGCAAGATCTCCTCCTGTGCCGCAAAGTTGGCACTTTCATTTTGCAAAGCCCCCTTGATAGCATCCGCGTAAAAGACTACGACAAGAATGGTCTTAAGGGCTACACCTATGGCCAATTAGACACCAAGTCAAAAGTCTAATAATGAACTGCAAGATGGAATGGAAGCCGTAACTGAAATCTGAAATCGGATCACAATGCCTAGTAATGTCCTGAAAATAATATGTCTGCATGTGTCCCGTCTTGACAATTGTCACCAAAATCCCCATTTTGACCGAGTCCACGTCGCCACATTAGGCTCCCAGATCCGGTCATCCATCATCGTATAAAGATGATTGATATATGCTTTTCTTACCTTTTTATATTTGTCGGCTCCATCAACTCAGGATTATATGACAAAAAATGAAGCAGAATGACTCAAGAAACACATCACATTCAACGACAAGCTCCGCTGCAGCTACATCCGTGGAGCAGATGGCTATAGTGCAGACCATTCGCTGCCTACGGTGCGCCAAGGCTGTTGAAATTATGTCCACAGACGACCTCATTTCTACGTCCATGATCCGCATAGGATACAACCTTTACTATTGTGCTCGCTGCGCAAAGCGGGTTGGCTACACAAAGGAAGCCTTTTAATCATATTCTCCATCATGGGTCACGATGGCATGAAGGGATGTCCATCTCAAGGTCGATGCTTCTTGTCGAGCAGTGACTGCTTGAAAACTGGATGTCAAGTACCAGCAGAAAAATCGATGAGAAATGAACAGCCGTTTGACCACGAGCCTCACTGCGCACTAGCCGGCCGTGTGATGGAGAAAACCAGTTGCGACATACCATTCTCGCTGCAATTCCATTTTACAAGCAACGACATGATCAATCTCGTGCAGCCACATCGCAACCTCTTCATCGGAACCTTTGTTCTCGTCCTCCGCGTAGGAAACAGCCTCAAAGCTTCGAGATGATCGTATAAAAACATAATCGTCGTCCTGTATAGTGGGCCCCTAGAGGTACTTTACATATCCCTGTCTTCTTCCTATATAGATAGAGAATAAAACGTCCGTACCATAGCCAATCCGTCCTGACATCGCGTCTTGGTGATCGTGTACTGTACCGGTCCCTGCTTCAAATTAATTTCCTCGGGCAAGTATGCCTGTGGAGTGTCATGATGCTCGCCTGTCTCATTCCTGCCTTTGTGCTCTCTTGTCGCCAAATGCACACGTCCGAGTGCTGTAATGTGACCCAAAATGACTAGGTATGCTTGTGCTGGCTCACCAATGACAGGAAATGTCATCAGGGTATGTCCGTAAGTGGCCGTGCAGTTGGGAATGGCCAAAGGGCAAATTCTTGGTCCACGGAATATAACCATGTGCAGTCGGATTAAGCTCAAGCGGCACTGGTTCAGAATGGATCCTTGGGGCCGAACCGTCCCATGGCTGGAACCGACTGCGGGGCATGTCCTGGGTCATGGGATTGAACCATCCCTTGACTGTCCACTGCGGGGCGTGTCTAGGGACCAAAGCGACTCCAGGTGGCGGGATTAAACCGTTCTTCGCCCCACACGGACGCGATGAACCGAACCGGCCCAAAATCCGTTTCGCGCGTGTGACTTGATGCTGGAAGGGACACTTTGAATAGCGTATTTCTGTTCGCGCACCGAAGTGGCTTCGTGATAGGTTCCGGACTTGGTCAGCAATTGTCTTGTGCAAATCTACAACGTGAGCAGGTCAAGAATGAGAGACCGAAACAGGTGAATAAACGGAGCATGGCACGTCGACGAGGAAGTGGCCGCACGCACGAAATGGCCTGGAGTTGTTTTAGGGTGGCGCACCTACTCGCTGATGAATCCCACAGCTATTCCTCCTGCACAAACACTTCATGGAACCTCCGGACAGCGATTATTGTAAACAGAATCCGCCATCAAGGTGTCCAGGACCACTCGCAGCAACGTAATGAATATTCTACAGGCAAGACCACAGATGCAGACAGATGTAGACAGATGTGGACAGTCGTAGAGGCAACTTTCGATACCCATTAAAAGCATCACTCAGAAGCATTTCTTTACCTTCACATTCATCTCTGCAGACACCTCCTCCAGCCATGCCAGTGCACCGGTATTTCCGAACAATTTGAATCCCAGCTGTGAACCACAACTGTCTATCTACTGAGCGTGGCGACTGAATTAGACATGCCGGCGTTGGTCAGAGCAAGGGTTCAGAAATAAACATTAGGGGACGCTTCGGGCTTTAGGTGTGAGGCACTTCCTGAAAGGCTGGAAGTGGTATATGCCAAAGTCAATGGGATATTGAATGGAACGAGTTTCCATTTACATTCCTGCAGTATATATCTAATAACGAACTGGAAGTATATATACACGCCAGCGCTCTCACTTAGATTTCAGTTCAAGCACCCTCCATCTAGACCTCCCACTTTGTTACATAGAACATCTCTGTCGACCAATCCTGCCATCATTGCAATGAATTTACAGAATCGCCGAGTACAGCCGGCCCAGCAGCCAGGGATGTCAGCGACCCGCGCACGGTCAAACACCAACCTTTCCGTTCCGAGCAATCATGGAACCGCCCCGCGCAATATCCAAACAACAGCCCCATCTAGATCGATCAACCAGCCCATGCGTGCAGGTCAATCAGGCCTCTCGACTCTTCCTGATCTTGCCGAAGACGAGGAATTTGATCCCGCACCCCAGTCAGTGTGCCTCGCCTCATAGAAGGCAAACGCTCGCTGACATGATGGAAGAATCCAGGACCAGCTCGAACAGATAAACGCCAAACTTGATCAACTCTCGACCGCTGTTCAACGGCTTTCAAGTCAATCTGCAGCAGCGTGAGCAGACCGTTACTCTTTTCTGCCAACTTGAGATTACTGACAGGAAGCATTGTAGTACGAAGCGACTGTGAGTTACCCTACGGGGATTGGACAGGCCAATTTTGAAACTAACGTTACCATCTTGGTCAGAGACACAAACATGACTCAAGGGTGAGTTGGTCTGATAAGCAATACTTGAACACGTTTCGATAACTTTACTAGTTTCCGCCAACAAAGCAACGACATGGAGACATGGGTCACGGGCTTGAAGGATGGTCTTGAACAGTATGCCGCGACGCAGAACCAAGAGAGCTTCATGGACCTGCTCGGGGAAGATCAATTTAACCAGGAGTAGACGGTATCGTCTTCGTGCAAGGATAATAGTTCTCTATGCGATGATCGCAAGGATGTAGAATGGATTCCGGCTGACAAGTATATGCATATACATTTATAGAGATCAAGTCCATGATCTTAACATGAACGGCCATAGCGTAGCTAATGAACCGGCAAAGAAGTGACTCCTAAGATGGGATCGAATGCTGGCTCCGAACAGACGACGACCATATACATGTATGAACATACTAATTTTGGTACATGCCTTTGGCTTCGAGAAATCGCAGTAAGTACTACGCCAGTCACAGACTCAGAGACTCAAGCCCGTCTATCATGGCCATTCGACTTTCGACGAGCAAGATTCCTGAGCACATTCAGACAGAACGAGCCCACTACCTGAACCCCACTATCGGTACGTTGGATAACGGTCTGAATGCTCTGCTCGTGCGTGTCAAGTGATGGCCGTAGATATGTTTCAAACAGGTGGCGGTGGCCTCGCGACTCCGGAAGTAGTAGGTAAAGGATTAAGACCAACCTCGAAGTCGAATATAGAGGGATCTGGTCTAGAACCGGCTTGACGAAGAACTCTGCTAAGAGTATGACAGAGAGTACGGACCAGTACATCAACCATTCTTTGAGCGGTGTGGTTCTGGAGGTCTTCAGAGCATTGTATGTGGCAAGTAGGGGATAGAGTAGGGAAACAAGCGCGCTGAGAGTATGGAGTAGGTTGTCAAACATGGCAACAGACGAAGGTGCAATACGTGCAGTATAAGCTGTCAAAGCTGTCAGCCTGTAAGCAAGTGAAGAACTGCATTTGATGGCGGCAGACTGGTTGTATATATCCTGCTAAAATATGGCCAAAGACGTAGAAGTGGACAGGAAATCTCGGTCCATAAGTTACTTGATTGTAGACTGGCCAGAATTTGACTGACGAGCAGTGAGCTGGGAGCCAGAAATTGAAAGGGCCGAACACCTCCAGTGCGCGGCAGTTGAGCCATTTTCCGCTACATGATTTCGTAACCGTCCAGAAATGGAAACGTCCACTACTAAGGCTCGCATAGATAAGGTAGCAGGCTGTTTAGTAGTTGAGCTCAGGCGTTCCCGATGGTGCACGATACTCACAATATGCTTTCGATGACACGGGGCAGGACAATGGTTCGACGAGCTCGATTCCCTTCTCGGGACTCTGATGATTCAGACGGTAAGGCCCCGACTATGGCCGAAGCCTGGGCACAGTATTCACTAAGTTGAACCTTTAGGATCCGAGGAGATTGATTCGGGATCGGAGTATGAGAGTTCAGGCCACAGTACAGACGGATCGGAAAGCACAGGAAGTCTGGATGATTTCGTCGTTTCCGACTCGGACAATGATCTTGGCGACATCCAGGTGTTTGGCGTCGACGGCCATGACGGGATCGACGACACACCATCCGACACGGCAGAAAGAATACCACAGGGTGATTTGAATACTGAGCAGGACATCGGCCCAGATGCATTAGCTTCTCTGTCCAAGGCTTTTGGGAAGCTACAAGATGCACTTGTCTTATTGAAGACAACTATAAACAGTCTGGAAGCCGAGCGCAAGCCATAACAATGACAAGTTGTCATCAATGTATTCTTGTATCTTCTCTATCCCTATACTTCGGTTTGAGGCCTGTTATAATATACAAGATCGCTTTGATTCGTATCTCGAGTGCCGGCCATACCGTGTCGCGGCTTTCTCCCCAGACTATCCAAGAGATGGAGGACCCGACGAATCATGATCTGCTTCTGCATTGGAAGGCGTCTTTTCACTGAAACCCCAGGCGATACGTTGGTTCCTGTGAATGAGGCCTGCCTCCAACTCTTCTCCCGTCCACTCGACTTTTTGACGCCACCAGGCCTGGGCACAACGGAGGATTGCTTGATCTGCTGGTTTCCTTGCCTTAGCTCCTTAGTCTGGCGCACCGTACCTGACCGTCCGTCTCGATAGCACCATAGATCATCAGGCTGCTCGGCTTGGATCTCTAGTGTCTGGCACAAGGCGTCTTCGTCGATGGTGACTTCGGATACTGCTACAGTCCATCAGTTAGCGTTAAGCGGCGCTGTTCGTAATCCAAGAAAGGAACACACTTCTTTGTGGAGAGATTGGCGATGCATGATCTACGCGCCGAGGCGAGTCCCGCACAATGATAGTACCTTCTTCCTCGCCTGGAAAATCATAGATAGAGCTTGCGGCAGCCTGCCCAGCTTCGACTGGCGAGACGAGCGCAGGCTGAGTGCTACCACCTCGATCAGTGTGGATTGCGGGCGATATTTGTTGGGAATTCTCGCTAATTGCCTTCAACGCCTCCAGTTCATGAGTATCCTTCCGGTCTAGGGTGTGCCTTGGTGACTTACAAATGTTTCCAAACTCGGCATCTTTTGGCCTGGAGGTAAATGCACAACTGTTCGCATCTTCTTGTGGACGGGGTCCCAATACATGGCCATACTGAAGACATTTGCCTTCTTTCCTAAGATCCTAGCCTTACCAAGAAGGGACTTTCCGCTTCTGCGCGCCTTGACCTTTTGTTCCCTGGTATGCATAGCATCAATCAAAGATCGACTCCGGAGGATGAAATAGAGAATAGTACATAAGAGGGACAGCTGAAGGACATCTTCTATCTAGTGAACCTGGATCTAGGTCTTATCCTGGGCCAGATACAAGCGGCCATCGAAGGGCTCACGTAGCTGCAGCATACCCGTCAATGGACTCTTGAATCCGTGCCGAAGTGTAGATCCGACGGCATGGGAGGGTACAATATCGTACTCGTCCGTTCTCCGGCGCTGAGTGGAGTGCCATCTGCTGTCGTCCGGTGTCCGACGCTAGTCACCGGTGTGCCAGGAGAGGAGTATGGCGCTGTTCTGGGTATTGTTTCTGTCTTTCGGCAGCAATCAGTTATCGTGTTGCAACGACCCGACACGTTCATAGGAGGAGCACGAAAAGGTCGCTTGCTTGTGAGCGTCGCATGGCCCTTTTAGCGCTGTGCCAGAACCTGCCCTTCGTGACCATATCCGTACAGCCGCGTCAAGCTCGTCTGGCGGCCAAAAATCAACCGTAGATCTTTGACAACTCTCTTGGTCCTCGGCAGTTGTCTTTCTCTATGACACGTCCATTGTGAGATGATGTGCCCATAATGCCCTCGTGGTGTGCCGTGATTCGCCGTACGTCGTGATGCGCCATAATGGGTCTGTAATGCATTATTGGTAAGTCTCGATTCAATCGTCTCGGCCGGACACAAGACTCTTCCCGAACTGCTCCATTTCCTGTGCTGAAGCTGCCTGTCAAGACCAGCTTCATGTCGTGTCGTAAACCAAGGACACTTCTGTCGAACGCGGCCGAAGCATTGGTGGCCAGAAATGTCCATTGACTCCTCGCGCCTCAAGCAGGCCAGTGGGACTACACATGAACAGAAGAGAACACGTCCTGATATGAGGCTGGTCCGTTTCTGCCACGAATTGAAGTCGAATTACGGCCCGCAGGACTTGTGGCCCAAGCTGCCAGTGGACCGATGGCGCCACAGTGGCTGTAATCTGCTGCAGGTAACCTTCCGTGCCTGTGCCAGATCAGGCCCCACAGGCAATTGCGAAAGGTCGGGTATGTGTCTTGGAAAAAAAAAAAAAAAAAAAAAAAAAAAAAAAAAAAAAAAAAAAAAAAAGCAATCGGGAAGGATCGTCCACTAGCGCGCACAGCTAAGAGGCGTGGGGCAATAGCATACTGCTGCAACCGGATGTGGCTGGCTTAAACAGGAACACTTTGAAATGGCAAACACAGCTGGGGGCGCCGCATTTTTGAGTTTAGGGACCCTTGCCGGCTACAAGACCCCGCAGTCAACGCTCCTCTGTGGATCACAAATGTTGTATGAAACTGCTCCACCTCGAAAGCCTGCGGCTTGTACCTGTCTGTAAAGGCAGGGCGTCTTTGGAACGCGTCTTTTCGTCGATGAGCATTTGTTGGCCGACCCGACGGTCAAGTCCAGGAGCCAAATCATGCAGGACCGTCGGCCACGTGGTAGACCACCGCAGGCATTGACCTGGCAAGATAGGGAAGCAATCCGCAGCTTGCGGGTGAAAATGGAGACGCTTGAATATGCTCTACAGAGAGCCGGTCAGATGATTCAAGCGGCGTCGGACATTAGATCTGCAGTCTGCCAAAGCCCCGTTACCACAATGGCTAGGCGGTCAGTGGTCTGTCTCACGACGACGGACCGGGACTTGGAAATTAAGGATGACAGATCAGGTATCAAGGGACACCATTTGCTGCGATATATTCAACCCGGGCTGACCTTGGATAGGAACAGAATGTCTTGCTGAACGACCGGTAGTCCCGATTGACATGTCATTGCACATGACGACAACTTACATTCAGCATGCTCTCATTGAACGCTTCGTTGATTCATACGGCACGCCGTCGGGACCAGAGGCTACGTCGGAATACTGGATCCATGACGGTCGGCCTTGGTGTCTATGGCGCTTGGGCGCAGAGATATGCTCCTTCTCCCCACTCCTCCACACTGCATATCTCTCCGTATCGACAGCATACTCTGGACTGTCGCTGAATGATGACCAGCTCATTTGCGCCGGAGCTCGTTCCTACCCGTCCGTACTTGCACGGTTGCAGGAAGCATTGAACCATGTGGAAAAAAGCAAGTCTGACGCCGTCTTACTTACGGTAGGACTTTGCATGATATATGAGGTATGTCGGACCATTCTACCGGACGTAGTCGCCCGCTAAGCCTGTCCTAGGGCCGGCTATCCCGCGACGCAAAATCTGGATACTCAGTCCACATCAACGGACTGCTAAGACTGCTCGAACATAGGGGGGTAGCCCGACATAAAACTGGGCTTTCGCACTTTCTGTTTATTGACACCCGGCTGTATTGTGTATGTATTTTCTTTGTCTGATGAGTACATACCGCTAACATGATACAGACGTGGGGTGCAATCCTGGCCAGACGGCCCTCCTTTCTCGCCTCTCAGCCCTGGAAAACTATACCTTGGTCTTCTGGAAGCACCGAGAAAGACTTTACCCAACATTTATTCGACGAAATGCTAGAAATTCCGAGGTTACTCTCGTATTATGATCAGTTCAAAAATAATGGTAATCCCCATGAGAGGGAATATCTGCACAAAAAAATAGCGAAATTGGCGACTGACATCAACTCAAGGCTCTGCCAGTGGAAGCAGGATTGGATAGACCGCATACCCCAGCGACGACCTTGGGAGGTGATGTTCACACATCTAAGTCATGGCTTTCCCATCTTCAAATATACGGACCCAAATAACCCCACCAACCTCATAGAACCGCCTTCATTGTTCTATCCGAACTGCGCTGTCTTCTCCGCAGTCTGCAATCACTACGCTGCCATCTTGGTTGTCCTCGAAGTCATACGCCTTCTTGATGGGCAACCAAGGGATCAAAACCAACTTGCCGTGGCCCATGAGATATGTCGATCTTGCAATTACTTTATGCTACACCTGCCGTACAGTATGATGGGGCGGGTGGTGATCGCCGTGACGGCCGCCTACGATATATTGCCGCCAGGTGGCATTGAACGCAGGTACCTGGAAGAACTCTACCCTTGTTGCGTCGGCGGAACCTGGCGTGTGTTTGAAAACTTCGTTGGGGAGTTTTCGGTATTCAGAGACGGTTGGTAGTAGAAACGTACAGGGCACCTTGCCGTTCGCTCGTGCGCCACCTCGGCTTGATTCGACATTGAGGCTATATCCGAAGTTCTTAGGGTTCGAAGAGATCGATGGTGTCCTCTCGGGAACGTAACCGGCCACATCATGGGCGGTATACAGCAGGTCATGCAAGACGATGTATGCAGGCCATGCAAGGCGCCTCCGCTGTCAATGGCGTGGTGCGCAACATGCGGCGCCTGCTCCCGGGCCGAGCCGACAGGAACGTCCTGGAAGACGTGACGCGCTTCTTCGGCGAGGTCGATACGTTCAAGACGAACGTCGAGGAACCGCTAGGGAGCAGGAGCTGGCCGGCGTGGCTATACAAGGCGAAACGAAACAGAAGGAAACCCCCTAGATCGTCCCCTCTCTCTAGGTTTCCAGCCAGACCAGCTCGTCTTTTCCACAGACGTGCCTAGGCCAGAGAGAAAGAAGATGATATCCGTTGTGGATATGCTGAGCCAGATGATGGTGGCCATGGCCGGCTTCTGGTTCGTCGATCACCAGTGCGTCTGGTTCGAGCTCGGCAACACCTCGGCCAATCTCGAGCGCGTACGCATCTGCATCGCCATATTCTCTATCACCGTGCGATTGGCCCAATCCGCCGTGAGGCGCCGGCGCACCATCCGGGGCCGCGATCGGGCCGCCGCCAAGACGGGACCTCTGACCCACAGATGACGCCGGCGAGCAACGACGTTCGTGGCGCCAATGTACTGTGCTGTTAGTAGTGTGGAAGCCACATAATGGCTGTATTCAGTACCAAAATAGGTGATGTCGAAGAAATACATAAAAGTCGAAGAATGGATCTATCCGAGTTACTCAAATGAAGAAAGAAATCGTCTGCTGTTCATACTGTGATCAAAATATCACCCAAGATGCAGATAGAATGCATGTACGTGGAATATTACCATGTGAAGTCAGATTAAGCTCAAGCGGTTCTATGTCAAAACGGATCTATGGGACTGAACTGTCTGTCCCGTGGCTGGAATCGGCTGCGGGGCATGTCCTGGGTCTTAGAAGTGTGTCTCGGGACCAAACGATACGCAGTGGGTTAGAGGCAAGCATCGCCCTCTAAAAGCTTCACACGAATGGCATACTTCCGACATCCTCCTTTTCCACAAGAAACAAGCTCTGCTGGGATATGTATGACCGAAATTCGGGGGGAATACGATTAACTCCATGCTCTGATTATGTCGGATCTTGTAGTTCGCCTGTTGACGAGACATCATCCTCTGCGTTCTTTTTTGGGCGGCCAGATTTTGTTGGCCAACATGACTCGATGTGTTCGTGAAATTCCTCTTTAGATGCACTTCCATAGCCGCAGTGACATTGATACTGCCTATCCACCCTTGGCCGTGTACAGTTTTTGAGGTGGCGACGGAAATTGTCTTTCCGCACAGTTTCATATCCACATGAACAGCCGTATTGCGGCCGGCCAAAGCTATGCATTGAGCTGAGATGTCTACTTAGATTTTTGCTCTTCGTGAATGATTTGTCGCAGCTGCGGCAAGGATAGCGCATCGCCTCCTTCCTGTGAGATTTGGCATCTCTTGCGGCAATGCCCGACACAGAGGAAGCTGAGTACGAGGTGGTTTCGTTAATTACCGGGGAAGGTAAGCCAGGCTCGTACGCGTTGTAGACATTTCATTGATGATTTCCCTGGTATACATCCCCATCTGATACGCCTTGAGCGCCAAAGTCAGGTACAAGCCCCAAGGAACCACACTTCGGCGTCGTGCAGCAACCGTTACAGACATCTCTTAGCTTAGTCTTTAGGTGGGTGATGAGTCTAGGCAGTAACTGCGATATGTGATACGGCTGTTCGCCTGGTGCAGCTGCATGGGCATTGGTATCAAGTTGTAGGATATGCTTAGGGTGGAACCCCTCGACTGCGTTGATTACTTCGAAAACTTCGACGACCATTGGGTTGACAAACTCTGGTAGAAGTTAGCATGAATACCCCAGCACTAGAAAGAGATCGCCTTGTACTAGGTGAGGAGATGTGCGTGTCATTGGGAAATAGGACTTTCCAAAGGGTTTCCCAAGAATCAACCTTGAGGCCACTCTTGCGTTCGGTGAGTAACATGTCAGCCTCATCGGTGATGCCGTCTTCAGGATCTTCTGAGAACTGACAGTCCACGATGCTGCATATTTGGTCTGGTGGTGCTCGCATGTGTTTGACAAGCTCATTTTGGTTTTCGAAGGCCTTAGCACACCGTAAACACTTAAATGGGAGTTGTTGACGTCTATGATAGACCCTTATATGGCGCCTATTCATGATCATTAGAATCAGCCACGCGAACCCCCCTTGTCTCTTTTCTGTGTGTGTTCTTTTTTTCTCTGTTTGGGTTTTCGAGTTCAGGATGCTCCCACATACTTGAGGGTTGCTAGATCAATAAACCCACTTGAGGCGCAATTTTGATACTGTCGAATATTAAATCTTGCCGGATTACGTCTGCGAAACGGACAAGAAAGTCTCTTGTTCTCTGGCTCGGGTCTTGCCGAATCCCTACTGCACATAGTGGTCGAATTATTACCAAAGCCGGTACTCACGCCTTTTGAATCATGGTGTGCACTGAGATAGGGTGTTAGCGAGTCAATAGCACGGTATGTCCAGGTTGGGCAGAACATCAAAATACCTTATTATATCGTAGGCTGCGGCCTCCAGGATGAGAGTGGGTCTTGATTGTCGCCGGCCACATCGACCATCCATTTCCCGTGATAGCTTGTCTCTTGTGTGTTGCGTTGACCGTACACATGAAATTATGCCGGACTCTTGCTCGAGGCAATGTTCAGAACTCTAAGGTGAAATGTTCAGCGCCCATCAAAGCCTTTTACTCGCACACGATTGCAAATAGGAAAATCAACCTGCGCCTATGTTTTTCCAAACGGAAGGGCCTATGGAAGATTCAGCGTCACGTCCTTGGGGCAGTGTTAGTCCACCAACTGCTACTGGCATGAGAACGGCGCCAACATGGGTTTTCCATTACGAGCCACCACCAGTCCAACCGGCAGGGCCGGCCAGTACACCGTGCTTGGCAAGCGTGACGCCTGGTCCGTGGCGGTTACCGAAAGGTGACTCGGCTTGAGGGGGCGTATTATTGTCCTCTGCCATCGGCGTTGAACGTCCCGGCGCTCGCTCCTGGATTCCGGTATAGTGAATGCTGATGGCTTTAAAGTCTTGAGACACCTGCTGCAAGGACCCCTCACTAAAATGACCACCAGCTTGCTTTAGCCTCAGACCAATACCTCGGTTTTTGCCATTAAATCGCTTGCCATCCGTAGACACCATAAGCTGGATACTGTCGTCGCCTTCTGCATTGTTTTCTATGTTGCTGACCTGCGACTCTAAGACCGCGTCGACATCCGAGCAAAAGTTCAGGCATTGCTGTAATGTCTTCTCTTCAGCTTGAAGCTTGTTAAGCGAGGCCTGGTCTTGCGCAGACATAGAGGCTGCCGAGCCAGTACCCAAACTTTCGGTTATCTTCTTTCGGTGCTTTTCGAGTTGATCGAGCGTGAAACGCATGTGATGCATACAACCATCAAGTCCCTCCCCAAGTAGCATTCCAGAGGTTGAATCAGAGCTTGCCAAGTTGGGAAGCCCGCTTTTGCCTCCAAAGAAATCGACCTGGATTTTCTCGATTGCCTGTGAGAGCGTGGCACAGAATTCGAGACCCTTTTCCGTACTGCGCTGTTCTTCTTCCATGCGTTGCTGGGTGACCTTGTCCAGGCCAGGACCGGCAGAGCTGCGTTGAGCCAGGGCCTCAAGCTTTTGCTGGATTGCTTCCAGGTGAGATTGTAAATCGACTGTCGTCGTCGCGATCAACTGTCGACAGGAATTTACGGCTTCGGTAGTAGTAGCAGATGCGCAACTTTGAACACTTCGTTAGCTGGCCCAGGGAGACCAACAGATTTGCAAAGCTCAGGGCGACGGTGATCGTGGACTTGTATCCTATCAGCTGCTGCCGAAAGCCTTCAATGCCATCACCGCCGCTGCACCTGAGTTTGGCCCAGTCACGGAAGCTCGTCCGATCGAGAACAGACCGTGAGCAGTACGTAAGTAGCTCGGCTTCGACCTCGTCACAAGACCGCTTGCACTGTTCTAGTGTGAGCCGAAGAGCCGTGATGTCTACATCAAGGCCGAGATCGCTGATCTTAGAGAGTTTCTGTAGCACCAAAACTAGGCCCGCAAGCTCCGTAAGGAGCTCTCGTACCTGGCGGGGTTGGTTCTGGAATTCTTGGATCGTATCGCGGAGTTTGATGCCGGCCTTGAAAGCGAAGCCTGCTAGGGCCAGGACGCCTGAGGCTAGCCCTACCGGTTCTGCCATCTGACCAGGTGCTTGCTGTGCAGACAGGAGGAAGGAAGCTGAAGGATATGTGAGGAGATGCGAGGCAAGGTCAACATATATGCTGCGAGTAATCCACTGTGAAACATACTGTATCGCCGCGTGGCTGTGGCTGGCGATTCGCCGGCCAATATGATTGGTGCTGATCTGCTGCGCCAGTGCAACAGTTAGCGCGCGGCAGCGAACACTGATCAACCGCAGTAGCTTCGGCACCGGATTATGCTCCGCCGTGGCATGACTGGAGGAAAGTACGACCAGATGATTTCCTATGGACCGTGACACCAATGCCGAGACTGAACAAGAGCTCATCCATCATGGCTTGCAGTCTTACGCCGACCGCGGGGTGCACCTGGTATGTTGTGCTTCAGGCCGACACTCGTGGCATCATGGCAGCTGCATATTGATGCCTAACTTTTCCAAGCCCGTATGGGTGCAAGGCCGTGTTCTCAGGCATGTCAAGCAGCCCGCTGCAGCGCTTCTTACATTGCCTTGGCTTTCCAGCATAGGTGGCCACTTAACATTGACTTGCAGAGATAAATATGGTCCTGCGTTATATTCCTCAACTTTTACCTACCAGGCTAGAGCAGTACTATCAATGGCCTGGCAATATTGTTGGTAAGGGTAGATATGTTGCCTCAGACGCGTTAGGACTTAGCTCCGACAGCGGTGGCTGCGCCACGGACCAAAACGCGAGACTCTTCTGACCCCGCTTTCATGCTCATCTTCGATGCACCGCGGCATGTCCAGATTCAACGCGCCCATATCACTCCCTACGCGGCACTGGGACACCTATAAGGGGATTTCGAAGTAAGTCATTAAAAAGCGGGGCACGTGATCCAATATTTGACAACATCCGTTCCTATTACGCTGCCTATATCTCCACGCACGATATACAATCCCATGGAATCTGCGGAGGCACGAATCGCGGAGTTGCTACGCAAGTTAGAGGAATCCGAACAGAGACTCGAAGAGGAGCAGCGCCGACGCGAAGAGGAGCAGCGCCGACGCGAAGAGGAGCAGCGCCGACGCGAAGAAGAGCAGCGCCGACGCGAAGAAGAGCAGCGCCGACGCGAAGAAGCCGAGGAACTGGCCAAGGAGACCAGGCCACAAGCGCTTGAGCAATATCTCGAGGCGTGTCATTCGCTCAGCCTTGCCATTCAGGTGGTAACCGACCGCTCTCTCACCACCCAAGGGGACACGACTAACCCCACCGGCCGAATATATCCTCGACGCATCATACCGTGGGATGATTTCGCGGCAGGCCAGGAGGCTATTTGGGAAAGACTCACCGGCGGTTCATTCTCCTCACAACCCGTGTTTCCGACCAGCAACCAGCTTGCATACGTCAGGTCCTTGATCCATTCCATTAGTAGTGAGCTTGGACTTCGGGACTTTGAACGCGACACCGTCGAAAATGCCGTGCGCAAGCTATTTGGGGAGGCTTTCCGCGATCCACAAATTCGATCTGGCCTGGGCCTACAAGGGGATATATCCTTCGAAAGCCACACAAATCTTGGTGGTGACGTGAACACCATCTCTGAGTCTCTGGGAAATGTGTCTATCAGCGAGCATAACACCGGCGCGAAGTCGGCAGCACCAAAGACAGCTCGCCGCCGAACCCGGGGGAAGGGTAACCGCGCCGACCAGTTCTGTATATACAGGAACGAGGACGGTCAGAATATACCCGCTGTGGCCATCGAGTACAAGCCTCCACACAAACTCACCCAGGAGGAGATAGTGGTCGGCCTCCGATCGGCGATCCAGCCGCAACGTGACGTGATTCACATGACTGGTGACAGCTTTGAGTTTGCGTCGAGGACCCTCGCTGCTGCCGTCGTCACTCAGTTGTTCTCTTACATGATAGGTAAAGGCGTCCAGTACGGGTACGTTTGCACAGGAGAAGTCTTCATTTTCCTCTTCATTCCCGAGGACCCGGCCACTGTCTACTACTTCGTGTCTGTGCCCAACCTTGACGTCCTGGACGACGACCCCACCAGACTTCACCGTACGGCCGTCGCCCAGGTCTTTGCCTTCATCCTCCAGGCCGTCCGTGCAGAGCCACCTCCTGCATCCTGGCACGATGCAGCTGCTGAGCTGGACACATGGGCCATGGAGTTCGACGACGTGCTGAGAGATATCCCGGCGACGGTACGTAAGGAGCGACCCACGTCTGCGTATAAGCCTCAGCGTTGGAAGAATTTTATGCGGTCGCCTATTCGAACGCGCTCGCGCTGCAAGCCGGTGCAGGATGCGTTTCCCAGCCGGAGCGATGATGAAGATGACGGCGATGGACCCGCTTCCCCAACCCCGGATCGATCAAGCCATTCCACCAAGTCTACACCAACAGCGGAAGTGCAAGCCGCAGGCCAGATCAGAGGTCGCAGAGAGCAGGAGGAGAGGCAAACTGGAAAACACAGGATACAAGATCGGCCCTTCTGTTCTCGGCACTGTCTTTCGGGACTAGCCTCAGGTGGACCAATCGACTCGTCATGTCCCAATGCCAAGGATCACAAGCCTGCGCATATAAGCCGCTCCGAGTTTCTCTGCCGGACCCGGGATCAACTGGCCAAGGATCGTGGCCCGGAAGCCGACTGCACTCCTCTTTATCGGGCCGGCGCAACAGGGGCGCTTTTCAAGGTGCGGCTATCATCTCATGGCTATACACTTGTCGCCAAGGCTATGCAACAGCCGGATTTGCCTCGCTTGCAGCATGAAGAAACAGCGTACAACCACATTAAGCCCATGCAGGGAGACGGTGTTCCAATCTTCCTGGGATTAGTCGACCTCGTCCTGCCGTATTACTACGACTGTGGTGTATTCACCCAATTCATGTTTCTCAGCTGGGAGGGGAAACCGTTATCTGAAAGCATTGGGGAGCTCAACAAGCACGATATTGTTCGCAAGGTTACTGGCATTTACACCAGGCTACATCAACTTGGCGTCCTTCACCGTGATGCGGAGTTACGGAACATACTTTACGACTCTCAACACAGGCGTTTCTGCGTCATCGACTTTGAAAGAGCGTTGCTCCCCAGTCGCGAACCGCTGGCATCGATAAGTACAAATGTCCCAGCACGCAAGAGGAAGAGGGGAAAAAAGGATCGTGTTGTAGACCCCTTTGCGCAAGAACTGAGGCGTCTTTGTGAGAAGTTGTCGAGGTGAATCAGGGACTAGTCCTTACAGCTTGCAGATTAGACATTAGCGAGACGCAGCCTGCGCTATTTCGAGGGATGGCTCGGTATTTCATAGACGGACATCGGCCCCCCTGGCGATCAGCTCCAGAAGCCTTGAAGTGCACTGTACTGCTGATATTGCTAGAAGCTTAATCTGTCTTGTTCTCACCAGCTGACCATGACTCGAGCTGACAGGTTACTGTTGAGATAATAGTCGACAAGTTTGGCCTAGACTCAGTATAAAGGGAGACGATGGGCGCCATGCTGAGAAATCGCTTTAACAATCATGAGTTCTTCCGCTTTAAATTCAAAGTAGGACTCCCGTACATACCCTCATCACCCGAATACTTGGCTGTTTATTATAAAGGAAGCTCAAAGATAATATGCTAGATATACCACATATATTTTAGTCAATGCTAGGTCACACCCGGCAGAAGAGCTTGCATGGTGCTTGGCCCTTGGGAGGCAGTGTTTTGCAAGTACGGCTCATCATCGATCTGAAGGGGTTTTGAACATAGACGGTTTCTAGAAATGGCCTGAATTATTCCAAGCGAGCGTACGTCCGCCATATCTAGGGTGGTGTCTTTGACGTAAGTGCTTCGTGAAGGGTTCGCTTATCGCCTCATCGGAGGCAGATGAGATTGTCGTTTTACACCTCCATATTCCCTCGAGTATCTACCAGCTCTATATTCGAAGAGTCCTGAGGTGCTGTATGTATGTTTCCCAGGTTCTGGGATCTCATTCTTCGAATTACCTGGACTATCTGTACCAGTACGAAGGCAACAGGACGTGAGATGTCGAGCAGAGTGGAAGTTGCGCAGAGTATCTATCACGTCAGTCTAGGACAACAGTCTTGTATTATAGTACGTACAAGTAGTCTTTGGATGGTTGCGATCGAAGCTGAGAGCGCATACCAGTTCAAACCTAGTGTCATCACATACAGCACCGGTCGTATATAGATTGCGCGGTGCCCCTGGGTACGCAGCATTCCGATCTGCCACCACTCCTATATCATCCAAACACGAAAGGTTGTGACGGAACTTAGAAGTGATTGGCCAGAGGGTGCCTCGAATGCTTCGAAAATTCGTCCAACACCTAGAATCAACCCAACCAAGAAGAGCAGGAAACTATAGGTGAAGACACAACCTAAAGGACCAATGACGAACGATCTTTGAACAGGACTCCAGGTTCCGATTGCCAGCCAGAACTTACTTTTGATCAGTGGGTCATTTCTGATGGAGATTTTTGGGCTCACCTCTCGAGCCATACTCCACAGGTTAAGAACGCCTAATGCGGCCCCTAGCCAGGCGACTTCCCGTTGGTACCCAAGTACAATAAATGTGACGGACGGTATCAGTCCTAGACTGGAAATCAAAGCGAAAACCGTTTTAAAAAGACGATTATGCTCCGCAATAAACGGCGGTTGCGTCTGTCCAACGTCGGTAATTCGTTTGAAAACCGCGAAGTAGTCTACCAGCAGGAGAGACGCTTGGCAAACAAGTGCCGTCGAGGCAACAACCTTTGGTAGGAGGGTGTTGAGGGATTCCATGAGAATGTAGATTGGTGGGAGTTTTCACAATGAGCGATAATTTGAGACAATCGTGTTGGACTCGGCATGGCTTCGACACTCCTTGCCAACCCTTAAATACGTAAGTGCCCATAGTCAGGAGCATGGTCTTTCCATAGGATAACTGTGTATCCCTGCCCCCTGAAGTAGGGTTTTCCAGAACAACGACCGGGCCTCTCTCCAAGCTCCTGACAAGATGTATGAGGCCGTGTACCGAGCATCCTTCCAAGCCCCTTATGCGGATGGGTAGAAGCGAAGCTATCTGAATCATCATCCGGAGGGGCACTGTCGGCCAGGGATCTGCATGAAGCGCTTAAGAAGCAAAGGCAACAAGCCGGCCGACACGCTGATCAGGCCGTGAATATCAGCGGTTGATTCTATCATGCTCGTCAAGCCCCTTCGTGCGGCCCAGGATGCTTCCCCCCAGCAACCAAGGCAGGCTCGCTCCATGTTCATGCGATGGCATTGGTAATTCTGCCTGACTTGTAACCTCTCCCACGACCTGAAGCACATATATATACTCAAGCTTTCCACTCACTCACTCGTCGTATTCTCGGACACCCGTCACTGGAATTCCATTCTACCAAGATGACTAGCACGAATGATAGATCCTTGTCTCCCATTGAAGCTCTGCCACTCGAACTTATTCAGATGATCTCCCGATATCTATCATTGCCAGATCAATTCTCCATGTACTGTTGCTCCACGCGGCTACAAGATGCTACGTCCCTTGGCCTTTGTGATGGAGGAGACAAATCGGTCCGCCTCGCCATGCGTTGTACCTATGGCGAAAACTTTGCGATCGCATTTCTGGACCGATATAGCAGATCCAATGGTAGTCTGAACATCAAGGATACCAGTCCCTGTTGGGATGTTGCAATTGAGATGAGATGGGTTCGTCGGAAGGGGACAACCCAATTACTGCCGAATCCGTGGCGCTGCTGGGTGCTGGTAGAAGGCGCCGTAGCTTCGACATCTCTGCAGGTTTTCTGTTCAGAATATTGAGAGCGTGGGCGCGTCAAAAGACTCAAACGTGAGAAAGGTCAAATTTACATAGACTTCGCTGCGAGGGCGGTCCATATTCAGCAGCTCACAACTATGACTACTGGTAACTGGTGGATGCCAAAGTAACGGTGGCACAGAGAGTTTCAAAATGGGCTCATGAATGCCTTGTCTTAGAAATTCTCCGGTACTGCACTGCAGGAGCGGCAATCAAAAACTGATTCCACGGGGCTATAATTGCGATATGTAGAGTAGATTCAGCACTATATGTACTGTACCGTCCAGCGTCGTTCTGATCAAAATTGGTCCAGTTTACAGCTTCATATATGCTCATCTAAACCTCCTGCGATACTTTCGGGTCATGTTACTCGGCCACACTTACGGTCCATATCAATCCAGTATAATGGCAAGCAGTATAAGTTCAGGCTTCAACGACAGAATATTATGAAACAATCTGCTAAATTCATCTCACCTTCGTCTGTGAATGCTGTTGCTCATCGCTGACAATGTGGACAACCCTGGAGCATATACCAGCGCTGGCTGTAACCTTCTTTGTCTTTCAAAAACATACAATACACGTTGTCAAGCGTGCTGCCAAGCGACTGCGAAAACCCTCCAGTGCCATCCTGTTCCTCCATATCATCATACCAAACATCGAGATCCTATACTACTGGGTCTCGATCCTCAAAGATGGGCAGCATGCCGTACCCACGTATGTTGATTTCTCCGTGATGGCTTTCCACTCATGGAGGAGCCATTACCTAGTCAAGGAAGGGCACTACGCTGGTCACAAGAACATTGCGCAGCCCGTTTTCCATGCGCAGATGCTGATCCGCCTGGCTATCTCCTTCTGCTCGGTCTTTCTTGGATTCCCCGCTTTGCATGCAGCAACGATCAAGATTAATGCTGCGGCATCCTACCCGAGGATCCTGATTTGGGCGGCGAGTCAGCTCAAGGCTCTGCCTACATACAGAGACGTATACACCGCCGTTATGTTCATTGGGAGCCTCTTGGCCATGCACGACTCGGGCATCGCGTATGGGCCACAAATCTTCATTGGCTGCTGGGTTGGTGTATACCTGCTGGAGTCGTGGGTGGCTCGGAATATAAGCAGGGGGGAGACGATGATTCCAAAGCAGCACCCCTCGCTGTCAGCACATATGAAGGACTGCGTAGCGAAATTTCTCTACCATGTCAATTTCGTCAACCAGGGCGAACTGCAGAAGCGGAGGATACCTAACGACAGTCGATCGAAGGAACAGAATCGCCACTTCTCCTGCAAGATCGAATAATTATTGTTGATCATCATACGGCGGATTGCCATGTCATGGGCGGTGGATCCCGCTTGAGGCTCACCACTCAGGTGGTGTAGTACTAGATGCTGTAGTAGGAGGGCAAGCGCGAATAGCAAACGTGAGGGTGGGAGACAGGACCATTTGGCCACTTCATACGTGACAATAAAGAGTGATTAAAGAATAACAAGTGTCTTTCAGTCTCGACTTCATTCGGTTATGAAGCTATTGATAGCGACCGCCATCTAGTAACTGTTATGCAGAAGACCAAGTTAATGCCTGCTCAGTATACATGCCGCTCCTGTTCATTGTTTCTGACCATTTCTTGAAGTCCATAGGATATGGCATGATCGCCGACCCTGCAAAATGCATACCGCCTAGTGGCGCACTCTGAGCAGACAACCTAGTATCACATGTCAGTGGAACGAAAATAATGTTGAATGCCAGGAGACTAACACATTGGCAATTTCGATGCGCAAAAGCCAGAAAACAGCCCATCCGCTGCTGACATGCGCAGCACTGGATCAAGTGTTTCGAGGCCAGTTTCCTGGATAGAGGAGAGGCCTGCTCATAGTTCCGCCCAGCGAGCGGCAGCAGTTCCATACGGGCGATAGCCTCATGCCGAGCTTCTAGGCTTCTATGAACGTCGTGAAAGATGTGGCGGATCAGGTTAACCAGAGTGCGCCGAGATTGCCCCAGGGTCCGGCCATAGTTTAACATGATGTCTTGACAGTGGTTGACGTTGCCAGGCTCATGGACTTGGCTCGGACGATGCACCTGCACCGAGTCGAGCTGGCAAAGAAAATAGTTACGGGCCGCTGCTGCCATATATGTGACGTTGTTACTGTTATTATCCATCCTGATTTCTGGTCTAGGTCGATCGAATGGAGTACAGTGTCCCATATCTATGGCGTTTGGGGACATATGTGCGTGTATAGGCTGTTCTTAAAGAGGCTCACCGCGAAAAGAAAAGGGGAGAGATTGCGCTGCAGCATACATACTGTACTGCACCACTGAAATCTTCAGTTCTTGTCGAGGTGTAGAACAAGCGGCATGGCAAGGCCAGATACTGTGCACGTCCGTTCTCCGGCACTAACTTGAGTGTATCTTGCCACCTTCATTCAAATC